CAGTTCTAGGTCTCACCTTCATCAAAATGAGATGTAATCAAACTTATGTTCTGAGATGTAATCAAACTCGGATTCTGAGATGTAATCAAACTCAGGTTCCAAGATTTAATCAAACCTGAGATGTAATCAAACTCAGGTTGTGGAATGTAATCAAACCTGAGATGAAATCAAACTTAGGTTCTGAGATGTAATCAAACTCAATTTTTGAGATGTAATCAAACTCAGGTTCTGAGATGTAATCAAACTCAGGTTCTAGAATGTAAGCAGACTCAGATTCAGAGATGTATTCAAAATCAGATTCTGAGAGGAAATCAAACTCAGGTTCTAGAATGTAATCAAACTTAGGTTCTCAGATGTAGTCAAACTCAGGGTTTGAGATTTAATTAAACTCAGATTCTAAGATAAAAACAAATTAAGATTCTCAGATATAGTCAAACTCAGGTTTTGAGATGTAGTCAAACTCAGGTTCTAGAATGTTATCAAACTTAGGTTGTCAGATATAATCAAACTCAGGTTTGGAGATGAAATCAAACTTAGGTTTGGAGATGTAATCAAACTCAGATTCTAAGATGTAATCAAACTCAGATTCTAAGATGTAATCAAACTCAGGTTCTGAGATGTAATTAAATTTAGATTCTCAGATGTAGTCAAACTAAGGTTTTGAGATTTAATCAGACTCAGATTCTAATCATATTTGGGTTCTCAGATTTAATCGAACTCGGATTCTGAGATGTAATTTAAACTCAGATTCAAAGATGTAATCAAACTCAGGTTCTGAGATGTAATCAAACTTAGAATCTGATATTTAATCAAACTCAGGTTCTTAGATGTAATTTAAACTAAGATTCAAAGATGTAATCAAACTCAGGTTCTGAGATATAATCAAACTCAGGTTCTGAGATATAATCAAAGTCAGGTTCTGAGATATAATCAAACTCAGGTTCTGAGATATAATCAAACTCAGGTTCTGAGATGTAATCAAAGTCAGGTTCTGAGATGTAATCAAACTCAGGTTCTGTGATGTAATCAAAGTCAGGTTATGAGATGTAATCAAACTCAGATTCTAAGATTTAATCAAACTTAGATTCTTATCTCTAAAAATACAATAAAATCAAAGAACATTTTGGTAAAAGTCTTCGTAATTTAAATAAATGCTTATTTCAGATATATAGATAAATATATTGTTCAATTGAAATAATACCAGTTCTGTGTATATGTTCCTTTACCCTACGTCCAGCTATTTATCTACATTAGGAGCAACAAAGGGGTTGCAAAGATCTGTATCGGGCAAGTATTGTTAAAATTTTAATGGAGTATTCACTCTTGATTGTAATCTTGTCATTCGAGGATTATTCAAAACCCGAATAATACGAAACCTTTTTACCGTCAGTTCAGCGCATTTATGTGCAAATATATGTCAATGAATCCCATTAAATTTTCAATATTAATTTTGAACGAATCACAAATATTAAGACATTTAAAAGGGACTGTATACTTTATTTAAATTGACTCTAAATTTTTAGTTTTGCATGTCGGATTCACGACGGTTCTCTTTACCTTTGTCTGATTAAAGATGATGTAGCTGCTGAGGTCCGTGAAACTCAAGGGTACACTTGCTTTGAGAAAACACGTAACCTTTTAGCCATAAAAACTAAGGTTAAAAACTATTTTTTAAAGTACAATCTAGAATGGTATATTCCATATGGATAAAAATGACCTTAAATATAAAGTATTTCATGTTGGTAAGTATGACGCTAAATATTGGTAAGAACCCTTGATACGGATAAGAATGACCCTAAATACGGATAAGATTGAGCGCACATACGATTAAGAATGACCTTAAATGTGGATGGCCTTGAATACGGATAAGAATGACCCTATATACGGATAAGAATAACCCTAAGTACGGATAAGAATGACCCTAAATACGGATAAGAATGGCCCTAAGTACGGATAAAAATGACCCTAAATACGGATAAGAATGATCTTGAATGAGGTTATGATGCAATGACCTCAAATTAATTGACGCTTGAAAGGGTTGATAAGAGCCACTGAAAGACCTTGTGACTGACTGACCTTACAAGATACATTTATATCATTTTATATTTATTTACTACTCTCGATATTTTAGGGATTTCAATAGAAAGAGACTCCTAGCGGCCAAATCGTCATCAAAAGTGCAACGTATGATTTTAAAGGACACGTTAAAAATAAAGAAATTATAACATTCAAATTAAAATAGGAGCGTATCTAAAATTTCTATGCATCCCTGGGTTATCGTAATTTTCAGATTTGCTTAATATGATCTTTAAACTTTAATTCAAATATTACTATGTCACGTTTCGAATAACTCGGACACAGTTTTATATCAATTTCTCAAGACAACGAAATCAGATAGAGCTATTATTGGTCGCGATAAACTCCTAGAATTTCTAGGGTTTAGAATATACCCTCTTTCATTTTACCTTAGCAGTCCCTTGAAGGCTAAACTGAAGCGACACGTAGGATATAATTAACATAAGAAATTCTAGATTTGGAACCCAGCTTTGCCTAGAAAGTCAAACAACTCAATTTAGAATTTTTAAACCGTGGTTCAACCGTGTTCAATCAAAGTTTGAGGCAAATCGGCCCAGGTGTTCATGATTTACGATCATATTTGAAATACCATTAAACTTTGTATGCAAGCCGTAAATTATAGTTTATACTTGAAAAGCAAAATATATGAAGATTGCTGAAAAAAACGAATAAAATTTTCTTTTTCTTTTTTGGATGAGATTGTTTACAAACACGGTGCATGTTTTGGATAAGCGATTATATCTATAAGATCTATAAGATTGATGAGATTTATAAGATAAGATTGATGAGATTTATAAGATAAGATTGATGAGATTTATAAGATAAGATTGATGAGATTTATAAGATAAGATTGATAGAATGAATTAGTTTGACTGGAGGTATATATTGGTATGACAAGCATATTGCATTCATTAAGGAACTTGTGACCTTAATGTTTGCACAATGCAGTCTGGGTGGCTGGACACCTTTTTTATACTGTCAACCCTTTATCAAACCCTCCATACGGAAACATCGAAATCCCTCCCCCCCGTACCTTCTAAAAAAACAGGAACCCCAGAAGTAACCGACTCCTAAGGTTTCTGAACCCGCCCCTGGAGTCCCAAAGTTCCTGAATCCGCTCCTGGAGTCACAAAGTTACTAAACCCGCCCTTGGAGTCACAAAGTTACTGAATCCACTCCTAAAGTCACAAAGTTATTGAACCCACTCATGGAATCCCAAGGTTTGCGAACCTACTTCTGGTGTCCCAAGGTTTCTGAACCCGCTCCCGGAGTACCAAAGTTCCTGAACGGCCGCTCCTGGAGTTACAAAGGTCCTGAACCCACTCCTGGAGTCTCTAGACACCCACGGTCCACATTGTATCCTCTGAGACCAATTGAAAGTCTGAAGGAGTAAAAGAAACATTTTGACCAGAAAGAAAATGAAAACTTGAAAGCCTCAAAAAGTAAATCTGAATATCTGAATTTATCAGTTTGAAATTCACACCTTGCATTATAGATTTTTTCTTGTAAGATTAAAGGACTGATTAAAGGACTGATTAAAGGACTGATTAAAGGACTGATTAAAAGACTGATTAAAGGACTGATTAAAGGACTGATTAAAGGACTGATTAAAGGACTGATTAAAGGACTGATTAAAGGACTGATTAAAGGACTGATTAAAGGAAAATAACAAATATTTTCTATCTGACTGAATATCTGTCTATCTTGCTTGCCCTTGATATTGAAACTGGTTTGTAACTTTATTCTTCTCGATAAAAAAATGATAATGCATTTAGTCATATGTGCCCAGGCTTGATTTATCTTTACTAACTAGTATATACTAAAAACTTCCAAAATCTAAAGAAATCATCTTTATAAACATACTAGCTTGGCAAACCAGCTTTGCCTAAACATTTCAAACCAAGTTTAGAACATTCCCGTTAAATGGAAAACTAAAGAGACAGTGAACCAGGGGAAGTATAACTAGAGAGACGGAGAACCGGGGGAAGTATAACTAGAGAGACGGAGAACCGGGGGAAGTATAACTAGAGAGACGGAGAACCAGGGGAAGTATAACTAGAGAGATGGAGAACCGGGGGAAGTATAACTAGAGAGACGGAGAACCGGGGGAAGTATAACTAGAGAGATGGAGAACTGGGAGAATGAACAACTAAAGGAGACAGAGAACCGGGGGGATGGATAATTAGAGATACGGAGAACTGGGAGAATGAATAACTATAGGAGACAAAGAACCGGGGGGCAGATAATTAACTAGAGAGATGGAGAACCAGGGAAAGTATAACTAGAGAGACAGAGAACCGGGGGAAGTATAACTAGAGAGATTGAGAACCGGAGAAAGTATGACTAGAGAGATGGAAAACCGGAGGAACGGATAACTAGTGAGACGGAGAACAGGGGGAAGTATAACTAGAGAGATGGAGAACCCAGGGAAAGTATAACTAGAAAGATGGAAAACGGGAAATTGAATAACTAGAGGAGACCAAGAACCGTAGGGACGGATTATTAGAGAGACGGATAACTGGGAGAATGAATTACTAGAGGAGACTGAGAACCGGAGGACGGATATAATTAGAGAGACGGAGAACCTGGGGAGCAGCTAACTTGAAGGACGGAGAATTAAAGAGACAAAGAATTAGAGAGACAGGGAATTAACGAGAAAGACGAAGAAATTAGAGATATGAGCGATGTACAATGACATTTAGGAAACATTGAAAGGATTGCTGTCTCTTATCCTTTTCTTATGACCTTTTGATAAACATTTTATTACTTGTAATGGTATTATTTCTAAAAATTAAAAATTACACAACCCAAAGCTTCATGTCTTATGTAAAAGAAAGAACAAAGACGAATGGCAAAGACTTAAGTCCTTTCTAAATTCAAAATCTTACAGGAATTATCACTGACCAGACAAGGCTTAGCTATAATAACCTTTAGCACGCAAGAGAAAATTAAAATATCCGACCTGGGATCGTATGGGTAGGAGCTGGACTAGTCGTCCTGGACCTGGAGATAATGGAACCTGTATCCGTTCCACTCTGTAACCTAGGAGTAATATCTCGTCTTCGTCCCAAGGATTTGAGAGTATCAGTTTGTCTCTGTACAGAGGATGCCCTGGTGTGTCGAAGATCAATACTAGAGAAGTTTAGGTTTGAGGAATCCGAACCATAATTTTCTTTGGCATTGTCAACTTTCGGGTTAAATAACTTCGTTTCTTTACTCAAAACACTTTTTTGCACAACAAGCAGGAGATATTTGAGAAATATACTGAAATGTTGGTCTTCAGTTGAACTTTTTCTCCAGAATATATATATTAGCGAACCAGAAACTAGTAAAAAGAGTGCCAATGGTAAGGTTACACAAATGATCATGGAAAAGTTAGTGGATCTTCTTATTCCAGTTCTATCGTGGAATCGTCTCTTCTCTGTCCGATAGATTTTAGGGATGAAAACGTTTGAACTCTCAGATTCGTTGAATATTCTGAAAAAACACCAGTCTATGATAAAACCAGCAGATCTGAATATTCTCTCCTCACTCGTCCTCTTGAAGCTGCAGGTTGCTAGTCTCCGGAGAGGTCCTGTCTCCCTCTCCAGGTCTTCCAGCCTGGTAGAGTGGGGGGACGAGGAACCAAGCTTTAATACAACTCCTTCCTTGGAACTCTCTTCGATTGGATTCCTGGCTCCAAGGTTTAGAGCAGAGTCAATAAATATAATTCTTAGATCAGCATAACTTCCCAACCACAAACTAAACAGAATAAAAAAATATAATCAACAATAAATTATATTTTATTCGTTCTACTCTCATTTCCGTGCTGTTAAATATCAATATTTATATTTAAATCAAAGACAGGGAAAAAATATTATCTTAGCAGACTTGAATCTTCTCGATAAAGAGAAATCTCTGTCCAAAAACATTGTAGCATTGCGAAACAAATGAATAGTGTAATGCATAGTTAATATGAACACCCCCATCCATAAGTTTCATAAATAGATATTTATAAGAGTTACCTGTTCCTAAAAACGTTTAATAATTTCTCCAATCTTGCAGGAACTAGAAGGATATCTTCAAGGTTCAAATGTTCAATCTATGAGAAAATACAATCTGTTTTACTCTTAGTATTCTTACTTAGTCTTACAGAATATATAGAAGGTTTAGATAAAGGTAGAATAGTTAGGTTTATTCTTAATATTACCTTGAGTTTTACAGAATACTTTGAAGGTCTAGGTTGAGGTAGAATAGTTAGGTTTATTTTTAATATTACCTTGAGTCTTACAGAATAGTTTGAAGGTCTAGGTTGAGGTAGAATAGTTAGGTTTATTCTTAATATTCCGGAATTAAAGGTCTGCGTATTCATCACAGCAATCTAGACAAATAACACATAGAAAACGGAACTGAGTACGCGGCTCAAACTATAATTTACTTTTGTTCCAACTTCTTAGTTTAAAGTGCTGCATGCCTGATTCACAACAATAAGCAACAACAAGGAAATCCTCATTAATCTATCTGGAAAAGTAATAATTCTGCCAATTTTTGTTCTTTGTCTCTGCTATATAAATCGGCAACTCACCACACTATATGACCAACGGAAACTATCAATTTTTAGATAGAAAAATCAAGGTTTAAATCCTGATTTTTTCAAGGATTTCGTTGTGAATTGAGCATGCCCATCGTTTTTATATGTAGTTTTACTTAAAAAATCAATCAGTTTCATTATATTTAGAGAAATGCGAAGAATATATGAAAATTCGAATCTTAATACGATTATATGAATGCTTTTACTTTTTTAAATAAAATTATTTTTAACGTTTATCAACAGTCAAATTTCAAGTTTTCCAAAAAGTTCGGGTGGACATTTTTTTCAAATTATATTTATCGTCTTCGTCATATTTGTAAAATCATTTTAGCAAAATTATCATAAAAACTAGAATCTATTTTTAATTAATATTTCTTTTCTTAAAATATAATATTCAAATCTTTTTCTTGTATGTAAACAAAATGAAAATTAATTTTTTTATCGATGTCTTTTTCTGAAAATCATGATAGTCTAAAAGCTATACAGTAAAGATGTTAAAAACATAATCATGTACTGTGTTTGAAGTAGATAAAATTAAATACTTATTCAGAAAAAAAACAGAAGAAAAAAAAACAAAAATTTGTTATCTACGGCGATTTTTTTTTGCCTTTGTTAATAATCTTTCATAGACAGGGCAGTGTAGCAAAAACAACTTTTTTACAGGTTTAATGACTATTCAACTCTGTGAATATAATACTTATAATTAAATATAATATTATTATATAATTATTGCGTCTTTTCTGTAAAAGTAACAAATAAGGCAATATACAACTCCGTTATTACCTCGTTCAAGCCTTATATCCTGAAGATAAATCTGTATAATCGTGATCTGTTACCTCAATATTTTCCAATCCTTGATATACCGGAACTGTACCTCAATATTTTCCAATCCTTGATATACCGGAACACCGTACAGAAGACCGTGACTGTGCTGCTGTACATATGTGTACTTTATCCAGGCTGGGAGTACTGGGTTGAGAAGGGTTCGTCCTCTGGAATATATTTCTTTATCAATAGAAATAAAATATTCTAAGGTCAATGGAACTCAACACTCAAACTTTACAACCTGGCCGTCTATGATATATAATCTAACATAATTCATAGTTTGAAATCTCATCAGTGCAGAAAACTTTAGAATTGTGAATATCGAGATCAATGTTTGATCTCCGCTTCTTGTTAGTTTCAAGATTGTTCTGATCTTTAGTTTGTATCCCGGAAAGTTTCTTAAACGGTCGGAATCCAGTAGCCTAGATGGGATTTTCAAAAAGAGAGAAAAAGAGCGGATTTAACACAAATCAAAAGTGTTCACAGTGGATAGTCAGACTAAGCGATCAGTTTAAAGTGTATCTGGTTGCAAAGATAAAACGATTAGAAAATTAGAATATGAAGAGGGTAATCAGTTCCTTTGTTGTATTGTAAATTGTTTCTCTCACATGAAAACATTTTCCTCTCTTGAACTTTCAAACAACAACAAATTACGATTTCGCAGAATTATATCTTTTAACTGGTGGATTTTTAAAAGTTTCGATAATTTTTGGAGGCAAAATTGTTTTATTTTTCCTGTCTATACCTGATTATATAATCGGCTCTGAAATTATCTTCTGTCAGGTTCCAGAGAAATATATCCGAATGAAGAGTAAGATTGAAAACTTCTCCAGCTCTGATTACTAAATTGATATCTCCAGGTCTACGAAGTGTAGTTGAGGAATTGGAATTAGTCTCAAGGATAGAATTTAACTGAGCTGAACAAGTTTTTAATAAAACCATCCAGAATATTCCTGTCATAGCGTAAACCATTTTAAAATATAGAGGTTAGTCGTGACAAACATAAAAGTACACTTCTGCTTCGAATACGATAATCTTTTTCTGAACTTTACTTTTCTCTAGGTAAAGTTAAAGTTGAAGAACACTGGTTGCTCCAGGTTGTTGAAGGACACTTTGCTCCAGGTTCAAGTTGACGGACACTTTGCTCCAGGTTTAAGTTAAAGGATACATTGCTCCAGGTTTAAGTTGAAGAAAAATTTTGCTCCAGGTTAAAGTTGAAGGATACTTTGCTCCAGGTTTTTAAGTTAAAGGATACTTTGTTCCAGGTTTAAGCTGAAGGACACTTTGCTCCAGGTTTAAGTTGAAGGCCACTTTGCTCCAGGTTTCAGTTGAAAAATACGTTGAGCCAGGTTTAAAATCAACTATACTTTGCTCCAGTCTAGGTTTCAAGATACTTTGCTCCAGATCAAAATGTGAGCTCTAGGTTTAAGAATTCAGGTTCATATACGGTATTCTATTTAATAACAAAGTTACGATAAATACTGTTTCAGGTTCAGATCACAAGAAAACTTAGATCCAGGTGATGTTTCTGGCTAGTGTTTTACTAGATTGGTTTCAGGTTCAGATCACAAGAAAACTTAGACCCAGGTGATGTTTCTGGCTAGTGTTTTACTAGATTGGTTTCTAGACTATACGGTTTAGATCTTGTTTATCCACGGGGCAGGTTTAGCACTCCACTTTTCATATGTTTAAATACTAGCTGAGATCAGCTGCTAGAAGAGGCTCCGGTCGGAGCAGGACTGAGTTGGTCAGCCAAGGACGGAGAAAAGAAAGGAGCTACTTTAATAACTAAACCTTAACCTGGAAGTGTTTAGTAGTTTTCAAAACTCTAGATTTAGCTGAATATTTTCCAGGTTAGGGATAAAAAGACTCATGATTCTAGTTAATTATACAATATAGAAATGTTAATAAATATGACATTTTCTAGTCCTAGAGGCTTCAGAACAATCTTAAAATGTTGTAAAACATTCTGTCTTGTATGCATAGGTAAAGAATGTTAATTATCGTGGAACAGTGGCTAGTAGTATGTGGGTCCTGGGTCTCGGTTCAGTTCACACAAACAAACTGTATTGTGAGAAAGCCGAGCTTTCTGCCCAGTCTAGTTCACGAAGTTGACCCGCATGCATGCAGTAACATACATACAGTAACCTAGGTGTCTCAAAGGGATAAAATATCCTATTCAAATTTATTTCAAAATAATTCCCTAAAGCTCAGTCTGAACTATGATGTAATTGAATTTAATGAACTGATACTGCTTGGATTTAAAATATACTCCAAAAATATCGAGTATTTCAGTTTAACGAGATCATTTTTATTATGTATGGAATCTGATGTTTAAACCTAGTAATGGTCCTTTATAGGGAATCTGATGTTTAAACCTAGTAACGGTCCTATTTCTGATGTTTAAACCTAGTAACGGTCCTATTTCTGATGTTTAAACCTAGTAACGGTCCTAATTAAAGTATAAAAATGTGAATAAGTGAAGTGTTTGGTTATACCGTGATTTTCCACTAAAACAGTGGCAACAAAATTTAGGTAGGAAAAAGTAAAAAGGAGTCTTTTCCACAACCTCTGATCTTCTAATCATTATATCTTTGCAACCCAATGTCGTAGACCTTAGATATTTCAAACTATGAATCTATCATAGTTTGAAATTTAAACGAGTGAAACCATCAGGTTACAAAGATATAGGGATTAGAAAATTGGACCTTGTGGCAAAAAATCAATTTAAACAACTTTATAAAATATCACATTTTTAACTTAAAATAATTTCCTCCCATTTTTTTCAGCAGAAGAAATGTGCAAGTCACTTATTGAGATAAACCACGATTCAGGAAAACGATTCTTAAAAAAAATGAATAACATATTCGTATTTTAACTTTAAATGTCCCCTTGTAAATTTGACATGCCTATTTATAAATGGAGGATCACTTAAAATTACGTTCTTAGTCCCTTTAAATCTGATTTAAAAATATCAAACTTTTTTCTTTATTATTTCGCAAAGCATGACGCGGTGATGTTTTATAAAAGTTTTATCGTTATGATGTGTTTGATGGATATTTTATATTTTGCGAGAAAATAACTGTCATGTTATATTTCCTAAATATTTCCTACCGACACTTTTGTGAGTTTCTGTATTTACTTTTCTTTTGGCGCTCAATTTCTTAGAAAGTCACTTTAGAAACGCGGGAACTTAGAAAAGTTTTTTTTTGTAATTTAATTATTGATAATTGTTTTAATTTAATAATCTCCGCGCGATTAGTTTCTTCCCTTTATACTCAGAAAGTGACTGACTACTCAAACTCTAATGTTCTAACCACAGACTAACACACTGCTCATACATACTCACAGGATAACCTAGCAGGCCTATTGTTGTCCCGGCACGCTATGCTACGTTTCCACGAGAGTTTTTGACTGCTATCTAATGGCCACTTATTGCACATAATACCCATTCAGGGTTTAAGTTTTACAACTTTAAAGAAATACTCCAATTTTTAACATAAAAAATAAAATTTATGAATCTATTGAAGGAGTTTGTATTTCGTTTCCAAAGGAGCCTTAAATATCCCTGATACAGGGATTGGTCGTGTACTAGCGTATGAGCAGTCTGAGTTAGTCAGTGGTTCTAATCTTTGCAACCTGATGTCGTAGACCTTATATATTTATCAAACTGTGATTTCTGCTGGATCAAATAGTCAAAATTTTAAATATCATTGGATTGCATAATCAGGTTTCAAAGAAAAAGGTGTAAAAAAATTAGTGGTTGAGGCAAGAAATCAGCTTTTTATTTGAATGGTTTAGAAAGGACCGGATGGGCGGATTTTTGGTAATGCCAATTTGGTAATGACAATTTGGTTAAGACAATTTGGTAATGACAATTTGGTAAGGTGACAATTTGGTAACGACAATTTGGTAATGACAATTTGGTAATGACAAATTGGTTACAACAAAAAAGTGACCATTTGGTAATAAAAATTTGGTAACGTCATAACAGTGACAATTTGGTAAACGAAATAAAAGTGACGTTATGTAAAATTGTTTAAATTTTAGTTTTATATTCAATTGAAGATAATTGATTTTAGGAATCTTTTATTTCTGCACAAAAGAAATGCGCCAAAAATAATTGTAAAATTCGCAATATTTTCTAAAATATAATTTTATCCTTTAATTTGATAATTTAATTAAAATTCCTGCATTCCTTGATTCCGTCAACATGTTTTAGATTAATTTGGAAATCTATCATTTCTCCAAATTCTATCTTGAAGCCGGATAAATCTGCGAAGAGCTTTAAGCAGGCTCTTTGGTAAAACGTTATCACGCTTCTTCTAGTTTCTTTTATTTTAACATAATTATCAAAACCGACATTTGACAATAATTCAATTGTTTATTAATAGGGAGGGAGGAGGGAGGGGGGGTTGTCATATGGATTGGCGGGTTTATAAGGTAGCTTGACTATCTATTTCCGTAATTAAGACCTGGAGTTGCATTTGGCCTTAACTGGACTGTAGACGTAATTTCAACACCCTTCATCCTTTATCTCATGAATCACTATAGTTTCAGTAGAAGTAAATATTTCCATTTACTGATAGCGCCAATTGAAGGATTCATAACTCTGATTGGATAATGAGATAGATAGAAATATAGATGTTACCGCCATTACTATTTCTTTTGGTTCAGAATAGACATCAAACACATGACTGAACCCTGATTGGATCAAGTGCTAATGGACTCGGCATACAGGAGTGCAATAATCCCTGTGGTACTTGAAAACCAGGATACACTGGGGTGGGGGTGTCAATTTTGAACCCCTTCTAAATCCCATGTGTTTGATGTCCAAATATGACAAATGATACATCATTGGAAAGCTTTTATGATCTACTTTGAGAATCTGCAAAAAATTGCAAATTTACAAAAAAAATCGTGTAGAAATAGTAAAATTGTTTCCAAAAAGAATTTCCAAAAAATGATAAAATATACATTTTTAAAAAGCCCTTGACCATGCCATTTAAAATATGCCAAAATTTGTGCAAAATTTAAATAACCTGATGTGTAATTAAGAAAATTTAAAAATGTTCAAATTTTTGACGGGTTGTATGCAAATACTTGCAAAATTTCTTTGCAAATCGCGTGCAATCCGTTTCCTTAGTCATAGGCTTTCCAAAAAGCTAAAAACTTTTAAAATCTGACTACTGAAAGTGGGTCAAAACAAAGATTTAGTATTTTGTAGGAGTATAAAATGCAGGAGGGGTTTTAAAGAATAGGGTTAAGTGGCTGCATGATGATTGGTTCCATATTTAAAGACAAAAGTTCCGACTCACACCTCTATTTTACAGAAAATACCCGCATCACATTTTACAGAAAATATTCGCCTTTAATTTTATAGAAAATACGCCCCCACCCCATTTTACAATAGATATCCACTCTGTATTTTACAGAAAATATCCGTCCCCCATTTCACAGAAAACACCCCCCACCCCATTTTAAAGTAAATATCCCCCCCCTAATTTTACAGAAAATACGCCCCCCCCCCAATTTTACAGAAAAGAACTGTTGTCCAATGCTACGACGTATATTAAACTATGTTGACAATACAGTTATTTCAACTTCACTTTTTATAATTTTCTGTCTGGTCTAATTTCTCTTCTCCGAGTACCTTCTCAACAAATACAGAGCTCTAGGGATATTCACCAACATCGCTGAGCGGAGCGGTATTGCGTATTTTCGAAAAGCTTTTCTACAAAATAGATTGGTTTAGTTTGAAGAACCTTTTATATAATTAGATCCTTTAGGATTTTAAATGCATTTAATTTACATCTATCCAACTGTTCTTGTTTGATTATGAATCTAATTTCTTTCTTTTTTAAGGTTCACACACTCTTAATTTTAAAGTTTTAATCTTTACAATACTTACGTTGTAGCATTAAACACGCTTATTTTAAAACTAAAAACGATTGTTTCTTTCTTTAATTTTAAGAAGTTTGCTAAAAATTGTGATAGAACTTTGCATAGAAACATCTTAATATCGTAAAGGATAAGTTTTATTCGTGGAGAACCATTTTAAGTTCCTAGCTTGCTTTGCAGTTAAATATATATAAAATATTGTGTTTTTGACAGAAATGTTTAAAAACACGCTGAAAAAAAAATCAAAACAACCCATGTTATTTCATTCAAATATGAACACGAATAGCGTTTACAAAATAAGTAAATCTAAGTAAACTTAATTAAGCTTGATGGAGGTGCAAGGAGGTTAGACAACTATTTTATAAAGTACGGCGGAAAAATGCAAAAAATAATTATGTGTGAATTTTAGATTTTATTTAGTTTTAGATCTAAATTATTTTATTTGGTTTTAGAACCAATAACTAAAAAACGGATCTATGTGGTCTTTTGACCGTCCTCTTCTTATTATTTTTCTGTTCGGTACCAGTACAAACGTCGGACGCACAAACGTCAGACGCCACAAACGTCGGACAGTACAAATTTTGTACTGGGCCGACGTTTGTACTGGTCCGACGTTTGTACTGTCCGACGTTTGTAAGTCTTATGTTTGTACCGTCCGACGTTTGTGGGTCCGACGTTTGTACTGGTACCTTCTGTTCTCTTAAAGGAGTCTACAGTAAGACTATATGGCGTTTTTTGATAAAAATAATTATTTTTTTTCGGAGTTTTAAATCAATAAATGAATTCATTTTGCTTTCTATTCGTAAAGATTTAAACGGATTTGATTTTCACAATATTTTTCTATTAAAATGAGTTAAAATTTATGTTAATGAAAAGCAAACTTTTTGCTCATGTTGTACACTTATTTTTCTTTCAAAATTTCAGGTTATTTAAGGAGTTTGAAATTTGCGACGTCTCTTATGGAAAAGTTATTGGGTTCATTTTTTAATTCAGTTTAACATTTCTATACGAGTGCTTAATTTAACTTCAGAGAAAAACATGGTTTAAAGTAGATTTAGAAATAAAAAAATGCATACAAAGTTTAAAAAAGCAAAAAAAAATCCCTACTGAAATATTTCAAATCTTTTGAGTCTACTAAAACTGGCCTGAGATAAAAAATTGTTAAAAAAAAACATTTTCTTTATACACATCTTTATCCTTGTTTAATATTGCATCCAAATCAGACTTCCATAATTGTCAGATAATTGTTACATTAGTTTTGGATTGACCCCAAAAAAGTAGTAAAACGTAAAAAAGTAAAACACAAAATATACTTTTTTCTTTCTATATAATTCTCAATTGTACTTTTAAAAAAACATTTTTCATCTCTCTTCTCCTGTACTTGACTCCAGTAAGCTTAGTAATCTTTTGAGAGACGTTGAAGGATTATATAGTTGAGGTCCTATTCTATTTAGGGTATACTGGTAAACTGGTAAACTGGTGTTCTAGAATATACTTGTATACTGGTATACTGGTATACGGGTATACTGGTATACTAGTATACTGGTGTACTGGAATACTGGTATACTAGTATACTGGTATACTGGTGTACTGGTATAAGGGTATATTGCACCAAATTAGGTTTGTTTGAGAATATCAGTGAGTAATCTGTTAGTGTGGTTGACGGTTAGAGAAAAGAGAAGTTAAGAAATATCTGAAGTTTGGTTTATTCTCCATCTCTCGCTAGATCCATCCAGTCTCCATCTCTCTTCGACGGGATGCAAGAGACGTTAGTTCTCTCTGGGTCTTCAGAATATAAGTTTATATTTTACTGACATATTTCATAGTTTATATTTTATTATTTTTAATTCTCATTATCGCGTTTTTGTTTACGAAACTAGTCTTAGGGCACTTTGCAACCATTAACTATTTTGATCGTAAGCATTTTCTCTTTGAATACATTGTAAAACAAAAACAAAACAAAGATTTTGCGGATTTTATAAAAATAAATTGTAGTGAATTTTAAAAATTTTCAAAAATCGAATTTTTAACGGTATGATGTACACATTAAACATGAACAACATGTATATGATATGCAAAACTTTTCGTCCTGGCATTTTTAGCATTAAACACAATCTCTATATTTCTTAAGTAGTTATTAAAATAAATATAATAACGTCATCTTTGTTAATTTTATCCAAGTTTTAACATTTTATCTTTTTCCTAATTAAACTTTTAAAGAAAAGTTTGAACAATTTTAAAGCTTTCAGATGAAAAGAAAGAAATATGAATTTGGTGAAATCTGAGAACTTTATCTACGAGTCTACCCACTTAATCTACTTTTAATTTCAAAGAAATAATTTTAAAAGTTGAAATTCCTCGGACGAACAAACTTTGTGAATCAAACTAAGCCCCCTTTAACAATGGGCTTAGTTTAAAGCTTCTCCTCCCTGTTAAACCACCATCTCGGAGAATGTCTGGCTCCGTCCCGTTCTTTGAGTCTGGAGCAGGACTGCTGACTGTAGGCCTGTGTTGCTGTTTGACCGGGTTTATTGTGTTCTGCTGTATAGATGTATTCTGGTTGAAGAAAGAGCTGAGAACAAAACATGATACCTGGACACAATTAGGAAACAACAAACTTAATCAAATATATATTTTTGGGGGATAGGGTTCGTGGTTTTTAAAAGTAGGTAAAAGACTAAAAAATAAAGATGATCGATCTTAATTTTATGTGGATCCGTAACGAGGCCGTGAACCATTTATTTAGTTTCTTTGTTTCCAGCTGACCTCTAAACAGTCGGGCTTCATATAGGCCTTTCATATTCTTAAATACAATTCGGCATTGTAAATATAATTTCAAGTAACACTCCATGCAGAGATGCCCGATTTACAACGGTACCCCTAAAAACTTTGTCTGATCAAGAATGCATTAACCCTATCAAGGCTGGGGGGTCTAAATCTATGTATGAAGAAATTCAATGAAATAAACACTTTTCGTGTCGTGTCTAGAGTACCGTTGTAAATCGAGCTTCGCTATCTTTGCATGAAGGGTCACTAGAAATTATGCTAACAGTCCAGTAAAACACTTTTAGAAAAAACTCCTTTCCTTTACGAAGAAAAATCAAGTTTTAGCCTAAGAACCAATAAAAGTAATTTAAAGAATGATCTGTAGAAACAGTAAGAACTTAGTTGTATAACAGACAGTGACACATCGCAACTATAAACTACAGAGAACAGAAAATCTCAGGTTTAAAAACTATTGCTTAATTACAAATTTATTGGGGACGTATAAGGAAGAATCAAAGACAACCTATCGCTACCACTTTCATTTCCTTCCGATATTTTGGTAAAAGGATAGTTTGAAATTTGAACCGTCTTGTCTGGAACTACAGAAAAAATCTCTACTGATGCTGTCAAGTGGGCTAACCTGCTGTTTCAGTTCAGATAAAAATAAAAATATCGATGAAAATTTTTAGTTTGATTTATTTTCTAGACACACTCTAATTTATTTCAGACTAGAAGGTTAAATAGACAGAACAAAAATACGAATTAAAGATAATTATAATTAAATAAAAATGTCGAGAATGATAAATACGTACCTCTTTTGTCATCCTCTAAAGACTCTGAAGAAAGGAACAAAAGAAGAAATGAATAATCTGTTTGTGCCTTTATATATATGTACGTGGGATGTGTGTGTGTTCGTGCTTTAACAGCATAGAAAGGAACTGAACACTTGCCTCAAACTCTAAATTTATTATCATTAAATCTTTGCAACCTAAGGGTGTACAGTTATGCCAAACTTTGAACAACCAGAAATCTGATATTTGGTTACATATGGTATATAAAATCAAGAACAACCAGAAATCTGATATTTGGTACATGGTATATAAAATCAAGAACAACCAGAAATCTGATATTTGGTACATGCATATAAAATCAAGAAGAACAACCAGAAATCTGATATTTGGTACATGGTATATAAAATCAAGAACAACCAGAAATCTGATATTTGGTACATGGTATATAATATCAAGAACAACCAGAAATCTGATATTTGGTACATGGTACATACATGCAGTTTACCATGTGTACATACGTACTTTGTACAATGAATAGAAATGGTTGTGAAGTTGGTTTTCTCCAGCCGGTTTCTGATATTCTATTGAATATTGATCCTTTAAGTCGGGTTTTGATTAAATACTGATTCTCAAATCCCTGGGCCGACAGTTTCCGCAACTTTTTCAGTGAACTGTGAGCTGTTATAAATCTGCACATGATGAAAGGAATTGGAACAGGAACTGGAACAGGAACTGGAACAGGAACTGGAACAGGAACCGGAATAGAAAGTGGAACTAGAACTAGAACATGAACTAGAATATGAACTAGAACATGAAATTTAAAATGAACTATAAGAACATGAACTAGAATATGAACTAGAACATGAAATTTAAAATGAACTATAAGAACATGAACTAGAACTAAAACAGGAACTGGAACTAGAACTGGAACTGGAACTGAAACAGTAACTGAAACTGGAACAGGAACTGGAACTAGAACAGAAACTGAAACAAGACCAGGAACTGGAACTAGAACAGGAACTGGAACTAGAACAGGAACTGGAACTAGAACGGAAACTAGAACTAGAACAGGAACTGGAACTAGAACAGGAACTGGAACTAAAACAGTAACTGACACTTTGAAACTAGAACAGGAACTGGAACTAAAACAGGAACTGGAACTAGAACAGAAACTGAAAATAAACAGGAACTAAAGAAGGAACTGGGACAGAAACTAGAAAAGAAACAGGAACTAGAACAGAAACTGGGACTAGAAAATGAATTAGAAAAGAAACTTAAACTAGAACAGGAACTGAAACTAGAACAGTAACTGAAACTAGAACAGGAACTGAAACTAGAATAGGAACTGGATCTAGAACAGTAACTGAAACTAGAACAGGAACTAGATTTAGAACTGTAACTGAAACTAGATCAGGAACTGGATCTAGAACAGCAACTGAAACTAGAACAGTAACTGGATCTAGAATAGTAGCTGAAACTATAACAGGAACTGGATCTATAACAGTAACTGTAACTATAACAGGAACTGGATCTAGAACAGTAACTGAAACTAGAACAGGAACTGGATTTAGAACAGTAACTGAAACTAGAACATGAACTGGATCTAGAACAGTAACTGAAACTAAAACAGGAACTGGATCTAGAACAGTAACTGAAACTAGAACAGGAACTGGATCTAGAACAGTAACTGAAACTAGAACATGAACTGGATCTAGAACAGTAACTGAAACTAAAACAGGAACTGGATCTAGAACAGTAACTGAAACTAGAACAGGAACTGGATCTAGAACAGTAACTGAAACTATGACAGGAACTGGATCTAGAACAGCAACTGTAACTAGAACAGGAACAAGAACTAGAAAAAGAACAAAAACTGGAATAGTAGGAGTAACTGATTACAAACGTTATCGCACATTAGTTAAAGTTTACATAATTTATATAATTGATTACTTTAACTATTTTTTCCTTCTTTCTTATTGTTTAATCTTTATTAACATATATTTTAAATATGTTTAACATAATTGTTTGTATTTTGGTGACTAAACACTAAACTACGCAAACAAATTAATCTATAATATTTAACAGAGTATATGTAAACATATTTTGGTAAACATTAGAATCTTCGAGCAATGTTTATAATCCTGCTCATTCAACCTCAACACTTCTTTACTCTTTCCTGATCCCTTTTACATCCTGATCCCTCCTTCATCCATATTCATTCTCCATCCTGATCCCTCCTCCATCCAGATCCCTCCTTATCCCTTCTCCATTCTGATCCCTCCTTATCCTGATCCCCCCACTCTTTATCCTTCCTCGATATTGATTCCTCCTCACTTCTAATCACACCTTCGCCCTGATCCCTTCTCAACCCTGATCCTCCTCCACCCTGTGATCCCTTCTCCGCCCTGATCCCTCCTCCCTCCTGATCCCTCCTATATTCTGATCCCTCCTTCATCTTGATCCCTCCTCAACCCAGATCCCTCCCCATTCCTCCTCATCCTGACCCCGTCTCCATCCTGAACCCGTCTCTATCCTAAACCCTCCTCCCTCCAGTACCCATCTTCATATTGATCTCTTCTCTTCTTGATCCCTCCTTTACCATCATCCTAAGTAAAACGTTAGTTCAACAACAATTGAAATATTTTGAAGTACGAAAAGGCAAGCCTGCATGAAAAGGTTCAACTTCTCAAGAAATTTTAATTTCGTACATATGTTATGTATTGACTAATAATATACAATCTAGTTGTATTTTTGGACACTTTAAAAACATTATTTAAATACACCATTTTATCATATGATATCAATACATTGTGTGTTAAGTATATTTTAATGAAACTACAGATCAACTCTCAGTTCATAATGAATATATATATATATACAGCCACCTATAATATATATTAGATATATAAACGTTAAGCTAAACCATTCCGGTAGAGTGAGTGTAAGTAATGATTCTATTTTTTAATGGAACCCTTTCACAGAGATACGTGGAGTAATGAATCCATATCACCACTACGAAATTACTGCGAATGATTAGACCCAGGATACTTCTAGTTTCCTTCCTAACATTCCAATCAATACATACATCCTTTCATTATACTCAAACTATACTCTACACTCTACACTCCAACTATACTCTACACTCCAACTATACTCTACACTCCAACTATACTCTACACTCCACTCTCCAACTATACTCTACACTCCAACTATACTCTACACTCCACTCTCCAACTATACTCTACACTCCAACTATACTCTACACCCCAACTATACTGTACACTCCAACTAATCTCTACACCCCAACTATACTCTACACCCCAACTATACTCTACACCCCAACTATACTCTACACTCCAACTATACTCTACACTCAAACTATACTCTACACCCCAACTATACTCTCTACACCCCAACTATACTCTACACCCCAACTATACTCTACACCCCAACTATACTCTACACTCCAACTATACTCTACACTCAAACTATACTCTACACCCCAACTATACTCTACACTCCAACTATACTCTACACTCCAACTATACTCTACACTCCAACTACACTCTACACTCCAACTATACTCTACACCCCAACTATACTCTACACTCCATCTATACTCTACACTCCAACTATACTCTACACCCCAACTATACTCTACACTCCAACTTTACTCTACACTCCAGCTATACTTTACACCCCAACTATACTCTACACCCCAGCTACACTCTACACTCCAACTATACTCTCCACTCCAACTTACTCTACACTCCAATTATACTGTAATATTGCAGGGATATCCTACCTGGAGTTGAACTAAGAGCGCTAATAGAGAAAGTAAAACCTGGAGATACATTTGAAGCAGAAAAGAAAACCTGTTCTCTTCTTGGTAAATAAAATTCCTTTTCAAAAATCTGAAAAATTTAAAATATCGAAAATAAAATTATATGCAAAATATTGGTTCTGACAACACATATATACAAAAACAATTCAAAATCGTTTGTCAAAGAACAATTTGACTTATTTGCCTCAAACTTTGACTGAGAATGTTTTTGCTTGATTTTATAGGTTGACTTTCATAAAGAAAACTAGGCAGACCCGGGTTCTCCCAAATAAATTTTCTTTGTTTGAACGTGTGTTTGGGTGTATGTATGTTTGTTTGTATGTCCGATAAAATTCATGAATGAAACAACTTTTCTTTTTTAGACAATGTAAACTAATCTTTACAATTACAATCTACATGTTAAAAAAACATCTTCAATATTTTAACCCTATTCCAATTGGCATTGGTCACCTAGAATATTTTTTTACTTTTCCGATAAATGCCTCTCACATACTTTAAATAAAAAAATTTTTGCTAAATTTTAGAATAAAAAATAGATTGTTGAAAATTTGTTATTTTTTCAAATATTATTTAAGAAAATACAAAGTGCTTTCCAAAAAAGACAATAAGAAAATAGAGACGAGAGGGAAGGGTGTTCTCGGTTGCAGTCAGTAGCAGATTCTGATATTATATTGTTGTTTAGAGAAAGGAACAGTTGGAATATTTGGACCAAGATCTAAACCTAACTCTGAGCATATTAAATCAATAACTGATAGCATGGAGATACCGTATATTGAAACCCGTTGGAACTACAGATCCCAGGATGTGATAGGTAAACTTCAGATGCATTCACATAGGTTCATAGAATTGAGTTTTTATCTTCTTCTATATCTTTGCAACCCAATATCGTAGGCCTTGAATATTTCAAACTATTTATTTTGGTAGATCACTGTATTCTGGTCGAACACCGTACAACATTATAACCTACTTTAAAGTTTAAACTGTTCACCATTAAAACATAGTGTTAACCAAGGAGAGTTTGAATAGAAGGGTTTCCGTACACTTTTCTGTGACGTTTTTGGACTTCTGAAGAACTAGTTTTTGCGTAACAACAATAACAAAGGCAGCCGATCTAATGTAAACAAACATGAGTTTATAGTAAACTGTGAAAGTAGTATTTTCTTGTTAAAAAAGATTGGTTAAAGTTAAGGATTTTAGTTATAAACGAAAATGACCTTTTTACAGAGACATTTTCAATAAAATTCAAGGTTATCCTGCCCCCCCCCCCCCACAAGATGTCTGTTTATCATTTGTTTTATTGTTTACAATCTTTATTATTGTTGTTACACAAAAGCTAGTCCTGCAGCAATCCAAAAACGTCACAGCAAAGTGTACAGAAACCCTATCGCCCCTTCCTTCTATTCAATATTTCTTTGGGTAACCGTATAGTATGAAAGTTTGTACTGTCCAAGGTTATCATGAACAAAATTTACATAAACAAAAGTATATTCTTTTGAATTTTTCGATTTTCTTTATTTTTGTTGACGGATGCGTTTTGATTGGAAAAGTAAAAAAAGACAACTCCGTCAGTTTACAGATTGGTGAATTATGGACAAAGAGAAAAGAATATATACTAGAAGGGAATTTACTAGAAAAAATTGTAAAACGGCCATTTTGTTGTACTGTTTCCATCCTGCAGAGCCCGAAATTTAAATTAGTATAGTTGAACGAAACTCCCGAGTTTCCTTTTTTGGGGTCTTATTTGCGTAGATTTTGATTTAAGAGATTCGGAAAAAAATGGAGAATATAAACAAACTATAAAAATAATATTTCATTGCAAAAATATTTATATTCACAAAAATACCTAACCCCATTCGTGAAACCCGGGTTTTAAAACTGGTTTTAAGAACGATACCCTGTTTTAAGTTTTGGGCTCAGGTGTACTTCACATATTTGCGTTTCTTAAAGTCCCTGGAACATAATTTTAAAGAAAATCTAAAATTAACATTGAAAGAAAACCAAATTATGAAATAGGCTGGTTTCATAATTGACCAAAGATCATTTTACATAGACTCTATGCCTTTCACTTTACAAACGATGATTTTTCGTTATAACTATAAATGAAATGATGTTTTTTATTCACCTTATTCATTTTATAAAGTTTATTTAACAGCTTTAAAAAAATCGAAATTGAAATGGATAGTCTAGGGAACATACTGTATTAATGTACTCTACTGCATATAATTTGTGAACATTTACATGATTCGTACATTTTGAACTCCCTTTTAGGCTGAAAGGGACTGAAAAAATTCATACCGAGAGATTGTCTAAATTCCCCTCTAATATATATTCTTTTCTCTTTGATTATAGACCAAAACGGGGTTGTAATAAAATTGAAGAAACTGAACACGCATCTTGCTCTGGGGTAGTTCCGGGTGCTCTGTCGTCATCCTGTATTTAAACGTGGACTAAACCTGGAAGAAATAAAACAAATTATTTCAGAAATTAACAAAGTCATTTGAACAAAATAAAATGTTTAAACCTCAATATCTTTAGAACCCGATGTTGTGAATCTTTTATTTTTCATTTGATTTAATAGCATTCATATTTTGGAATATCTAAGGTCTGCGAAATTTGGTTCCGAAGATATAGTGATTAGAAAATCAGAGTTTGTGGCAAAGACTCAATTCCTTTAAATATCCTAAGATTTTTTAGTTTTATCATAACATGTAATTATGAGAATCAAAAGATATGCCTTGTACCGCTGAATACCGTTCATTTGTTTGTTTTTTAATATTTGCAAAATTTTTTAGGTAAAGAGCTAAACAAATTTTCTTTACCAAAACCGTATTTTTTTATCTAAATTTTGTTTTATTTTTGACAGATTTTTACGATTTTAACACTTTTAAATGAAGTGTTCCAAGGCGGATAGTTTAATAACCATAATTATATATTTTCACGAAAGTTACTCTTAATAAATTAAATTCGTTTAAAATATATCGTTTTAAAGGAAAAATTAGATCATGTGTAAGATTTTATTAAATAAGGGTTCAATAGTTTCTTATTAGATATGTTCACTTTTTCAGAAGATGAAAATTTAAACCAATTTCTTTAAAAAATGTTCTTGAACAATTAGCTTTCAGATAAAAGAATTAAGTCTGGTACTTTTCTAAAAGTTTGAACTTTTACTAAATTAAATTATTAAAATGAATTTTTTCTACTGGTTTTTATTCTAATTCTAGAAGATTAAATTTCAATTTAATTAAAACCTCTTTTATTGAAAATTTTCAACAAAAAAATTTAGCTTTAAATTTGAAAAATCGTATTTTCTCGGAAAAAAAATACCAACATTGTAGAACAAAGTTCCGCTTAAACAAAACGCACAAACAACTAGTGATATCGAGTTTGAACATTTGAACCTTTGAAAAATCAAAATCGGTAATAAGTTGACAATTATTCAAAAATAGTTTTTGTTAAAAATGCAATTTTTAAATGCATAACAAATAGGTAAATATCATTAAACTGTTCAATTGAATTCAATGGACTCTATGTTTACAGAGAAGTACATGAAAAAAATATATTGTAAAGGTTCAGCAGGAGAATATGCGTTTAATTTGCATCCTGACATCACTACCCTTGGTTCAGCATACCTTGATATTTTGGAGGCGTACTCTTGGAAAACTATCACAATTCTTTATCAGGTTCCTTTTCTTATTAGGTTCCTTTTATATCAGGTTCCTTCTTTTATCAGGTTCCTTCTTTTATCAGGTTCCTTCTTTCATAAGGTTCCTTCTTTCATAAGGTTTCTTCTTTTATCAGGTTTCATCTTTTATCAGGTTCCTTCTTTTATCAGGTTTCTTCTTTTATCAGGTTCCTTTTCTTATTAGGTTTCCTTTTCTATCAAGTTTCAGGTTCCTTCTTTTATCAGATTCCTTTTCTTATTAGGTTTCTTCTTCTATCAGGTTTCTTCTTCTATCAAATTTCATCTTTTATCAGGTTCCTTCTTTCATCAGGTTCCTTCTTTTATCAGGTTTCTTCCTTTATCAGGTTCATTTTCTTATTAGGTTCCTTTTTTATCAGGTTCCTTCTTTTATCAGATGTCTTCTTTTATCAGGTTCTTTCTTTAAACAGGTTCCTTCTTTCATCAGGTTCCTTCTTTTATTAGGTTCCTTCTATTATCAGGTTTCTTCTTTTATCAGGTTTCTTCTTTTATCAGATTCCTTCTTATATCAGGTTTATTTTCTTATTAGGTTCCTTCTACTTTCTGGTTTAATCTTTTATCAGGAATTCCTTCTTTTATCAGGTTCTTTCTTTAAACAGGTTCCTTCTTTTATCAGGTTCCTTCTTTTATCAGGTTCCTTCTTTTATCAGGTTCCTTCTTTTATCAGGTTCCTTTTATCAGATTCTTTGTTCGCCAATTTGTAAAAATAAATCAGATACAAATATATTTCTGATTCTTTTGTTTTTAAGATAGCAAGGTTAACACAACAATATTTTTAACTAGAACTTTTTATTTCTCAATATACTAATATTTGTTTCTAGCTAGAATCTATATTTCTAGCTATAGTAATCTATATTTCTAGCTAGTAATCTATATTTCTAGCTGTTAATCTATATTTCTAGCTAGTAATCTATATTTATAGCTGTTTGCCTATATTTCTAACTAGTAATCTATATTTCTAGCTGTTAATCTATGTTTCTAGCTAGTAATCTATATTTCTAGCTAGTAATCCATATTTCTAGCTACAGTAATCTATATTTCTAGCTGTTAATCTATATATCTAGCTATTAATCTATATTTCTAGCTAGTAATCTATATTTCTAGCTATAGTAATCTATATTTCTAGCTAGTAATCTATATTTCTAGCTGTTAATCTATATTTCTAGCTAGTAATCTATATTTCTAGCTGTTAATCTATATTTCTAGCTAGTAATCTATATTTCAAGCTATAGTAATCTATATTTCTAGCTAGTAATCCATATTTCTAGCTATAGTAATCTATATTTCTTGCTAGTAATCTATATTTCTAGCTGTTAATCTATATTTCTAGCTAGTAATCTATATTTCTAGCTAGTAATCTATATTTCTAGCTGTTCATCTATATTTCTAGCTGTTAATTTATATTTCTAGCTAGTAATCTATATTTCTAGCTAGTAATCTATATTACTAGCTAGTAATCTATATTACTAGCTAGTAATCTATATTACTAGCTGTTAATCTATATTTCTAGCTAGTAATCCATATTTCTAGCTAGTAACCTATATTTCTAGCTAGTAATCTATATTTCTAGCTAGTAATCTATATTTCTAGCTAGTAATCTATATTTCTAGCTAGTAATCTATATTTCTAGCTAGTAATCTATATTACTAGCTAGTAATCTATATTTCTAGCTAGTAATCTATATTACTAGTTATACTAATTTATATTTCTATGTTAGTATAATTCTAGGATAATGATTCAATGATGACTCTGAAGGAAATATTTGCTAAAACTGCAACAGTAGCATCTCCAAACGAATTTAGGAAAATCATTTTTTTATGCAGACTTTTTTTCTTTTTCTCAAACAATATTAATCCTTCAGAAAAAAATTAAGACTTGCCTCAAACTAAAATTTTCTTATCCCTTTCTCTTCGAAACCTGATGGTGTAAACTATGGTCTACGACATCGGGTTGAAAATATTTAGGAACTAGGAAATTAGAGTTTATGGCAAAAAATCAGTTTCATTAACTGACAATTTTGAGTTCTGTAAAACTGATTTTTGAAATAGGATTGTGGTAAAACAACTAATAAATAATGAGAACGGATACAGAGACGTTCTAAAAGAGATATTTCAGTCGGAGTCAAACTTTATCGTCCTGGAGTGTGAAAAGTTTATTCTAGCGGAGGTCTTGAAGCAATGTCAGCAGGTTCAACATTTATGTTAGCGTCCATTGTATTAGTATATGTAATATGTATATATATAGTACTAGCGCAAGAACCCAGCTTTACCTGAAAACTTTTTTTTCTTCACAAAAGTCGAAATTCTCAACTTCAAACTTTTCAACCAAGCTAAGAACATTTCTGTGTTCCTAACGAGTTCTGCAATCAAAATTTAACCCTGAGTTATGATCAGACATACAAACAGACATACAAACAGACATACAAACAGACATACAAACAGACATACAAACATACAAACAGAGATCAGTTCTTTATAAATACAGAAGATACATGTATATATAATATACATAGTATCAAGTATCTAGTATGCTTATTAAAATAGTTGTGAAAATATTTAGGTTGGTTTGATCAGTCATGGATATTTCTTCCTGTTAACCAGCCTTGACTCCCATACAGTCAACCTGGATGATTTCAAGCACGGTGGAACCAACTTCTCCGCGCTCCGGATGATTGATATTGATAAACCCGAGGTTCAGAACGTGCTCTACAGTATTGCTCACACAGCAGTTCTGGAGTCCCGAGGGCAACCGGATATACAGATTAGTGGGAACCTTGATACTGCAACCGCGCTAATCTACGATTCCGTCAACGCCTTTGCAATAGCGCTGCACGAGCTCAGCGCTGTTCAGCAGGTTCGACAGCGTCCATTAGACTGCTCTGGAAGGAACTCCTGGCCCCATGGCAACTCCTTGATCAACTACATGAAGATGGTTGAGTTCCAAGGGTTGAGCGGACCAATTAAGTTTGACGAGTCTGGTTTAAGAACTCATTTCGCTCTTTCTCTGATGGAACTCCAGTATCCAGGACTGGTAACAATGAATATAATATTATAAATCTATAAACAAATATATAAAAACTTTTCTCGGACAAATATCAAATCCAGATCCGACCCAATCTATGTTTTGTAAATATTTATTAAGTCCAAAAAGGATTAATATATATTTACTAATCAATAATAACCAGAAAAGCTGTTTTTGTAACGTGTTTTTCTTTTATGAGAAAAAATAATTGATTCTATGCACTATTGTATAATAGTTCAATATTCTTGAATTATTTGCACTTTCTGTAAAAGCATAGAAAATAGCTGCTGGATAGATGAGTTTATAATGATTTCTTGGATATTTACTAGCGTTCACAACACAAATTTAAGAAAATTGCGGGCGTTTCATAAATCTTCAATCCAACCCTTTCACAGGTTGTGGGAGTACTGCAAGTTTTTTTACATTGCTCCCAAAGCACAAAACTCCAAAGTTTCCTTTTCGGGTCTATTTGCATAGATTTTAATTTAAGATATGAGAAAAAACAAACAAAAAAAAGAATGTTACGGATACTGGGTTTCATCATAAGTTCAACCTTGTCTAGGTATGTGTTGGGACTTGGAATAGTAGTATATAGACTCCACCTTGTCTAGGTGTGTGTTGGGACCTGGAATAGCAGTATATAGACCCCACCTTGTCTAGGTGTGTGTTGGGACCTGGAATAGTATTGATAGACTCAACCTTGCTCGGGAGGAGAAGGGAGAAGGAAACATGGGAGATGTTCATCCGATGGCAAACAAAACGTTTGTCATCACAACTATCATTGTAATCATTTATTAAAATTTTTTTAATTAAAATTGAACATTCAATCAATCTTATAATGATAATATTGATAATGATGATAATAATAATCCGTCCAGTTTCCCCTTTTACTCTACTAACGTTTTTTCCCAATTAAACTCTCTAATGCTGATATTTGTTTGTTTTTAAAATATGTTCAAGTTTGAAAAAGTTCAAGCTTTTACAAACATTAAGTTAAATACTCTAGTTATCAAACGTGCAACAAGAAGGTTATGAACGGGGGGGGGGAGGGTAAAATTATGTAAAAACAATTCAGGTGTTTTGTAGAAGCAGGATACGTTTTATAACTGCATTATATTTAATAAAAACTGTGGGAATATCATCATACACAGATGTGTTAAAGCTTGTATTTAAACGTACCCAAAGACCTTGCTAGTTAGCAAAGCAAATTCTTTGTTTAAACCAATTAAGCTTGTTATTGCTGTTAAATGATCATCACTTTCTAACCAAATGAGAACTGAGCAGGGTTGATGAAAATTCTAACATAAACCGTGATAGGATTAAAAATGTTTTGATGTTTTATTTGCTTCAACATTTCAAGCTCTTTTTTACATTCCTACCAAGAACTGTTATAAATTGTTGTAAACAAAGATATTATAAGTGATGCTGCAGTGTATATTCCATGTTTACATTCCTACCAAAAACAATATAAACTCTTGTAAACAAAGATATTATAAGGGTTGCTGCAGTGTATATTCCATGTTTACATTCCTACTAAAAAATGGTGTAAACTGTAGTAAAGAAAGATATTATAAGGGTTGTTGCAGTGTATATTCCATGTTTACATTCCTACCAAAAACAATATAAACTGTTGTAAAGAAAGATATTATAAGGGTTGCTGCAGTGTAAATTCAATGTTTACATTCCTACCAAAAACAATATATACTGTTGTAAACAAAGATATTATAAGGGTTGCTGCAGTGTATATTCCATGTTTACATTCCTACCAAAAACAATATAAACTGTTGTAAAGAAAGATATTATAAGGGTTGCTGCAGTGTATATTCAATGTTTACATTCCTACCAAAAAACAATATAAACTGTTGTAAACAAAGATATTATGAGGGTTGCTGCAGTGTAAATTCAATGTTTACATTCCTACCAAAAACAATATAAACTGTTGTAAACAAAGATATTATAAGGGTTGCTGCAGTGTATTTTCCATGTTTACATTTCTACCAAAAACAATATAAACTGTTGTAAAGAAATATATTATAAGGGTTGCTGCAGTGTATATTCAATGTTTACATTCCTACCAAAAACTGATATAAACTCTTGTAAACAAAGATGTTATAAGGGATGCTGCAATGTATATTCAATGTTTACATTCCTACGAAAAAAACTGATATAAACTCTTGCAAACAAAGATATTATAAGGGTTGCTGCAATGTATATTCAATGTTTACATTCATACCAAAAACTTATATAATCTCTTGTGAACAAAGATATTATAAGGGTTGCTGTAGTGTATACTCCATGTTTACATTCCTACCAAAAACTGATTTAAACTCTTGTAATCAAAGATATTATTAGGGTTGCTGCAGTGTATATTCAATGTTTACATTCCTACTAAAAACTGATATAAACTCTTGTGAACAAAGATATTATGAGGATTGCTGCAGTGTATATTCAATGTTTAAAAGACTAATTTTCTTTAGACTGTGTCCAATCTGTCTACCCACTCAGCTGTAAAATATGAATGAGGGGACCTAACTTTGGTATCTTTGACATCCGAATTCAACGCATAGATGGTTCCTTTCCCTCTTGAACGTTCAATTGCGTTCTATCATAGTCTTTTGGCACCTCATTTCTTTTAGAGATCAAGTGTGCTAATTGGCGCCAGGGATGACCAAGGTTCAAGTCACTCCTCGATTTTAAAGTTTACGTATCGGATATCACCCTGGACTAACAAGGGCGAGGTTTACGTATCGGATATCACCCGGTGTACTTACCAGGGCGAGGTTTACGTATCGGATATCACCCTGGACTAACCAGGGCAAGGTTTACATATCGGATATCACCCTGGACTAAGCAGGGCAAGGTTTACATATCGGATATCACCCTGGAATAACCAGGGCGAGGTTTACGTATCGGATATCACCATGGACTAACCAGGGCGAGGTTTACGTATCGGATATCACCCTGGAATAACCAGGGCGAGATGAGATTGTTTTTTCTTTTTTCTTTTAATCGCTTTATGAGATATAGTTCAACAAGTTTGACCCTCGATCAGTATACATGTATTTTGAACTTTTCTAGGTTTGAAGGGTTTACCTTGGATCTGGCTCTGGAGCTGTCCAAGATCTTGCATTTCAACTTTACATTCAAACTTGTTGATGATGGCTCGGTAAGAATATACAGTACAGTACAGTTTTTTCAAATTACAGGTTTACAAATAAACAAAGAGAAGCTGTTAATAGACAGATTCTCTTTGTTTTCATGTTTATGTTCATCAATGCTGTCTAAAAGCTTGGGAAAAATAAAATATTGAGATCGAAATTCGTCTTCATTGTATTGGAATAAACGACAAAGTATTGTATTGAAATATTTTCTGTCTTATTAGTTATTTTGATACCTCATTTTAAATATGCTGAAAAGAGCATAAAAGCATTTATTTAAAGGGTAAAAATGGGTTCCAAATTTTGATCAAATATCATGAACAAAGTTTATTTAAGATATTAAATCTTCATTTCAAATTTTTCCTAATTTAATTTACAGCTAAGTTTTTTACTCTTCCATTGTTCAAAATTCAAAGTATTAAATATTTCAGGTTAAAGTCGTATTTCTACACAGCTAATATCATAAATCATTGTAACTTCTTGTTATGAATATAATTATAATTAAATAATTGAATACAAAATATATTATCATAGTATGGTAAAGAGATAAGTCCTGGTAATTGGAACGGAATGATGGGTGAGGTTCTGGACGGAAAAGCAGATTTTATCATCGCTGATATATCTATTACGAGCCAACGTGCATCCGCTGTTAAGTTTACAATGCCCTGGATGAATCTAGGGATATCTATCCTCTATGTTCAACCACGCCCTGCACCGCCATCTATGTTGGCATTTCTGGATCCTTTCACAACAGATGTAAGTACATGATGTTTTCTTTCTCTTTCCTTTCATAACAGATGCAAGTACATAATATTTTCTTTCTGTATTCTTTCATTACAGATGTAGTTCATAATATTTTCTTTCTGTTTTCTTTCATAACAGATGTAGTTCATAATATTTTCTTTCTGTTTCCTTTCAAACCAGATGTAGTTCATAATATTTTCTTTCTGTTTCCTTTCATACCAGATGTAGTTCATTATATTTTCTTTCTGTTTCCTTTCATACCAGATGTAGTTTATAATATTTTCTTTTGTTTCCTTTCATTAAAGATGTAAGTAAATAATATTTTCTTTCTGTTTCCTTTTATAACAGATGTAAGTACATAATATTTTCTTTCTGTTTCCTTTCATACTAGATGTAAGTACATAATATATTCTTATTGTTTCCTTTTATAACAGATGTAAGTACATAATATTTTCTTTCTGTTTCCTTTCATACTAGATGTAAGTACATAATATATTCTTATTGTTTCCTTTTATAACAGATGTAAGTACATAATATATTCTTTTTGTTTCCTTTTATAACAGATGTAAGTACATAATATATTCTTATTGTTTCCTTTTATAACAGATGTAAGTACATAATATATTCTTATTGTTTCCTTTTATAACAGAAGAAAGTACAAAATATTTCCTTTCTGTAAGACTGAGAAATCAAGATTTCAAATGTTCTAATATATAAACTCTTTAAATCAAAAAGTATTTTCTGGATAGATTTATACTAAAGGAAAATTACAAATAAATTTTTATTGATTGTGTTAATGTGAGTGCTTAAAAGGTTTTAAAAAGTAGGTGGGGGGGGGGGGTAAACTTATATAAACAACTGGAGATTTCCCTGGATGTAAACTATATATTGTGATGTAGTTTTTGTTGTTGCTTTTTTAAAATGAAACCTTGTAAATCTTGGTAAAATGTTAATCATCTTCTAAATAAAACTTCAGGCAAACTTCATACAAAATTTAACTTTATTTTTAGGTTTTAGTAAAATTGATATTTTGAATTTTCCCATTCTCATTTTTATATTATATTAACAATTGAGACTTATGATTTATATCTAGAACGTCTGGTCTTAAGACTACAAAATATTTGTTTAGAAATATATTGAATCAATAATTTACGATAAAGGAGTTTAGTTTTGTCACAAACTCAGATTTTCTAAACCCAATATCTCTGCAACTGGATAGTGTAAAACTATGATATTTAAAACTCAAATTATTTGATCTACCAGTATTCACAGTTTGAAATATCTAAGGTCTACGATATTGGGCTGCAAAGTTATAACGATAGAAAAATTTTAGTTTGTGGCAAAGACTCAATTCCTTTAGAATCAAGATTGGTCAATGATTAAATATTTTAAAGAATAAAAGTTTAATTTAAACTTAGCTCTAAATGATCGAAGTGTTATTTTCTTTTTTTTCTCTATTTTGATATTAAATCTACAAATAAACTGATTATTCTTTGCAACCCGATGATGTAAACCTTTTGATATTTCAAACTTTGATTATTTGATCTAACACAGAATTCATAGTTTGGAATATTACATGTCTACGACATAGAAATAGAATATATTTTCAATCATTTGATATTACAGGTTTACCTAGGTACATCATACTAGTGTTTATATTTCAGGTTTACCTGTACAGTATCCTAGTGTTTGTATTTCAGGTTTACCTGTACACTATCCTAGTGTTTGTATTTCAGGTTTACCTGTACACTTTCCTAGTGTTTATATTTCAGGTTTACCTGTACACTATCCTAGTGTTTGTATTTCAGGTTTACCTGTACACTATACTAGTGTTTGTATTTCAGGTTTACCTGTACACTTTCCTAGTGTTTATATTTCAGGTTTACCTGTACACTATCCTAGTGTTTATATTTCAGGTTTACCTGTGCACTATCCTAGTGTTTGTATTTCAGGTTTACCTGTACACTATACTAGTGTTTTTATTTCAGGTTTACCTGTACACTTTCCTAGTGTATATATTTCAGGTTTACTTGTACATTATCCTAGTGTTTATATTTCAGGTTTACCTGTACACTATCCTAGTGTATATATTTCAGGTTTACCTGTACACTATACTATTGTTTATATTTCAGGTTTACCTGTACACTATCCTAGTGTTTGTATTTGTAACCCTGATTATATACGTCCTCGCCAGGTTTTCCCCAAACCAGTGGGAGGAACCTTCAAACTGTATCAAGGTACACTTTTTAATACAAACTAACAAAAATTTAACCTGACCTGGAATTTTTTTTTAGATATTTAACTTTTGATATCCACTGGGGACAGTTTTGATTTTATGCTTAATCCTCTCTTTTCATGGATATCCCTTCTGGGTTCTGAACAAAATTTCCCGGCTTCAGATTGCCTCTTAGGTTCTTGCAAACGACACTCTGATTGGTTGAATTATCCTGGATATCAAATAAAGATTTAATTAATCTGCAGATTAGCAAAAAGAGGAGATCAAGCATGCATTGATCTCGATATTCACAACACAAGAGTTTCCAGCTTTGATAAGATATTTAATATTTTTAAAAGGAATCTAGTTGGCAAACATAAACAATATTTTAAACTAACAAAAAGGAATGACATATGAATATAACTTAAGAAAATAAAACCATAATATTTTAATAAAAATAGTATGATGATAGATTGTACATAATAAAATAGTTACATATATGTAATCAGCTGGAAAATAATAATATGCCGGAAGAAAATAATTGCATTAATCTCATACTATCCACATGGAATGGATCTATATAAAAGGGGTTGTGAGGTGTTTGACAAAAAATCATTTAAAAAAAATGTAATTTGTGTTTGCAAATTTTTAAGCACGGGAAAGTTTTCAAAATAAAGATTTACTTATTGAGAAATAAAACTGAATTGAAAAAAAACAGATTAGATATCAAAATGTTTATGATTTCTATGGTTGTATTGTCTGATGATATTTTGATAAATTGTATTCCAGGATCCTGAAGAATATGAGAACCAGTACACACTTCTTAATTCATTCTGGTTTACAATGGGAGCTCTCATGCAGCAGGGTTCAGATGTTGCTCCGATAGCACTCTGTGTTAGGTTAGTTTCAAGGATAGAGCACTCTGTGTTAGATTAGTTCAAGTATAGAGCACTCTGTGTTAGGTTACCTCAAGGATAGAGCACTCTGTGTTAGGTTAGTTCAAGGATAGAGCACTCTGTGTTAGATTAGTTCAAGGATAGTGCACTCTGTGTTAGGTTAGATCAAGGATAGAGCACTCTGTGTTAGGTTACCTCAAGGATTGAGCACTCTGTGTTAGGTTAGTTCAAGGATAGAGCACTCTGTGTTAGGTTAGTTCAAGGATAGAGCACTCTGTGTTAGGTTACCTCAAGGATAGAGCACTCTGTGTTAGGTTAGTTTAAGGATAGAGCACTCTGTGCTTATAGGTTTGTTCAAATATAGAGCAGTCTGTGTTAGGATAGTTCAAGAAAATAGTACTCTGTGTTAGGTTAGTTCAAATATAGAGCACTCTGTGTTAGGTTAGTTCAAAAATAGAGCACTCTGTGTTAGGTTAGTTCAAGGATAGAGTCTCTGTGTTAGGTTAGTTATGGAAAAAGCACTCTGTATTAGGTTAGTTCAACGATAGAGCACTCTGGGTTAGGTTAGTTCAAGGATAGAGTACTCTGTTTTTGGTCAGTTCAATGATACAGTTCAATGATAGAGCACTCTGTGTTAGGTTTGTTCAAATATAGAGCACTCTGTGTTTGCTTAGTTCAAATTAATAGTACTCTGTGTTAGGTTAGTTTTAAGGATCATGAGAACACTTTGTGTGTTAGGTTAGGTTATCCTTGAGATAGAGCTTCTGTGTTGAGTTAGTTTTAAGGATAAAACACTCTATGTTAGGTTAGTTTCAAGGATTAAGCAAACTTTGGTAGGTTAGTTTAAGAACCAGTATCTGTTTTTTATTAATCTTTTTATAAAAATGTTTATCTGTGATATGTTTGAAACCTCTGTAAAGGTTTGCAGCTGGGATGTGGTTCTTTTTTGCTCTTATCATGATCTCCTCCTACACAGCAAATCTGGCGGCGTTCTTGACAGTTGAGACCCTGGAGAGACCAATAGAATCTGCAGAGGATCTTTCTTTCCAGGGAGATAAATTTCTTAAACTTTTTAAACTATAATGAGCAAAAGAAACATAGCCTTAAAAAACCAAATATTCAAAACTCTAGAAATCCTCAAAAACGTTTACGCTGAAACGTTAAGAACTCAAGCTATTTCAAACAAGTTAAAGCATTTTTGTCATGTTTTTGCATTACATATTGTTTGAACTATGTTTAAAAAGATTAAATTCCATTTTGTATTTAAAACTATATAATATCCTCACTACCCGCTAACCACCATATTTCTCCCCGAGCTTTCTTTCCTCCCCCCCTCCCCCCCCCCGGCTCCTTCTCCTGATTCCCTCTTTTCTTTTCCCAGTACTTTCCCCCCTAATTGCCCATTTTTTATGTTAAAAACTATCACAATTTAGTCAGGTCAGTTTTGGAGAAAAAAAAACTTTTGCCAATCTTATTTTTCATTCTTGGTCAAATTTTCTGATTCTAACAAGTTATTACTTTGCAAATTATCTCCTGATAATCTAGTTCCAAATGAACTTCCTTTTTCTTTTTGGCAAAATATTTTTTAATTTTTTTTTTATTGGCCAACAAGGTAAAATAATTGTTAACCCTGAAGGCGTAAAGGAAGGTTCACTTGAAATTACAACGACAGTCTTTAACTACGCTTACTAAGGGCAAAGAGTGCAAAGTTGCAAAGTTGCAAAGGTGCAAAGGTCCAAAGGTCCAAAGGTGCAAAGAGGGCAATGCCCTATCTACAATGGTACCCTTTAAATCTTTAATTGTTCATCAAGTGAAAAAAAAATCGTGAAACCACTTGAATTCATCTAAAACGCGGTGTACACTGTTGGACAGTGTGAACAGCTGATGCGTTGACATTACCGAATATTTTACATTGAAAGCGGTTTCCAAAAATTCTACAGAAATATTTATTTCTTGCCAATTCTAGGATATGAATATTAATATTTCTGAAACTGCTTCCACAATTAAAGCGTTTTTGTAGATTAATGAGAATGAGTACTATTGTGAATCGGGCAATTACTTTCTTTGCATATAGAGTCGCTTGAAATTACACATAAATCACTTTAACCTTAGAAAATTTGCATTTAAAAATCCGACGGAAACGAGTGTGATTAGTTTAAGATAATTTGTTCAGAATGTGATTAAATACGGAGCTGTGACAGGAGGTTCAACTGCAGGATTCTTCGAAACATCTAGTATGGATACTTATCAGAGACTGTGGCAGGGGATGTCAGGTTCGTTTGTTAATAGGACCAGGATAAATGAAGCGCAAACCGTCACGTGATTCTCCGAGATATTCCATCAATGATAACAGAGGTTTAATTTGGAAAAATAGTGTTTATATTTAATTAATTGATTCTGTGAATATTAGGTCGAAAATTATATTCTTTTGATAAAGTATTTTCCCGCAATAATAAAAAAATCATTTTTATAAAAAAAATTGAAAAGTTGCACTGAAGTGATTAATCTTAAGATCTAATCGGTGTAAATATCACAAAGTATTACAATTTATGTAAGCCGGCATATTTTATTTTTCTGTTTACGTGTTCTTTACTAATCATGTCTATACATACATACATACATACACATATATATATATATATATATATATATATATATATTTGTACTTGTATTCTTTTTTATCTACAAATATGTGGTTTCTTTAGAACAAAAGAATCAATTAACTGAATCCGAAGCTTCGGTTGTTACTGGTTTCAGATAGAAGAAAAACATTTTCCACTGGTCAGAAATATTAGAGATAGATAGAAATACAGAGAGAAATAAAGATAGAGATAGAGATAGAAATAGAGATAGAAATAGAGATAGAGATAGAAATAGAGATAGAGATAGAGATAGAAAAAGAGATAGAAATAGAGATGGTCAGAAGAGAAGGTAGAATTTATCTAGTAAGTGAATGTAAGGAAGGGCGGGGGGAAGGGGGCAGTAAAAAAGGTTTCTTGGTAGAATTAGTGATTGGAAGGGAGTGGGGGATCATCAATCAACAAATTACTTGTGAGTGGATTCAAATGGAGAGGGTGGGGGGCGGGGCACGGGCAGCCATAGCATATTTCAATTTCCGAGCTGGGTCAACCTTTCCGGTCCCAGTTTGTACTGTACCTAGCTCTAATGACAGGACTAGCCGGTGCAACAAGGTTGACGCGGTCAGACATTATGATTCATAAAGGTTGAATTTACTTTTACTAAAGGGGCATATTTGCGTGGGGGTTTCGCAAAAATAGTATTGTGAGTTATTGGAGAAAAGAGGGAGCAACAATAATAGAATTAGCGAGTGGATGGAGGAGGAGGGAGGGGAGGGTGCTCTGCTCAGAAGTAAAAGTTAGTAACGTGATGGAGAAGAGAGAGGGGGGAGCAACAGAAATATAGTTAGTGAGTGGATGGAGAAGGAGGGGGAGCAATAGAAATGGAGAAGTAAGTGAATAGAGAAGGCGTGGGAGGAGCAACAGAAGTATAGATAGCGAGTGGATGGAGAAGGAGGGGGAGCAATAGAAATGGAGAAGTAAGTGAATAGAGAAGGCGTGGGAGGAGAAACAGGAACGAATTTAGGGAGTTGATAGAGAAAGGGGTGAGAAAAACAGAAATAGAGTTAGAGAGTGGATGGAGGAGGGGGAGGGAACGGAAATGGAGTTAGGGAGTGGATGGATGAAAGGGGTGAGGGGATCAGAAATAGAGCTTTTAATTTATTGCGTAATAAAATTATTAGAAGATAAATAATATTAAAATAAATTTATATCTATGTTCAGGAATTGACAGAGCAGATGTAATGGTTGGGTCTAGTCCTGAAGGAGTGGATAAGGTTGAGGCAAGCAATGGAAAATATGCTTTCTTCATGGAATCATCAGGGATAGAATATCTAGTAGAGAGAAGATGTAAACTTGCTCAGGTATCATTCATCAATAGAACCCTGACACCGTTTTAGATTTATTCTTAATTAGTTAACCCTCATTAACCTTGAGGACCCCCCTCACCCCCCCCCCCCCCCCCCCCCCCCCCCCTCCTCTCCGTCTCATCTCTTTAAAGGTTTTCATTGCTGCAGGTTGGTGGATTGCTAGATAGCAAGGGATATGGTATTGCGACTCATCCATCTACTCCGTATAAACATCTCCTGGATAATGCAATTCTTAAACTGATGGAAGGAGGAACATTACATAAACTCAGAGTTAAATGGTGGAAGCAGAAACGTGGAGGGGGTGCTTGTGAATCTAAGGTTAAAAATATTAGTTTTTTTTTCTTGATTAAAATACAAGGTGTATTAACAAAACATGATAATTAAAAGACGACATTGATCTTTGAGAGCTATAATTAATAATAAATTCACCTTCATATCTTGGTATTCATAGAGGTTACCATTATATTGTCTTAAAAAGTTAATCTGCATCTGAATTTGAGGTTGAATACAAACTTGGGTTTTGAGATTCTCAGTATCAAACATTTAATTAATATTTTTCAAATATCTTAAACCTTGACTATATACCCCCTATACCTCAAAAAACTACATGCGTTTGTTCACCCACAACCATTTTTTTGGTTATCCTTGTTTAATGGGACACTCTGTACATACACTTGTTAGATGGGACACCCTGTAATTAAACTTGTTAAATGGGACACCCTGTACATAAACTTTTTTAATTGGACACCCTGTATTTAAACTTGTTTAATGGGACACCATGTATTTAAACTTTTTTAATGGGACACCCTGTATTTAAACTTGTTTAATGGGACACCGTGTATTTAAACTTGTTTAATGGGACACCCTGTATTTAAAATTGTTTAATGGGACACCCTGTACATAAACTTGTTTAATGGGACACCTTGTATTTAAACTTGTTTAATTAGACGCCATGTATTTAAACTTGTTTAATGGGACACCATGTATTTAAACTTGTTTAATGGGACACCGTGTATTTAAAATTGTTTAATGGGACAACCTGTATTTAAGCTTGTTTAATGGGACACCCTGTACATAAACTTGTTTAATGGGACACCCTGTATTTAAACTTGTTTAATGGGACACCCTGTACTTAAACTTGTTTAGGGTGAGGGAGGAGGAGTATCTCCTCTGGGTCTAGACAACGTTGCTGGAGTATTTGTTGTCACAATATTCGGTTGTCTCATAGCATCCGTCTTTGCAATCCTTTTACAAAAATCGTCTAAGTAATATTGTGCCTAGTTCGCGAATGCCTAGTTGTTAAATGCCTAGTTGTTAAATGCCAGTTGTTAAATGCCTAGTTCGTAAATGCCTAGTTCGTAAATGCCTAGTTCATGAATGCCTAGTTCGTAAATGCCCAGTTCGTAAATGCCTAGTTCGTAAATGCCTAGTTCGTAAATGACTAGTTCGTAAATGCCTAGTTCGTAAATGCATAGTTCGTAAATGCCTAGTTCGTTAATGCCTAGTTCGTGAATGCCTAGACAACATTATAATTACATTTCTGAATGCCTAGATAACATTATGCAGTAGATTTCTGAATGCCTAGTCCATAATGCCTAGATAACATAATGCCTTGATAACATAATGTCTAGATAACATAATGCCTAGATAACATTATGCCTAGTTTAAAGAATGTCTAGATAACATTATGCCTAGAAAACATAATGTCTAGATAACATAATGCCTAGATAACATAATGCCTAGATAACATAATGCCTAGATAACATAATGCCTAGATAACATAATGCCTAGATAACATTATGCCTAGAAAACATAATGTCTAGATAACATAATGCCAAGATAACATAATTTCTAGATAATATAATGAATATTTTTTACTCCGGTCTTCTCCGATAGACCTGAGCGAGATAGATATGCTAGATATCCAGCATTCATTTTTTCTTTTCTTTTTTCTTTATGGTCCGGATGACTTTCAATACGTGGAAACGGTAAAGTTTAGACAAAAAACAAACGATAATACAATTAATCCATCAATAAAAATATAAGTTTTAAGGTCAGTCTATCAAATATATTTACTATATATAAGGTCATTTATTATATTTATCAAATATAATAAATGTGATTTACTGATTTCTAGTGAGATACAATTAAATATCAATTTTCTAGTAGCTTTTCTTTCTTGCTTGAATATGTTTAAGGCATTCAAGTCGCTTTAATGTTATCTATGCATCTGACATTATGAAATCTAGGTCTAATGTTATCTAGGCATCCAGAAATATAGGCATAATGTTATCTAGGCATATTGTTATATAGGCATAATGTTATCTAGGCATAATGTTATCTAGGCATAATGAACTGGACATTCACAAACTAGGCATAATGTTAGTGAGCCCACAAATTGCATTTTTGAAAATAAAGACATTGAGATTCCTTCTTTCTTGGTTGTACTATTATATGCTGATATCTATTCATCTCATCATTCAAACCTATCCCTCACTCAACAGATCGTCTTCATTTATTAAAATTTTTCTTAAATATTTCAATATTTGGACAAAATAATCTAATTGTTTGTGTATAATCAGATCCGTTTTCATAAAAATTTAACTTTAAATATTTTGTAATCTTTTAATTTCCTTTCTTCTACAAAGTTACTGATAGCGCCGATTGAAGGATTCATAACTCTGATTGGATAATGAGATAGATAGAAAAATAGATGTTACCGCCATACTGTACTATTGGTTCAGAATAGACATCAAACACATGACTTAACCCTGATTGGATCAGGCGCTAATAGACTCGGCATACAGGAGTGTCCTTACTTCATATCAATTTCTAAAAAAAAATCATGATCTATTTAAAATATTTTTGTTCAGGAGGTTGGGAAACCTTGGCTCCAGGAGATGAGCAGAGAACTCAAATTTATTCTAAAATGTCACGGGAACACAAAGGAGGTAAAATAAATATTAGAAACATAATACTAAAGTTTTATCAAAATAACCCTTTATTATTGTGTTATAAACCCTAGCGTGGATTTTAATATCCGGTATATAAAACATACAGATTATTTATTTGATATGATAAGTTTCAGATATGTATACTTGTTAATCAGTTCAAAATTGTACACCTTGGGCTATTTTTATATTTGCGGGAAATATTTATAGAAAAATTAGAAATTGAAAAATTTCTAAATTTGGTTTCTTTCAAATAAATGCGTTTACTTATCGGACAAATCTGGCCTCTTTGAGCGATAACATTTGCTTTGTTTGTATTTCTAATAAAAAAATTAGGATGAAGTGTATTGGTAAATAATCAATTATTTAAATAAGAAACGTTTTTTCATATTTTTCATATAAAAATATTTACTTTACTGAGCTACTATGATCTAGATTGAGAAGCCCCCTGAGTCTGAGTCTGGTTCTCATTCTTCCCATCTAAGTTTGGAACCTGAGAGTCCGCCTTATATGAGGAAAAAGTCGGGTCCGGAGTCCCATTACCTGTCCTCCAATGGAAAAGTTGTAAGTTTACTCATATTCTAATCAATTTATGATAAAAATCAACAAAAAAATAAGATAAATTTTTAAATTCAAAATTCTGTTGTTGTACTTTTTTAATTATGGATAAAACCTTAAGTTAGCATAATTCTAATTTTCTGTTGGTACAGAACAACTTTATTCAATATCATAATAATTCCACGTTCTACAATTAGACTTTGGAAGAAAAAAGATTAGAAAGAAAGTGAGTCTTTTCCACAAACTCTAATTTTCTAATCCCTATATCTTTGCAGTCTAATAGCATAGACCTTAGATATTTCAAACTCTGAATCCTGTTAGAAAAAATAATCTAAGTTTGAAATATCAAAGGTTGAAAAGACTTAATTCCTTTAGATGATTGGAAGAATAAAAGTTTTATATTTTTTTATGAGGAGTCCGTGTATGGGAGTAAACCTGCTGGGAGCTTAAAGTCTGGAGGAACTAGTGCTCCTAGTGCTCATTCACAACAATCCAACCAATCTAAATCCAAAGGAGGAGAAACCGAACACGAGGACGGAGAAATCAACGGAAACGGAAACCCTTTTGAAACCATCGATGATGATTAATTCACAGGATGTAAAACAAAGCTTTATTTAAGAATTTTCTTTTTTCTATGCATATCATTGTACGTTGAAGCACTACCCTTTTTACAATAAAATTGATTATTTTATTTCATTTTAAAACCAAGAGCGGAAGAAAAAAAACAGTGAATGATAAAAAATCTGAACAAATTAATTGATTTTTAATATATAGCAAATAAATCAAATCGTTGTGTAAAAAGTTCCAATTTAGAACGATTGATACCAATATCCAGTGTGACATTTTTTGAAATTTAGGGACAACTGTTTCTGCTTGATCCCTCAATTTCATTTAACACTGCCTGGATAACCAAGAGGAATCTATTTATTATAGCTCTATTCGATTTTCTAGATCTTTGATATTTCAGACAATAAATTTTGTCACAATAAATATTAATATCAAAGGTTTACACCACAAGGTAGCAAAGATGAAAATTTGAGTTTGTGTCAAAAACTCAATTTTATTAATCTGTAGGATGGGAAAGGACATGGATAATTGGTTTATCCCAGGATTTTCACAACATTAAAGTTTTGAGCTCCAGTTATAATCGGTTTAAGGAACAAAAAACAATCGAAAAATAATCTGCTTAAAAAACAAAATGATCAATTATTTATATTAGCAAAAATACTCTATTTTGTGGTTATGATATTTATGATTGTTTATAAAACCAAAAATCAGTTTTTCGCTTTTTTTAAATAAGTATTTTCTTATGGAAACTTTTTTTTCTTATCTGGGTTTACAAAATACAATAAAAAAACAATAGTCAAATCTTTATGTTAAAACAGTTTGAAGGAAACGGGGTAAATGTTTTGGTAAAATATCCAGAATGAGAATGAAACTCTGTACACTGATACATGGTAATATATATGAATTTTTGAATTCATGAAGAAACTAAACATATTTTCAGATAATTGAAGTTAAGAATAAATTGTAATTGTGGTGAAATGGGTGCAAACTGTTTTCCATATTTTCACGAAATCTCTTTATATTATTGACATGGAAACTAACCAGCTTTTTCCAAAAGGAATTACGTTTTGCCACAAGCTTTCTTATCTCTATATCTATGCAACCCAATGTCATAAACCTTTGATATTTCAAACTATGAATTTTGTTAGATTAAACAGTATAAGTTTGAAATATCATTGGTTTACTTGAGATTGCAAAGACTAAAACATCTTATTTTGAAATCAGTAAATTTAAAAAGAAATTATAAAACATTTTATCATCAACGAAATAGAAATAGTAGTGTATTTATAAAATCAAATGAATCTATAAGTTCAGATATAATTTAACAAATAATGTGGAACGAGATAATTGAAGTTTTGGGAAAAACGTACATTCATCTTTTTCAGAAACAATGTATGGAGATAAAAAAAGTACAGTCAATAATTCATTTCCAACAGCACCTTTTTATTTTCAAGACCGTCCCTTTAACAAATTAAAGTAAAAATATTACCGGCCAATTCAATCAATTCATAATTCAAACACTTTTGATTTTTCATGAACACTCACTTTATGCAGGCATTTTCTCTAACATATATATATAGTATATATATAAATGTATAATATATATAATATATATATATTTATATTTAGAAATGTATAAAAATGGCACTGTAAGGACGTTCTCCAGTAATTACGGGTTAAATCAATATCACACACTTGAAATATAGCATACAGGGGGATTATTATTCTTTCAGGGTCATTCAATAAAAATAGGGAGAGGAGGGGGAATAGAAAGGTCTATAAGGTGTCTACCCTCCAAGTAGATAGATAGATAGTTTAGCCATGAATATATTATAAACTAGGTTAATTGTACTATTCAACAACCTTCAACCCTCAAGGTTAAGATCAAAAGGGTGAAGAATCAATGGTAAAACATATTTATCTCATGTACTTAGTTTTATGTCGAAAATTTGTATTAAGGGAAGTATTTACAACGCTTCGCGCCCTCTTTTAAATCTCATGAAAATTCAGTGTTCTTAATTCAGCTTAGTGTTAACGTTACAGCATAATGATGATAATATGTATTTCATCAAACAAAATAATTTGTTCTTTACTTCTTTGTAGGTTTCTCACTGAAAAGATCAAATTATGAATTTTAATTGACAAAATAATTAATGGTTTGTCATCCTTTCCCCCAAAATTTCGAAAATTGTTTTTTTATGAAATAGTTTTAAAATGATCTAGAAATGTTTCCCTTGTATTACTGTCTAAATATTTGCCTGTATTTTGCTTATTTTTTCAAGTCTAAGACGTTTTTCCCTTGAAACCTTTGAAAATTGCTGCTGCAGGGAAAAGGGTTGAAAGAAAAGTAGAACTAATATCGGAGAAATCTGCTGAATTAAGTATTGAACCTGCAACCTGAGGCATAAGAGGAAAATTAGATTTTGATATTTAGAGTTTCCATAAAAAATACGTAAATTGCAGCATTTTTGCTAGAAACGGAGATACTAAAAAATAAATTCAAATTTTATTTGGTTAACGGCTTTTTTATATCGAGAAAGAAAGAAAAGGTTAGGGTTTAAACCTTCCTTAAACCACACTCGTCCAGGTTTATAATTCATCCAAGACACTAATATATTTGATTTATTTCATACCGAGGTGAGCCTGAGGTCAATCCTCTCAAGGTTATGAAAGTCTACGGAAGGTGAACCTATATACCGGAGCCAGGATTCAACAAAGCACAGATTCAAGATCAAGCCCGGAGAAGGAAATTAATTTAATCTTCTGAAAATTGAGACTTATCACGATAAGGTGACAGGGCCAAAGATAAGTTTAATGGTGGGATTTCCCCTGAGTAAAAAATGTTGTATAAATAATTGATTTGTTGGACAGTTGGTCTCGGCTGAGGCCGCTGAATGTTTTATCATTTGTGGGCAGTAGGCCTATACGTTTTACGCATTAAAACATACATTCGTATATTCGTATATTCGTATATTCCACGGAAATATATTTTTTTCTGTTAATATATGTTTCGCTTGGAAAGGCTCCACATTTGCATCCAAACAGTTGCGTCTGAAATCTAAACAAAATTTGAGAGAGGAAAATAATTTTGCAATGGTAAAGCTTGTGAAACAATAAAACCAATAGTGCTAGACATTGCAGATTTAGCTCCAAGAGAACTGTTAGACGATATATTTAGGAACTACTGAATCTAAGTAAATTACAACAAAAACAACAACTTTACTTATTGCAACCACTGCAATTACTACACATTTTACGATTCTACCGCAACAACGTCAATAAAATAAACAACTTAAACTAATTACTGCAACTTTCAACAACAAAGTGGAAATTGCAACGGCTCTTATTGCAACTACTGCAACATCTGTAACAGCTAAAGATCTACAACAACCTCAAGAACTGCTACGAGGTTGAAGATGGACGGATCTGTTGTTGATCCCGAGGAGAGCAGGAGTCAGAGTCCTCTTATCCCCCTTACAATAGCAGAGGAGAGCATGAACTTCTCAGCAGATATTGAGGAGGAAGGGGAGGATGGAGGAGAGAGAGAGGAGGGGGAGGAGGGAGGAGAAGGAGAAGAGGACGAAGAGGAAGATATTCTAAACAGTTCTCTAACACCAATGGACTGGTTGCCCAGGTATTGAATTGATATCAAGAACTCAGAAGAGAAAGATGAACGTAGACCATATTTAATGGTAAGCAAGACCTAGTTGAACTTCATAGACTGAGATGAACCGATTCTTCTTAATTTGAACCGATTCTTCTTAATTTGAACTGTCTGCGTTCTTTTCGCTATTTCTTAAATCTTGTCCCTTGTCCCATGCTAATCTAAAATTTAAACCCTTATTTCATTTGAAAAAGTGTACTTCTGGTTCTAACACCATGCTATATTTAAAAAAAAGAATAGATATAATCTAAACTTTATATCTTTTCCGTAGACCTTAGAAATTTCAAGCTTTAAATTATGTAAGATCAAATAATCCAAGTTAAAACATCAGGTTAAAGAGATATGGCAAAATCTAAGCTCCGAGTAATCGAAAAATCTGGCCAAAAGGGAAATACATATTCTACATTTGAATTTATACAATGATGAATAAAAAATATCTGTATTATAATATCTGATTATAATTAATAATAATTTGGGAAATTATGCAAAACATGGTTAATTATTTAAAAAGATCGAACCATAATGTTTTCTTCAGGTTAAATGCAAAAGCAGGTTTAGTTGAAGAAGAACCATCGGAGGAGGAGAGAAAACCTCCGTATAGTTATGCAACCCTGATTAGGTAGTTTATCAACAAAACATAAATCTTGAAATTAAATTTTACTGTACCATGTTTATTGTAGACTTGCAATTCTCAATTCTGAGGGAGAGAAGGCAACCCTGGCAGAAATATATCGATGGATTCAGGTAGATACTTAAGCACTCTGCCAAGTCTCAATGAATATAAAAGAAATCCCCACATCAGCTTTCCTTCTACCTCTATTTTCCTATCTCTATATTCTATGATTAAACATCTACACTGTATTCCTAGGATCAGTTTACCTGCTACCTGTATTCTCCTATCTCTATATTCTATAATTAAACATCTATACTATATTCCTAGAATCAGTTTACCTACTACATGTATTGTCCTATCTCTATATTCTATGATTAAACATATAAACTGTATTCCTAGGATCAGTTTACCTATTGTCCTATCTCTATATTCTATGATTAAACATATAAACTGTATTCCTAGGATCAGTTTACCTACTACATGTATTGTCCTATCTCTATATTCTATGATTAAACATATAAACTGTATTCCTAGGATCAGTTTACCTATTACCTATATTGTCCTTTCTCTATATTCTATGATTAAACATCTATTCTGTATTCCTAGGATCAGTTTACCTACTACCTGTATTGTCCTATCTCTATAATCAATGATTAAACATCTATACTGTATTCCTAGGATCAGATTACCTACCACCTGTATTGTCCTATCTCTATATTCTATGATTAAACATCTATCCTTTATTCCTAGGATCAGTTTACCTACTACATGTATTGTCCTTTCTCTATATTCTATGATTAAACATCTATACTGTATTCCTAGGATCAGTTTACCTACTACATGTATTGTCCTATCTCTATATTCTATGATTAAACATCTATCCTGTATTCCTAGGATCAGTTTAACTGCTACCTGTATTGTCCTATCTCTATATTCTATGATTAAACATCTATACTGTATTCCTAGGATCAGTTTACTTACTACCGACATCTCTCTCATCCTGGTTGGAAGAACTCCATCCGGCATAATCTCTCCTTGAATAAATGTTTTCTAAAGATGGCACGAACTAGGCAGGATCCAGGGAAAGGTTGCTACTGGACAATTAATCCTATCTTCGAGCAACAACAGGTTTTGCAGTATATGTTTAATAGAATAATAGTAGATAAAGTAATTTCAAATCATACAATTTCTTTCAATTATATTTTAAACTTTAAATAGTTAAAGTTACGCGATCTACACAAAACACAACATCATGAGGGACAAATCACCTTGGTAGTTTTATAATTTGGAAAAAATATTTCAACAATTCCAAACCTACTGTTGCTAGCAATTTTATCAAACATCAACATTAAAATAAATAAATAATCTCTTTGGACTTTTGCATTCTTTCACATTAATAACGCAGATAGTCTTCATATATATTGTATTTATTCTTCACTCCGGTTCTTGAATTTTCTGTCCTAGAGTAATATCCCTCCTACCCTGCCCTAGAGTAATCTTCCTCCTACCCTGTCCTAGAGTAATCTTCCTCCTACCCTGCCCTAGAGTAATCTTCCTCCTACCCTGTCCTGGATTAATCTTCCTCCTACCCTGCCTTAGAATAATCTTCCTCCTACCCTGTCTTAGATTAATATTCCTCCTACCCTGTCCTAGAGTAATCTTCCTCCTACCCTATCCTAGAGTAATCTTCCTCCTACCCTGTTCTAGAGTAATCTTCTTCCTACCCTGCCCTAGAATAATCTTCCTCCTACTCTGTCCTAGAGTATCTTCTTTCTACCCTACCCTAGATTAATCTTCCTCCTACCCTGTCCTAGAGTAATCTTCCTCCTACCCTGCCCTAGAGTAATCTTCCTCCTACCCTGCCCTAGAGAAATCTTCCTCCTACCCAGTCCTAGATTAATCTTCCTTCTACCCTGCCCTGAAGAAATCTTCCTCCTATCCTGTCCTAGAGTAATCTTCCTCCTACCCTGCCCTAGAGTAATCTTCCTCCTACCCTGTCCTAAAGTAATCTTCCTCCTACCCTGTCCTAGAGTAATTTCCTCCTACCCTGTCCTAGAGTAATCTTCATCCTACCCTGTCCTAGAGTAATCTTCCTCCTACCCTCTCCCACAGTAATCTGCTTCCTACCCTATCCTAGACTCGTCTTATTAAAAAAGTATGAATTATATATCTTCAGGTTTTTGAAAAGAAGAAGAAGAGTTTGAATCTTTCCACGAGTATGTACGAGAACAGCTTAGTTCCAGATCTTAAGATAATTCAGGAATAGAATACTTGAAACAAATTCCAGAAATATAGAATATTTAATGTTGATTTCAGATATACAGAATACTTGAAATTAATTCCAGAAATACAGAATAATTAAAATTAATTCTAGAAATACATAATACTGAAATCTATTCCATAAATACAGAATATTTAAAATTAATTTCAGAAATTCGGAATACTTGAAATTAATTCGAGAAATACAGAATACTGAGATCAATTCCAGACATACAGGATACTGAGCTGAGATCAATTCTAGAAATACAGAATACTGAGATCAATTCCAGAAATACAGGATACTGAGCTGAGATCAATTCCAGAAATACAGAATACTAAGATCAATTCCAGAAATACAGAATAAAGAGATCAATTCCAGAAATACAGGATACTGAGATCAATTCCAGAAATAAAGAATACAGAGATCAATTCCAGAAATACAGAATACTGAGATCAATTCCAGAAATACAGAATACAGAGATCAATTCCATAAATACAGAATACAGAGATCAATTCCAGAAATACAGAATACTGAGATCAATTCCAGAAATACAGAATACAGAGTTCAATTCCAGAAATACAAAATACAGAGATCAATTCCAGAAATACAAAATACAGAGATCAATTCCAGAAATGCATCAATTAATAAAATATAATAATAATCAATTCCAAGAGAATATTCTGTAAAAGTACAATTTAATCTTTTATTGGGGTTCGGGCGTATTTTTACAAATTGACCTTCTTATTCTGATCAATAAACAATTTCAATGTAAACGTACACATTATAACATAATAATCACTACATTTTTGCCCTCCGATGTTGTACACCATATATTTATATTTTAAACTATAAATTCTGCATGTCAAATAATCAGAATTTGAATTATCTAATGCGTCTCCATTAGGTTTCAAGGATATGGGGATTATAAGATTATATTTTGAGGTTGGTGATCAGTTCCTTTTTAAAAGTAATTTTCCATTAAATTTGTTCTTCCAATTCTAGAGGTTATAGACCTTACTATATATATACAGACAATGAAAATATGGGTGTTTACTGATTATTGATTAATTATAATTAAACCTTTCATTAACCATCACTTACACATTAAAAATATCATAATATTATAAAAGAGCAAATCTACGGAAGACGAAAAATAAGATATTCTAATACAGGAGGAGCATATCCGTCAATGGAAAAGGATATTAGCAGATCAGATTGTAGGATTACAAGGGAAAGCAGTTCAACCAACATTCACTCAACAATTAGATAGGTAAATCCTTAATAAAACTTTAATTATATTAGATATTTAAAAAATATATTTCAGACCAAAGTCAATTCCTGGATATTCTTTGGAAGATTGGCTTATTCCTAGCCAAGTTGAGCGGTCCCAGGAGAAGGTTCGAGAAAAGCTGGATTTTCGAAGTTTGGAGAATATAACTCCAACTGCAGGGTTAGATTGGAACTTTTTCGAAGGACTACTACCCGCAGATATAAATGATATGGTTAAACTAGGAAAGGTACAGTTTTAAGAAATATAATTATTCATTGATTAATTAAACAAATAACCGAGTTTTAATCCTAGAATGAATGCCAAGACTCCCGTCCAAAAATCAAGGAAGAGTTAATCTTTACAGATTCAAACCTCTCCGATCAAACAGCTTCTTCTCCGTCCCAATCTCAAGCAGATATTTTCCAGTGTGTGGATCCATCAGAGGTTCTCGGTCAGCAGAGGTTGCCAAGTATATGGTCTCCGTCTCGACCCAGGTATATATATCTCCATCTTGTCACAGGTACACATTACTCCGTCCTGAACCAGAATATACATTACTCCGTCCTGAACCAGAATATACATTACTCCGTCTTTATCCAGGTACATATTGCTCCGTCCTGATCCAGGTACACATTACTCCGTCCTGAACTAGAATATACATTACTCCGTCTTTATCCAAGTACATATTACTCCGTCCTGATCCAGGTACACATTATTCCGTCTTAATCCAGGTACACATTATTCTGTCTTGATCCCTGTACACATTATTCTGTCTTGATCCAGGTACACATTACTCTGTTTTTATCCAGGTACATATATTACTCCGTCCTGAACCAGAATATACATTACTCCGCCTTAATCCAGGTATACATAATTCTGTCATGATTCAGGTACACAATATTCTGTCTTGATCCAGGTACACATTATTCTGTCTTGATCCAGGTACACATTATACTGTCTTGATCCAGGTACACATTACTCCGTCCTGATCCAGGTACACATTATTCCGTCTTGATCCAGGTACACATTATTCTGTCTTGATCCCTGTACACATTATTCTGTCTTGATCCAGGTACACATTACTCTGTTTTTATCCAGGTACATATATTACTCCGTCCTGAACCAGAATATACATTACTCCGCCTTAATCCAGGTATACATAATTCTGTCATGATTCAGGTACACAATATTCTGTCTTGATCCAGGTACACATTATTCTGTCTTGATCCAGGTACACATTATACTGTCTTGATCCAGGTACACATTACTCCGTCCTGATCCAGGTACACATTATTCCGTCTTGATCCAGGTACACATTACTCCGTCCTGATCCAGGTACAAAATACTCCGTCCTGATCCAGGAACACAGTATTCCGTTATGAACCAGGTACACATTATTCTGTCTTGATCCAGGTACACATTACTCCGTCCTGATCCAGGTACACATTATTCCGTCTTGATCCAGGTACATATATTCCGTCTTGATCCAGGTACACATTACTCCGTCCTGATCCAGGTACAAAATACTCCGTCTTGATCCAGGTACACATTATTCCATCTTGATCCAGGTACACATTATCTTGATCCAGGTACATATATTCCGTCTTGATCCAGGTACACATTACTCCGTCCTGATCCAGGTACAAAATACTCCGTCTTGATCCAGGTACACATTATTCCATCTTGATCCAGGTACACATTACTCCGTCTTGATCAAGGTACACATTATTCTGTCTTGATCCAGGTACACATTACTCCGTCCTGATCCAGGTACACATTATTCCGTCTTGATCCAGGTACATATATTCCGTCTTGATCCAGGTACACATTACTCCGTCCTGATCCAGGTACAAAATACTCCGTCTTGATCCAGGTACACATTATTCCGTCTTGATCCAGGTACATATATTCCGTCTTGATCCAGGTACACATTACTCCGTCCTGATCCAGGTACAAAATACTCCGTCTTGATCCAGGTACACATTATTCCATCTTGATCCAGGTACACATTACTCCGTCTTGATCAAGGTACTCATTATTCTGTCTTGATCCAGGTACACATTACTTTTGTCTTGATCCAAGTAAAAATTACTCCGTCTTGATTAAGGTACACATTATTCCGTCCTAATCCAGGTATACATTATTCCCTTATGATCCAGGTACACATAATTCCGTCTTGATCCAAGTACTTCTACTTTTTTGATATTTTGATATATTGTCAAAAAACCTAATAATATTTACTCCAGGTGGGATGAAAACTGGAGACTGGTTCCACAGTTTCAAGAAGAGGACATGCAGATAGATTATGATAAACTTCTCTAAACCTCAGACTATTATTCATCATCATATATATCCTGTAATTACTATATCCTTCTATTCAATATATCCTGTAACTATTATATCCTTCTATTGAACTCAATATATATCCTATATATCCTTCTATTTAACTCAATATATCCTGTAATTACTATATCCTTCTATCTAACCAAATATATATCCTTTAATTACTATATCCTTTCATCTAACTCAATATATTTCCTGTAATTACTAAATCCTTCTATCTAACCAAATATATATCCTTTAATTACTATATCCTTCCATCTAACTCTATATATATCCTGTAACTACTGTATCCTTCTATTTAACTCAATATATATCCTGTAACTACTATATATCCTTCTATCTAACTTAATATATATCCTGTAATTACTATATCCTTCTATCTAACAAAATATATATCCTGTAGTTACTATATCCTTCTATCTAACTCAATATATATCCTGTAGTTACTATATCCTTCTATCTAACTCAATATATATCCTGTAGTTACTATATCCTTCTATCTAACTNTTTATCATTATGTCTAACTAAATATATATCCTGGAACTTTATAGTTATATCTAACTCAATATACATCCTGGCCAAAACCACCGATGATTAATTATTCTTATTACACTAATCTGTTTAAAAAGTGTTAAAAAATATTCAATAATAATAATAAGTTAAAAGAGCTGAAAAAATAATTATGTTAAATACATTTTTGTATATATTATACATATAAAAACATAGATAGAAGCATATGTACTACATAAATACATCTACAAAAACTATCTAGGAATTGTATCAATCTAAATTCATTCTGTTTTTCTTTTGTTTGATGATATTTACTTATTCTGAACTGTTTCTAGTCTTGTTTTAAAATAACATAAATAGGATTTGGCATTTTTGACTTGAGGACGCTGTATTTACTATGCATCAAGTTGGGATTAGATGTACGCTATGTACCAGTCTAAATACCGAGAGTTTCATTTAAAACATTGTAGAGAAAGATATGTCGTCTTCTTCCGACTCATTCTGTTATTCATTCGAACATCTGATTGAGATTTAAATCTATTAAATCCAACATTGAGTCTTAATCTGTATAATCTTGTTCGTGCTAGATGCTAATAAATGATTTGACAACGAATTAAAACATTTACTTTTGTACGAGTTAGAAAACTAAGATTTAGGACTGAATGAAATCTGTACACATCGTACTTTCATCTCAAGTGTTTGTCGTTAACCCTAGCCGTGTAACTATTTGACAAAAACAGAAACAAGTTTGCAGCTACACCGAACCAAGAATTTGTAAAAAACAAGATTCTCAAGAATTAAGTCGTTTCTCTGGTCTCATTCTTTTATATGATAAACATTTATATGTTGTAGGTTAGTTTATAAAAACAGGTTTATTGCTTTAAAATCTATATACAGTCAGTGGCGTAAATAAGGGGGGTTATTGGGGTTATTTAGCCCATAGAATCCTGGGGTAATTAATTAGCCCCCCCCCTAGAATTTAAAAATTTGATTTTAAAATTGAATATCTTTTAAATTTTCACGAAAATAATTTAAATGTGCAGATACTTGATATATTTCAGATTTTAAGTCAATATATTCTAAATGATTCTAAATTCCAAAGTCAATGTCATTACAATTAGATGATTTTTTTAATAGAAATTCAAAAATTTTACCCCCCCCACTATAGAGTCCTTATTTACGCCTCTATATACAGTGATAATCAAAAAATAGGAAGACGACTTTTAGACTTTAATTAAGACTTTAAATATTGAAAGAGCATGGGACACAGCAATTGTGCATGGTGTAAACAAACCCTGGTCCCTGACTTAATTAGTGATTTAACACAGACGACATTTTAGACTAGGAGTGACCAATAATCTGAAGGTTTAAAAGATCAATGTGTTTGCCTAAAAAGAAACAATTTTCCGCATTAGTAATTTCCTACATGGCATAAGACCAACATTCACTTCATTAGAAATCGATAAAAATGTTAAGTTGGCATACTACTAGAGTTACCCAATATCTATTAACAGGATGAGACTATAGAAGCGACTTTCTTGTGGCGTTAAATCTAATATTTCTTATTGTTAAATCATTAAAAATACCTCTAATATAAATTTACTATTTTTGCGGACGTCGAATTGCATATTCAATTTACAACGTTTAAGGTTGACATTGAAGCATCATATCAACGTTTTAACCAAATTTGAGTAAAAGTCAGAGGCGTGAATATGAATAAACATAATGATTAAGAGACGACTTTATTCAGCCTTTATTGATAGATTACTAGAACGTACACAGTCGAAGATGTCATCTGGTGTTTAGAAGAAACGCAATCAGCTGTTTTTACTCGATATTATACCTGGGTCAATTCGCGAACTATAAATAAATTCTCCTGATTGGCGCTATAGTCAGCTGCATTTACCCAATAATAAAAAAAAATGTTAGATGGAAAAAAAAGTTTTTTTTATTAATTATCAGGTTAAAACAAATAAATATAAACGATACAATATATAAGTTTAAATGCAACCTATTCCTTCTCCAAACAACATCTCTGTCAAAGTCCAGGTCAAGAGCTGGACAATATTCACCTCTCGTTGGGAGATTGGGGGTTTGACTAATTACAGACAGATTAATTTCCACGCGTAAAGAAAGAGTTTGAATTTTTCCCTTCCTTTAAATTTCTTTAATCTATGTCCAAACTTTTGTTAAAACTTTTTGAAAAGATTTTATTCTAAAATAATTTTCGATTTTTTTTATAAGATCTAAATAAAAAGGAAAGCTATCAACGATATTACAACATAAATACTTTAACAAATATATCTTCACGTATTTTTCCCTTTATTCAATGCTCTTGAAACAAAGAAAGATGGCAAAATTCAAAGTTTTTATCAATTTAATTTACTGTGCAGGCACAACTGTATCTAGGTAAAGATGATTTTGCAAAATAAAAATGTGATTTCAAGTGACAGACAAAGGTTTAAAGGGTAACCGATGTGAATACGACCCTCTGTACATAACTATAAAAATGAAATACAGTTCCTTTAAGAATAGTTGACGAACAACATATATTAACATAAACATATCGCCCTAAGGTCGAGATATTTTGGACCCTTGAAAGACTTAAGGGTCGTGAAGAGCTAGTTATTTTCAAAATACAACATATCTACAGGGGGACCCACCAAGAATGAGATTTCAGAGACGCTGATGGAACTTGTTCAGCATTTTTTCTAGCAATCTTAGTTTCATTGCCAAATCATTTAGCATTTACCCTGTAGAGGAGCGATGTCGTTATACTTAAATAGTTTAGGTCGTCATTATAATCTCATCCTTTGTGGATAACCCTGTACTATTCCATATAAATATGTTTTATCAACTATATGTATAATATCTATGCTGCCAGCATAACGAATGGAAGTTTTAACTCTAGATCTTTCCTGTTCTTGCTCAACCTAACTTGAACCTAGAAAACAAATTAAAAAATATCTACAAGAGTGATCGGTCGCCATTTTTACTGAGAAAATCATTTATTTTGAACAAAGTGTTCCAACAAGAAAGATAAAATTACAACTTTTAAATTGTCATTAATCTACCCTTTCGTAAATATCAAAACTTTTTTATCAAGGATTTCCAAAATGTGCCTTTTCTCATCATTACATCTTTGCAACCTGAGGTCGTCGGCCGCAGATATTTTTAACTTTGCTCCATGCTCGATGAAATTGTCAATGTTAAAAGATATCCAATGTTTATACCATCAGATGAAAAAAACATAAAGGAATTATGACGACAAGAGCTAGAAAATCCTTTCAATTTATTTGAGAAACCCAAAACCGTTTATATTTTCCATTTCAAGGTTTCTTTTCCAAAAAAACCAGTAAAATTTGGAGAGTTCAAAATCTTCTTGTATACTTTTTTGTTATTCATCAACGATCGTAAATCAAAAGCGATAACTTAACAAGGAGTAGAAGTGCTGCTTCTTTTTCTTCGCATTGAAACTTTTACTTAAAATATTTCAGCATATTTAATTTGCGTAAACCCATTTCTAGTTTTTTATTACCCCCATAATAGAGTACCCGGATCATATTACCTGTACATAATAGAGTACCCGGATCATATTACCTGTACATAATAGTGTACCCGGTACATAATAGAGTACCCGGATCATATTATATGTACATAATAGAGTACCCGGATCATATTATCTGTACATAATAGAGTATCCGGATCATATTATCTGTACATAATAGAGTACCCGGATCATATTACCTGTGCATAATAGAGTACCCGGATCATATTACCTGTACATAATAGAGTACCCGGATCATATTACCTGTGCATAATAGAGTACCCGGATCATATTACCTGTACATAATAGAGTACCCGGATCATATTACCTGTACATAATAGAGTACCCGGATCACGAAAAGACTTCGATCTTTCAGAATTACAGATGCAGAGAGAGGTTGATTTTCATCTATAAATTATAATTCTTTATTCAACATTCCCCCCCCTCTCCCGCCCATGCATTAGCCTCCCCCCTTCTTACCAATTGTCATATAAATAATAATTTTTCTCTTATTAGTTTACCAGGAGATTCAAATCTATAAAATTGCACTTTTTTACAAAAATAATGTGGAAATTATAAAAGACCTAAAAATTTTTCGTTTCGTATTCAAACTTATTTTTTAATTCTTGAAAACGAAGGATATCTTCGAGACATTTCAGGAAATCCCGCATAGACAAGGGACGACTTTTTACTCATCATTTTTCTATGTTTTGTTTATTTTTTAACCTGGTATACTGGTAACTGATGGCCCCCAGTCTTTAACTGCCACCCAATGCCGCCCAGGACTTCATATTTTAAATAATACAACATTATTAGACAGTTTTTCTTTAACAAATCTAAATAATAGTTATAATACAAAATAGTACAGAGACGTCTTATGTATAAAGTTTAATAGGGAAAATCAAACTTGATACAATTAGGGTGTTTTTTAATTGAGAAGTTTCAAATCGGAAATACCCTTAGGAAATTAATCAATTTATTATTATTATTTATTAATTATCATTATTATTAATTGGCTGACGTGCTCGGCGTTGCTATTTATTTATTAAAAGGTAAATAAAGTAATAAAGTAAAGAGATATAAAGAGATATTAACCTGTATTGAGGTTTGAGAAGGAACTGATGTGAGAAGGAAGAACAAACTCCAAGATCTTTCAGCATCTCCGCTCCAACCTCATTCTAGGATAAAAACAACCAGGAGGCAGAACTTTTATCTTGTGAATCAGGGGTTTAAGCTATATCTAGTCTGTGCTTCATGCATTAATCTTCACCTTATGCAAACCTAAGGTTTTAATTTAATTCCTCTTTGATATCACGGTCATGCCCTGTACGGATAACTGTAATTAAGATTTCAAGCATATATCGTATGTATTTATTTCGTTAACGAACGTTAAAAAACAAGGTACTTAATTTTTATTGTAAACAAACAAGAGTGCATATTATTAGGGCTCAGCAAGTTTCCGGACTGTCTTTTTGTCTGCCAAACCTAACGGAAAGTCCACCTTATTTTTAGCTTAACGATGAAAATGGTGGCTTAAAAAGGACATTTAAAGAGCTGAAATTAGAACTAGGAAAGTGGAGGCGAACCGCACTAAAAGCTTGAAATTTAAATCTCTTTTCATCTGTTATAAAAAAATATGTTACTTTGAAAAATCCGCTGGAGAACATTGCAACATCGACTGATTGAACAGCAACAGCAGTTACAGATTTTATCTAAAACATGGTAGAATTTTTTTAATCTAAGTGCCATTGATTTATGTCAAATTGTAACATCAATTCTATTTTAGCTAAATATGAAGTGTTTGAGTGAAAATACCATTTGTCCTTAAGTTAGTCGTCCAAAGATATGAGTCTTTGCCACAAACTATGATTTTCTAAGAGCTCTATATCAATGTTTTAGACCTTATTTTCTAATTATGAATGCTGTTAGATCAAATAATCTAAGTTTGAAATATCAAAGGTTCAAACTATCAAGTTGCAAAGATATTAGGATTAGAAAATATTAGTTTGTAGCAAACAACTCGATTCCTTTCTTCAACGATAAATTTTATGAAAAATATTTAAACCCTGTTTATTTTAAACTTAACATTTTGATTATAATTAATAGTTATTCAATTTTAATAAAGGAACTGAACAGTAACCCATAAATCTAATTTTCTTATTCCTTTACTTATGTAACCTCAAATCGTATAAAATTAGAGTTTGCGGCTATTTTGTTCCTTTCTCACCTTTCTGGCGGGATGAAGCTCTATTGTGATATCAACTTTTACAGTGTCTCCGTTCTGATATACGTTCTTATCCAGTATACCCTGATATAAGTAAATATTCTGATATACGTTCTTATCCAGTATACCCTGATATAAACAAATATTCTGATATATACGTTCTTATCCAGTATACCCTGATATAAGCAAATATTCTGATATATACGTTCTTATCCAGTATACCCTGATATAAGTAGATATTCTGATATAAGTTCTTATACAGTATATACTCTGATATAAGCAAATATTCTGATATACTTTCTTATCCAGTATACTCTGATATAAGCAAATATTCTTATATACGTTCTTATCCAGTATACTCTGATATAAGCAAATATTCTGATATACGTTCTTATCCAGTATACTCTGATATAAGTAAATATTATGATATAAGTTCTTATCCAGTAAACTCTGATGTAAGCAAATATTCTGATATACTTTCTTATCCAGTATACCCTGATATAAGCAAAAATTCTGATTTCAATAAATAGGCAAACAAAAGAAGAAATTAAACAAGAAAATAATCTTAGATTTAAAAGTTTGAATCCAGGATGAAATGAACCATAAAACGAATTGAGGTTTTGCCACAAACTCAAATTTTCTAATTCCTATAGCATTGCAACCACTTGAAGGTGTAGATATTGATATTTTAAATTTGATAGTTAGAAATATCTATGGTCTACGACAATGTGTTGCAAAGATAGGAAAATCAGGGTTTGTGCCAAAGACTCAAATCCTTTACCTGAATCTTAATTTCTTCATTTCGAATTCTATTACAGGGTTTATGAATTGTAACCCTAGGACGGATTTCTTGGAGCTGTGGCAATGTCTCACTCAACCAAACCGCCATACAGATCACACTAGATTTAGAGGGAGGTCTTTTATCCGTTGCAGATTCCGTTGGATAAACGGAAACAGTGTAGCTAGTTCCTATCGGACTACCGGTGTAGCTTCTAAATAAAAATCAAAGTTTTTGCAGACAGGATAATATTTTAGCAGAGGAGTCAAGAATGTACATTCTATCTCAGTAATGTCTTACACAGTTGTCGCTTCAATTTGATCTAACCACGGTAGCGTAAGGTATAACTTCTAAACATAATCCCAAATATGAATGCTAAATTTTAGCAATGGAGTCAATAACACTTAAATGTACATTCTCTCTTATTAATGTCTTACACAGTTGTCGCTTCAATTTGATCTAACCACGGCAGCGTGAACATAATCCCAGATTGAAATGCTAATTTAACAGCTTAGAACATTTTTTTACTTTGGCGATGTATAGCATTTAAATATCACCTTCACATTGGGTCAAAAATCAAAAGCCAATGCATTTGATGATTCCTTAAACCATGATGCCGGTAGGTGGTTTTTATGTAAAAAAGATTGATAAATCTGGAAGAGGGAAAAAGCGTACAAAATAGTTTTGCATTTTGTAAGTTTTGTCCCTCTTCCAGATATATGAAGATTGCCGTTAACAAAAAGATGTCATGCAGTGATGATCAAAAATAAAAATAGAATTTCTGCTTTGTTTGCCTTCATCCGTCCATCAGAAAAAATGTGTTGCACACCGAGGATTTGTTCATGGGTACTTCACTGCAGTAGACCATGACACAGTGTCAGATGGTGGCATGAAAAGTGATAAGAATATGGTGCACATTGCAAGCTAAAAACATTGCAGTACGAACATTACCCATAAACTGATAAATTTTTTATTCTATAATTGTGATCATTAATTATGTGTTTATAAAAATTGATAAACACATAGTAAATATGGTTAAAGAGAAGCTGAGAAGTATAGGAATAGAAGGGTAGATTATTTGGATAAATACAATAAAGGCGTTTTTCTTTTCTTTCGTTGAGAAAAATATGATAAATAAACATCTATAAATACTTCAATATTGAGGTATAAGAGGTATAATGTTAAATTCATCTATCCTTATCCTTTTCATCTATCCTGATTTTTCCAATTTATCCTGATACTTCTCATCTATCCTGATCCTTCTCATCTATCCTGATCCTTCTCATCTATCCAGATCCTTGTCATCTATCCAGATCCTTGTCATCTATCCTGATCCATCTCATCTATCCTGATCCTTCTCATCTATCCTTATCATTCTCATCTATCCTTATTGTTCTCATCTATCCTGATCCTTCTCATCTATCCTGATCCTTCTCATTCTTTCTGATCCTTCTCATCCATCCAGATCCTTGTCATCTATCCTGATTTTTCCAATTTATCCTGATACTTCTCATCTATCCAGATCCTTCTCATTCATTCTGATCCTTCTCATCCATTCAGATCCTATTTTTCCAATCTATCCTGATACTTCTCATCTATCCTGATCCTTCTCATCTATTCTGATCCTTCTCATCTTTCCTGATCCTCTTAATCTATCCTGATCCTACTCATATATCCTGATCCTTGTCGTCTATATATCCTATCCTCATCTTTCCAATCTATCTTTCTTCTCCTCTATTTATAACTAGCATTATAATAAAGCTCTTTGCTCATATAAGTATATATATATTTAAATGTTAGCTATAGCAGGCCCAACGGATGGATAAAATTGGCTGAAATTTGTTGAAGGAACCCGGAGGTAACATATAACATAAATTCGAAAAATTTTTCTTTCTTTCAAAAGTCGAATTTCTTTTGAATTCCACGGACAACGCCGGGCACTTCAGCTAGTATATACATATATACCCAACCTGTTCCGGATCAACTGGATATATTCTCTGGTTTGCAATTATCATCTCATTACAGAACTGTAAACCCATGAGTTCCTCGTCCTCTCTTCCATACCTCAGCTCTAGACTAAACTGCAACACAGCTCTATGCATTGGACTCAAACTCTAACTTTATAATTCTTATATCTTTGCAACTCAATGGTGTAGACTTTTGATATTTTAAACTATGAACTCTACTAGATCATGTAGTCTAAGTTTGAAATAGCAGAGGGTTAAACTATCAGGCTGCATAAATATAGAAATATGAAAATCAGAGTTTTATGCGAGTGTTCAGTTCCTCTTTATCAAGTATTATTTAATGATGCTAAGAATTAAAAAAAATTCAAAATAGTTTAAAGAAGATGACGGTATAATAATATGGTATTTTAGAAGTACATTTTTTGCCTCTAGTTGTAAATACATGATAAATAACGAGTATATAAAAGGTTTTCTCTGGTTCCAGGATCCGACACTACTGATTTGCGGATTTCATAATCCTCTTTCGGGGATTTCTTTCTCTACAGAACTACCCCATAAGTCTCCACCATAGAGAGAGTCGAGACTGATACTTATCTCCTTGTAAGTGTTTACGGAAAAGGAGTAGAAGGAGTTCTGGGAATGATTGATCATTATGCACAACTAGTTGTTTGTGAATTTTTGATCTGCCCCCCCCCCCCCCCCCCGCCATGATCAACCTTGTGGAATTGGCTGGCCAGTGGCCATTTGAACAGAGCTGGGAACTTTTGAATGGTGGATATTGGGATTAAGGCTTAATCCACTCTTTTTCTTAATCTCAGGATTAACATAATCTTGCAAGATTATCTTAAAAGTGTATGAAAAACGATAAAATTCAAATTAATATTTAATCATCTGAGAAACTGTAGCAGCCAATCAGAGAAAAGCGGGCAACCAATGAGAAAACAATTAACGGATATCCAAGGAGAGAGAAAAAGAGTGGATTAAGGACTAAAATGAAAAGTTTCCACCGTGGATATTCGGATCAAGAAGTCAGGATTAAAGTTTATCCATTCTAAAGGTTTCAGCTCAGATCAGTTAAGTGAAGGCTAGCCGGCATATATTCAACCTGTAGAGAACTGGCGTCCAGAATATCTAAGGATCGAGTAGGTTAAAGATGGTAGCTGGGTTGCTTGATAGCTCCAGAAGTAGCTGTTTAGCTGATTAGCTCCGGGAATAGCTGTGTAACTAATTAGCTCCAGGAGTAGATGTGTAACTAATTAGCTCCAGGAGTAGCTAGTAGTGTAGCTGATTAGCTTCTGGACGGTTGAAGTTTAGCTTATTAGCTCTAGGAGTAGCTGAGGTTTAGCTTATTAGCTCCAGAAGTAACTGAGGTTTAGCTTGTTAGCTTTAGGAGTAGCTGAGTAGCTCCAGGATAGCTAAGGTTTAGTTTATTAGCTCAAGGAGTAGCTGAATTTGTGGATAAGATTCGAGATTGTTATCCTCGTCCAATTCTTAAGCTGTTTCCGACCAGGAGGCTGTGTTTTCGGCCATGGTTCGTTTGTTGTCTGGGGTCACCACTTTATAAGTAAATTTATTGCTTCTAGATGTATATACATTATAAATAATGAGTGTATAAAATGAGAGCAAGTTGAGTAGGTATTCTCTGGTTCCAGGAACTGACACTACTGATTTGCGGATTCCATTTAATCCTGGTTCGGGGATGTCTTCCTCTACAGTATAATCAATATTTTTAAAGTTATTAAAATGTAAATTGAAAAAGAAATTTTGTGTTTTCCAACTTTTCTTCCTCAGTTTCAATTTTGTTTCATCTTTGTTTAAAGACGCTTAAATTGGGCCAATAATTTGATTAGTCAATAATGTGATCGGTTGATTTCTACATCTGAAAACTAAATAAAACATTGTATCTATATGAACAATTGAATTGAGTCTTTGCCACAAACTCTGATTTTCTAATTTTATAACTTTGCAACCCAATGTTGTAGAACTTTATTTCAAACTATCGATTCTGTTAGATCAAATTAATAATCTAAGTTTGGAATATGAAAGGTCTAAAATATAAAGTTGCAAAGATATTCTTTTTCTATTTCTATTCTATTTATTTTTGCAAAGTCTGAATTCATTTTTGAAAATTTAGTTTTAATTGTCGAGTTACACTCTCTCAATAGTAAATGAATGAATTCGACCGGATAAAATCCAAAAATAACCTAAGGGCCGAACCTTCCTACGTGACAGTGTTCAGCTAATTGATATCCACTATTAAATTGAGTGGTTTACCTTAAATTGGGTACTATAATGAGGACGCTGACCTCCATGAAATAAATTAAGAAATATCCAACGTTAAAGATTGAACCGCGCGTCGAAGGGAATTGAACCGTCTGCAAATGGCGCTAGCTTAAATTTGTTACATAATACTCACTGAGTCAATAACGAACTGGTTAGACTAGAAGAGCTTGTACAAGTAAATGCGTAATTTGTACTATTACCGGTAAATCGATAGGACGCAAGTGCTGAAGTCACAGATTCAAAAGTTTCGACCTGTGTCCTAACCTGAATAAACACATTGACTTTATCTTTCTTAGCCAGGTTCTCCGAGATTATTACAATCCCCTCCAGGTTTCCTATCTGCCCTGTCTCCCCGTCCATCTTGAGTTCTCGTTTTGGTAGGAATATTGTTAGATCCCCATCCGTAGAACACTTTTTATACAACCGGGAAACCTTAAATAAACCCTCAATAAATTTTCAATAAACCTTTAATAAACCTTCATAAACCTTCGTAATCAATTTGATTATAAACTGAAGGAACCATGGATCTTGCCACAAACTCAGATTTACTAATCCCTATATCTTTATCTTCACAACCCGATGTCGCAAACCTTCTAGATCAAACTTCTGTTAGATCAAATAGTCTAAATGTAAAATATCAAAGATAAACATCATCAGGTTGCAAAGATAAAGAGATAAAGAAATTATGTTTGTGGCAAAACTCTTTTCTTTTATGGAAATAGTATAAAATCAATGTTTGAGAGAGAGCCTAACTCTCATTATATACAGGGTGTCCCACGAAATATAACAGTAACAAGACGACTTGAAAGCCGTCTTTGAACTTTGAATTCGCTTATCTACTTTCCCATGTATGATACCTAAAACAATAACCACGAAATTCTACTAGTCCTGGCATTTCCAAAATGTGGAATGCCTTTTCTGTACTGAATACATTACCGGAGATATTAAAGGTAGTGACCGGCACTGTATGGTACAGGGTGTCCCAAAAAACATGGGAATTCAGTGACGAATAGTATATCGTCTTTGCTATGAATTAGCATTGTAATACCTAATTTCAAAAGCCATAATATTATTATGTCTGCTAGAGTTTATTTTATGAAAAGGGTAAAAGACTGTAAAGATGTGTCTATAATGTCTCCGCAAGATGAACAGTGAAGACGGACAAGTTTACTCTGTTTGTATACTGCAATTTTCTTGTTTTACTAAGTACAACCGTATGCAGTCAAAACATAAACAAACAAAATGTAAACATATAGCAGACGAAACTCTTACAGATTAAAGCTTTCTCAGTTGGTATCACTATACTAAATCAAAGAATTATTTAAAAAGACGATATCGAATTCGTCACTGAATTCCCATGTTTTTTGGGACACCCTGTAGTTGAATTGAGATCGCAGTATTATTGAGAATTTTTTAGGATTCAGTTGAGACCTATCAGACGTGTTTATGGTGCATATTTGTTTAGCAAGAACGCAAATGTAATATTTAAAATCCTCATTAATTGTCCATTATGGAGAGATGATTTTGAGAATCGGTTTTTTTTAATTATTCAAAAACGACGAAGAAAAATGTAACAAAATTTCTAAAGTAAGCTTATTAGATGTTTAGGAACATATTTCTCATTAGAAATTTGTCAATAAATCAATGTAAGAATCAATAAGTTTTTTCATCATTATATTGATTTCTTATTCTTTATGAATTTGTTCTCAGATTTCTTAAAATTCTTCAAATGCCGTCTTAACATTAAAAAAATCCAGGAAATCTACAGAAAATGGTTTTGGGCATTGAATCATTACAGAAACCAATAACTGAATAAGATTACTTATTTTCAATGATAAGATTTAATTTTTATTTTCTGAACCTGTTCCTAAACAACTAATTAGTTTACTGTAGAATTTATTATTATATTTTTGGTGGCCGTCATTGAATAATTTATATAAAACCGGATCTCAAAACCATCCTTCCAAAATTGACAATCTATATGAGGGAGGATTTTAAAGATTTCATTTGCGCTCTTGCGAAAATATATCCATGGTAAAAACGTCTGATGAATCCTAAAACATTTCTCAATAATACTGCAATCTCAGTTCAACTATAACCATACCATTGCCGGTCACTCCCTTTGAGAATTTCGTTCAGATTTCAATTTTATGAAATAAAACCGAAATCTGAACGAAATTCTTCATAAAATAGGCAGAACCCATTTTGGAAATGCCAAGACTAGGATTGACTCTAGAATTTTACTTCTATAATTAGGTTTACGAATAAATACTGGAAATTGTTTCAAAGATCAAAGACGACCTTCAATTCGTCTTGCTAATGTCGTGGGACAGTTTGCTCATCTTTCTGTTAATAAATAATAACTTAAACCCATCCAAAACCTAAACTTCGTTTTAAATGTTTGAACGAATTAGAGATAAAATATTAAATATTTTATTAAAGATATATTATCTATCAAGTATCAATACCTTTTGCCTAGTTTGTTTGGGTTTGCTTCCAGTCGATTTTTCGTTCATTCTTTACAAGAATATATATCTAAACTAAAATATATTATATATATCTACTTATATTTCATTGTTTACCATAATATTCAAATAAATCTATCTAGATATGGTTCATTGTATACCATAATATTCAAATAAATCTATCTAGATATGGTTCATTGTTTACCATAATATACAAATAAATCTATCTAGATATGGTTCATTGTTTACCATATATTCCACTAAATCTATCTAGATATGGTTCATTGTTTACCATAATATTCAAATAAATCTATCTAGATATGGTTCATTGTTTACTATAATATTCAAATAAATCTATCTGGATATGGTTCATTGTTTACCATAATATTCAAATAAATCTATCTAGATATGGTTCATTGTTTACCAGAATATATAAAGAGCGAGAATACTTCTTTAGTGTATCTTATATATACATAGGTACAGGTTATAATAATCATAGAAAATGAGAAAAATTATAAAATAATTAGATATATGATTGGATTAGAACACTCAAGATCCGTCATGAGAGATGATTGTGTTACTTACGGTTTCAGGCTGGATTTTCTTTTTCTTCCATCCCCATCCCCCACCCCCCACCCTTAAATAACCAAAAAGAAAATGCAAATAAGTACAGTCTTGGGTAACCCCAAAAACTATATATTTCTTTATTTCTTGGTTTAACAGTTCTCAAGGAAAAAACAGAAGACTGTAAAAACTTTTTTTTCGAGAATTATGTCAGGTAAAAAATTGGTTTGTTGATATCAGTTTGTCCCATGTGATACATGACATTTGAGACTATATAGCGACGACTTTAAGATCCTCCGTTAAAATAAATTGCGGCATTCGTTCGTCAACCTAAACTTAACAAGTTAATTATCACAAAATCCTAAAACTTCCTAATTGGGTTCAGTGTTTTTTTTCAAAATTTCAAAATTACCAGATTCAAAGAAGTTCATAAAGATTTTGATTAATTTTCGATTTCAATTTTGATTTATATCAAGCTTAAAAACAGCGTGGACACACAAAAAATAGGAACAAAGAGAAGATATCAATTAAAAAAGCTTCTCTTTAATTACTCGTAAGTTTGTGATTCAAAAAGAGTTTGTTAACAATTAAAACTTAAAGAAAAATGTCGTCTTCATTACATTTATATAATCGCCTACCATCGTATGATAGTTGAGCGGAGAATGTTTAAAGTTTATAATTGCTCAAACTCGATTTTCAAATATCAAAAGGCGGAAAAATAAAAAGTAATAAAAAAAAGCTAAAATGGTCTAAATCTGTGTGGATCTTCAAACACATATTTGTTTGTTTCAAGAATGATATTGATAAAAGTAAGTTGACGAATGATGCTTCAATTGCATCAAAGATCAAGTCGCTACTCAACGCTGAAATCCTAAATGTGAAATCACATAAATTTTCTTTGTTTCTATATATACAGAAGTAGACGATTATGTCAATATAATAAAGACGACTTTCGGTTAAAATTTAATTTATATCATACTTTTAAACAGCCTAGATACACAAAAACATGAAAACAAAAAGAAGATGTTAATTAAAAAAACATCTCTTTAATTACATTTAAACCTGTAATTCGAAAAAAAAGCTTTTTTAACAATAAAAAAATAAAAAAAAGTCGTCTTCATTATATTGATACAATTACCTACCAACGTAGAGTATTTTATATTTTAATGTCCATAAACTTAACTAATGTCCCTGTCTCACCCTATAAACCCCTTAACACTATACATATGTCAATTTAAGGTCAAGACCGTAAAATCGACAACTTTTGAGTTAAGGTTTTAAATTGGAACTAAACAGCTTAAAACGAGGGGATGGAGGAGGGAGGTTAGGTGAGATGAGAGAAAAGAGGACAGAGCAGAGAAGGATGGATAGATAGATAGAAATCTTTACGAGAAATCTCCTTGATCAATATTTTCTCCTCTAGAAAAACACCTTTCAACCATTAATTACACCTCTAACAAATCAATGTTTTCTAATAAAACCTGGTAATACGGACGATTTTAAAACTTTAGGGTTACAGGCATAACAATCAGATTTCAAAGACGACATTATGGTTGGCATTCAGGATATTTTCTTGCATTCATGTGAATTATCAGCTCATCCTGGCAATCTGGTATCTGGAGAATTATCAGCTCATTCTAGCAATTTGGAGAATTATCAGCTCATCCTGGTGATCTGGAAAAATATCAGCTCATCCTGGCAATCTGGAGAAATATCACCTCATCCTGGTAATCTGGAGAAATATCAGCTCATTCTGGAAATCTGGAGAAAAATTAGCTCATCCTGGTAATCTGGAGAAATATCAGCTCATCCTGGCAATCTGGAGAAATATTAGCTCATCCTGGCAATCTGGAGAAATATCAGCTCATCCTGGTAATCTGAAGAAATATCAGCTCATCCTGGAAATCTGGAGAAATATCAGCTCATCCTGGTAATCTGGAGAAATATCAGCTCATCCTGGAAATCTGGAGAAATATCAGCTCATCCTGGTAATCTGGAGAAATATCAGCTCATCCTGGTAATCTGGAGAAATATCAGCCCATGCTGGCAATCTGGAGAAATTTCAGTTTTACCCGCCAATCTTGAGAAATATCAGCTCTACTTAGCAATCTAGAGAAATATTAACTCTACCTGGAAATCTGGGGAGAAATCTGTTTGTTTGCAAGATATTATACATAAGAAATATCAAAAATTAGTATAGTTTAATTTTATACAGTGCACAAAATATCAAACTCATTTTATTTCATCATAAAAAATATATAAACTTTTAGTTAAATGCCATATTAATACATATAAGACTAACTGATTAATTATTTGTGACATAAATGCAGTATATTATATAAATAGTAAATCCCGGGTTTAACTCTCATGTTAATTGACTAACCCTGTACACTAGGAGTAATAAAAATCATTACGGTTTAAGGCCAGATCCTTTATCAGTTCTAATACAAGATATGGTCACTGTCTGGTTTCTCCACCTCACAGATTTATTGTATTCCCACTGACACAAGTTCTTACAGTGCTAAAACCAGTTTAGAAAAATTAATTGAATACTTTTTAAACCAATAAATTCTAATCATAGAAAAATAGGCCTTGTTAGAATTTAAAGGGAAATATTGCAAGATTATATGTTGTGAAAAAGCATATGTTCTTTTTTTTCTGAAACGATTTCTATTGGATGAGGGGGGGGGATATTTTTTAAAATTGCATATTTAAACTGATAAATCTTTATACAATCCTAGACTGCAACTAAGATCTTCAAGAAATAAATCGGAGAAAAAATCCTTACACAACCTTTTTCTACAAGAAGATCTTTGAACATCCCTTGAAATGAAAAAAGATTTCCAAAAAGTTCAAGATCTGAGAGAAGGTCATCCCGGTAACAGAGTTCTCAGAGCGATTAGTTCGCTTCTAGACATTAGTTTTGAACAGCACTAGTCTGTGAAAAGAAGTCTGATCTTAAGAATATTCTAAACAGATCTAAAAGTCCAGAAGCACTAGGATGAAAATATCTTTGCTCGATCTTTAAATGCTTGGGTTCGTTCTCTCTGCTCCTGCTCCATCCTGATTCTCTCCTTCTTCTCCTCCTTCATCTCCTCCTCGAACCTACTTCCCTTGTGTACTTGAGCAATCTGAAACAAAAAATCTTATTTTCATCTTTTATATTCTAGAGGACAAAACTTTTTAAAGTTAATCCTTTCCAGAGTCTTTTTATGTCCGACGGATTAAGTTTAAATGATTAACTTTTCATGTCAGACTAATCAGAAGCACACAATAATGCTCATGGTCAATGAGAGATCGCAAAAATACGAATCAGCTGATTAAGCAGGCGTTGTACTTGGATTAGCGGAGTCTCAAAAAGTTCCGCCCCTAGATTTTTCAACCGTTCCCCTTCTTCCCTTCTATTCAGTTACAGAAATCCCACATAAAAAATTAGAGTTAAGAAAAATCTTTCTTTTTATTCATTTTAACTTATTTGGATTACTTCAGATCTTTTTTCTTGCTACAAGTTCTCATCTGATTTCTTCATTTTCCCTTCTTTCCGACAATTTCGTTTTTTTGGTTTCTTCCTCAAAATATTTGTCTTAAAAGGACTGCAAATGTAATTTTAAATGACTCTCTATGTAAAGGTAGCGATCAATACCCGATTTACATCGGTGCCCTTGGAGCCTTAGATCAGAAATGTCGTTTGTCAGTTTATTTCTGTGAATTTCTCCATTGTTTCTTACAATCAGGAAATATATCCTTTAATTCATGTCCTACATCTCTTCCTTATCCTTTAATTCATATCCTACATCTTTTCCTTATCCTTTAATTCATATCCTACATCTCTTCCTGGGCCTTTTCTTCAAATTTATTTACTCAGTTTTATACCTTCGCTTCGAAGAATGTTTTAGCTCCGTTAACTCCGACCTGGTCGACATCTACCTCCGACAGCTGGGCGAGCTGACCCAACCCTGACTCTATGTCAAGTTCTCCGGCCCGAGCCTTTCGGAATATTGTCAAGAACTCTCTAAAATATTACGAATGAACTGAAGAGTTTAAAGTTAAAGGCCTGATTCACAACGCTACCCTGTAAATCTTGATCAGAGCGACAACTAGGAAGATATCTTTTTTCTATCTTCAAAGAGAGATAAATTCTGCCAATATTTTACTTCCATGTCTCTTCTGCATGAATGCGCAAGAAATATAAACTGAAAATTGGATTTCTCAATCGTGTATGATAAGAAAATGGGGTTTAAGGGCACCGTTGTGAATTGTGTTCATAGCTATCAATGGAGGGTCACTAGACATTAAGTGAACAGTCCCTTTAAGAATTAGTCAAAAACTTTACAATACAATACTCTGACCCCTTTCCCTGGATTATCTCAGAACTCCTTAGGCAGGTCCCACCAGAGATAATACACAATCGAGTTAATGCTTTTTAGTCAATTGTATTTTTTTGGGTTTCTGTCTCGTAAAATTTAATAAAAGATTGAAACATTTGTTTTTCATATTTCGATTTTGAAAGACAAATTACTTACTGATTTTGATGAATTAAAAAATTGTTGTTTCAAACCCCCGCCCCACCCTTGTCTATGAATAGTTATCCGGCTGAAATATTTGTTTTTATATTCCGTCATGGTATTCTCTCCTGTTTAGCAGTCATGTGGAAAACCAGCGGAAATTTTTACAGGTTTTCAGGCAATCAATAAAAATACCAAGTTCTTGAAAAATAAATAAAAAAAAACTAAGGAAGGAGGATTAGGTTAACTACTCCACCTCCTCATTACTACAGTGATAACCCGAAATAGAAAGACGACATTGAAGCAATTCTGAAGTGCATTTGATGATGAAACAAAGAGTTTTACTCGTAACTTATTTAATCACTTGTTAAGTGAAATGGGTCTTTTTAACATGTACAATTACTGTGTCTCATGTTTATTGGACTATTTAAACTTGAGTTTAAAAGTCGACTTCCATTCCCCTCCTCCTTCTTTCCTTCTTCCCCCTCCCCCATCTTCCTCCTTTCTCTTCCCCCTCCTTTCTCTTCCCCCTTCTTCCTTTCCACTACTCCTACCCCTCCCTCTTCTTCTTCCTTTTCCCTCCCCTTCTTCCTTTCCCTTCACCCTCCCTCTTATTCTTCCTGTCCCTTCTTTCTCTTTTCCCTTTCCCCTTCTTTCTCCTTTCCCCTTCTTTCTCCTTTCCCCTCCCACTTCTTCTTCCTTTCCCTTTCCCCTTGTTCTTCCTCTCACCTCCCATTACTTCCTTTATTCTTCCCCTTGTTTTTCCTCTCACCTCCCATTTCTTCCTTTACCCTTCCCCTTGTTCTTCCTCTCACCTCCCATTTCTTCCTTTACCATTCCCCTTGTTCTTCCTCTCACCTCCCATTTTATCCTTTACCCTTCCCCTTGTTCTTCCTCTCACCTCCCATTTCTTCCTTTCCTCTTCCAACATTTGCTGACCCTCCCCTCCCCCCTACCCCCTTCTATCTGTCGAATATGAAGTATAATAAAAAGTTGAGAGAACAGAGGATCCATTAACAGGAAAATCCTCTTTCAAGTGTTTTGTTACAAAAATCAACCGAACTAAGAAGATTGAAGGTTTATTAAAATCTAGTGTTACAAAATACTTTCGATAATAGTTGAAAATATAAGGTTTCAAACTCAGAAAACTCTAGTGTTTGAGTCAGACACTGCAATTTATTTTCTGTAAAAAATCAGTTTCATTTTTAAACTTTTAAAGGGTTAAATAACATGGAGTTATCTACAGAAACCTAAATGAACCCAGTTTATCTTTCCTAAACCAACCTGAAAGAGATTGCTCCGTCCTTGTCCTCATCCGCATCCTGGAGCATACTCTTGAGTCCGAGATGGGTTTGTGGTGCTCCTAATTTCTCCATCATCATCTTCAGCTCAGACAAGGATATAGATCCACTCCCGGAGATATTATACCTAGATATAGAGTTGGATTCCGTCTCCATATTCTATACTTTATACAGTATTAAACATACAGGCCAAACACATTTGCTTCATTTTCTTCGACATTTGTAAAGGAAAAATATGCAAAAAGAAATACAGAATTTAATTGAAAAAAATATCTATCAAAAAGTTTAAATTTTATATCATGATTAAAAGGCAAGTTTGATGAGTATGGCTTAGTTTGTCAATGTATTTGAAAATTTATAACTTTCGCCCGCAAAGGAATTGAATCTTTGCATTGTCACAAACTTCATAATTTCATAATCTCTTTATATTTGCAACCTGGTGAATAAAAACGGTTTTTTTTAAGCCTAGATTATGTAATCTAACAGTATTCAATTTTGAAAAAGTTAAGGTCTACGACATAACGTTGCAAAGATACAGGGATTAGAAAATCAAAGTTTGTGGAAAAAGTTAAGGTCTACGACATCACGTTGCAAAGAAACAGGGATTAGAAAATCAAAGTGTGTGGCAAAGACTTAATTCCTCTACAAAAAAGAAGAAAAAACATCAAGATGATTTCAGAAATTGTCCTCATACAAACTAAAATGTTCTAATTATACGCTGATGGTTTATTAGCTTTAGATTTCAACAGAATTTGTTGATAAATAACTAAATCGTTGTTAACAGATGCTCTGATTTTAAAATAAATTTTAAAACTTTTTTATATAACTTGTGTTTAAATCTGGAACTGCCCCCTCAAAATTAAGTAAAACTATTAAAATCTTACAGTTTAAATTTTTCCTCGAACTCCTTGATCTCCTTCCTGGTGAAGTCTGTGAAGTCTGTATAGATGGAGGTCTTGACAAACCTAGGCTTAACATCCTGGCCAGAATCGAGCGCATCATTTCTCTCATTTCTACGACTAAAAATATTATAAAAATTATTAAGGAAAACGAAAAAAACTAAAAGAGTTATAAATAGGCTTCAAAATTTGCAAATGCAATTTTTTATGTCTGAACATCCATAAACCTTTTCTGGGGTCATGTGAGTTGCCTCAAAAATGTTGCGCTCGATCGGTTCAGCCGTTTTGACGCTTATGGGATACAAACAAGTTTTCTGCTAGTCTTTAACTATTTCTTAGTCAATATAATTAACCAGAAAAAAGTATAAAAATCCACACAAAAAATCAGAAAAACCCAACATCATTAAAATCCAATAATAACGAAATTGATTCCGTTTTGATATTAATATTTTATTTCTTTAATTTAAAATGCTTTGAATGATAATTCACATTCATTAAAAACAAATGACAGTGTGTGACAAAAATAAACACAGAGATAAGAGCTCTTTAAATTTTAAGATATATTTGTTATTTTCTGAGTTCATTTATCAAAAACTCAAAGTCAAGGTAATAAAATTCAAGATTATGAACTGTTCATTAATTGTAATGAATCAGCTAAATTCCTCTCTTATCAGGGTTAGATTTTTTTATATCAATAACCGCTTAGTAATATTACATTTCTTAACACATAATATATTATTAAATATAAACCTAAACATTGTGCTTTGTTTACGTGAACGAGGAATGAATTATGAATTTGAGAAAAAAAAACCGTAAAAAGAAGAATGTTTGATATTTATATATTCATTATTTAACTATTGAAATATTCAGATCTGTAATTTTAAAGCAAAAGTTGCGAATAGTAAGAAAATTATAAAGAAACTGAGTTTTTGTCACAAACTCAAATTTTCTTATCCCTTTATCTTGTGCAACCCAATGTCGGAGTCATTTAATATTTCAAACTATGAATTTTGATAGATCAAATAGTCTGTGTTTGTTTCCACCATCCTATTGCAGAGATATAGGTATTACAAATTTGTATTTTGTGGCAAAAACTCTATTCCTTTCCTTTAAAATCCTGCCTGTAAAGCAGTTGTGAATAATTATTATCCTCCCCTGTATTTAATGGATAATTTAATCCCTCAAGTATTATGCAACGACTTGATAATTAAATCAACTTATTGTATCTACTAATTTTAGAAAACTTCCTATTCTTCCACCCTTTTCCCTTTCTTGCACTCATCTCTTAATCTTCGCAAAACCTGCATTTTCTTCGACACCCATGCCTTTTCTGTACTTTCTTAAAAACCTGCTAAATCTTAAACCCTCTTCCTAGAGACCCAAACCATTCTATCTCTAACCTTCGGTTCAATCTAGAGTTTTCCCTTTCATTAAGCTCTAATCGTAAAAAATTACAGATTTTATAAAATATTCACACTTTTCCTTCCCTTGGACCTTTCGTACCTTAGAATAGCTGAGAGTTCATTATCTGCCGGCATATTAGTGCTCCTTCTTGGAAATTCTCTGAAAATTTTTAGGGTTTAAATTATGCTTCAATGAATAAAAACTATGACTAAAAAGTACATAGAATGATAAAATTAAATTGACAAGTCAATACTACAGACAAATGAGATTAGGTGCTGATAATTATCCCTTTGTTAAATATTTGTGGTTCCTGAGTAATAACTGCAATTGTTTGTCACGAAACGAGCAAAACTCTGTTTAAGGTGTTGTATCACTCAAGTTCTCATTATTAATACTAATTAACAAAAACACGCGAAGAAGCCCTGTTTTAGTCAAGCTCAGGAATCCTGTAATTTGGCAGAGTTGGGTTTAGGAAGGTTATGTAGAGTTGGGTTTTGGAGAGGAGAGGTTTTGTAGAGTCGGGTTTAGGAGATTTTTGAGAGTTCTGTAAAGATGAGTTTAGGAGAGTTCTGTAGGATTGGGGTTAAGAAAGTTCAGTAGAGTTAGGTGCAGGAGAGTTTTGTAGAGTTGGGTTCAGAAGAGTTCTGTAGAGCTGGATTCAGGATAGTTCTGGCAGGTTGGGTTCAGAAGAGTTAGCTGTAGAGATAGTGTTCGGGAGAGTTCCGAAAAGAAGGACTCAGGAGAGTTCTGTAGGTGTGGGTTCGTGAGATTTCTATAGGATTGGGTTCAGGTGAGTTCTCTAAAGTTGGGTTCAAGCGAGTTCTGTAGAAATGTTTTCAAGCGAGTTCTGCAGAGATGGGTTCAGGAGAGCTCTGTAGAGAAAGGTTCAGGAGGTTCTGTAGGGATAGTTTCAGGAGAGTTATGAAGGGTCGGGTTGAGGAGATTTCCGTAGAGTTAAATTCAGAGGAATTCTGTAGAGATGGATTGAAAAGAGTTCTGTAGGGTGAGTCGAGAAGAGCACTGAAGGATGAGTTCAGGAGAGTTTACTTTACAGCCCAGAGACAGTACACTGCAGTACAACAAATGCGTACACCTCTGAAATAACTATCTTTACATTATAATTCATTGGGTTCAGAAAAGTTCTGTGGGATTGGGTTCAGAAAAGTTCTGTGCGATTAGGTTCAGAAAAGTTCTGTGGGATTGGGTTCAGAAAAAATCTGTTTGATTAGGTTTGGGTTCAGAAAAAATCTTTTTGATTAGGTTCAGAAAAGTTCTGTGGGATTAGGTTCAGAAAAGCTCTGTTGGATTAGGTTCAGAAAAGTTCTGTGGGATTACGTTCAGATAAACAAATCTATGTTGCAGCAACAGCTTCAATTAAATGAACGGCAGACCGTCACTACTCTATAGAGATGACTGTAACGAACAGAGTTCACAAAATCACTTGTCCTAAATGATATTGAAGGAGTACTTGAAAGGATGAAAAACTGGTTTTGGCTTATGATGAATTCACTTATACATTTTTATCAATAGTGATCTTATAAGATAAGAAGTCTATACAAAGGATATAAAACAAATGCTTATGTATCTTATGAAAGAACTCTATCTTGATTAGATCCCCCAGTATCTGTATAACTAGCTCTAGGAGTCCTTATTTATACTATACATAAGAACTATCAATGGATCAGGCTTAGTATATACAAGGTAAGAAGGATACTGGTAACCAACCAAACCAACTAGGATATTAAACTTGAAACAGGAGCGCGGGAACTTGTGACTAGTGAGTGTACACTCAAACACTGCAAGGGTCTCTGCCCTCTGGATCCAGAACTATCTATCTATCAATATCCCGGGCTCACTCGCAATCTATCTATCTTCCAAGTATACATAATACGAATACTCGATGAAAGGAATTGAGTCTTTGCCACAAACTCTGATTTTCTAATCACTATATCTTTGGAACTATATCTTTGCAGACCTTAAATATTTCAAACTATGAATTCTGTTAGATCAAATAATCTGAGTTTGAAATATCAAAAGTTTACAACATCTAATGCTAAAGATATTGAGGTTTAAATATTTGATTTTGTTCCAAAGATTCAATTCCTTTTAACTGAATATTGACAATTATTAATAAGCAGTTATTTCACAAAATCAATAATTTTAATAACTTCTACGAAAGGATAACCTTGGGTTCTATCTACTACAGGAGTTTAAACTTGAATTTCAATTGCTACTGCTTTGAAAACCTTATTATTCCCATCCCTTAGGTAAATATGAATGTAAACATGGGTTTACTTTTATTACATTAGATACATGGCTGCATGTAGGATTCCTTTTACTTAAATAGTCAAAACCCGGAATTCTTTCTATTAAACTGGAAACCTGGATTAATTCCTGCTTTTAAAGGGAAAAAACCTCCTTAAATTCCTACTTCAACAGGGGAAACCTATATTTTAATTCCTGATTTTAAAAATAAAACCTTGATTAATTCCTTCTTTTAAATGGGAAACCTGTATCTTAATTCCTGATTTTAAATAGAATCCTGGATTAATTCCTGCTTTTGAAGAGGAAAACTGGATTACAATTCCTACTTTTTAAGGGAAAACCTGGATCAATTCCTGCTTTTAAGTGGAAAACCTGGATTAATTCCTGCTCAAAAGAGGAAACCTGGCTTATTTCTTGCTTTTAAAGAGGAAACCTGGAATAAAATTTCTTCTATTGAATTGAAAAACAAGCTTATTAACTGGCTTCCGCGGGAACTTTTGCAACCAGGCTTCCTCATGCTGAGATGGTATAGAATGTATAATTAAGATAACGAGCAAAATATTTAAGTAGAATCTTTATATTGTTTTGCTACCGGGAGCGCGCAAGGATTAACTGCGCAGTGCTCGCACATGTTCTATTGAATTCATAATTTAGATGCATAAGGCATCTGTCAAGGTTAAGGATAAAAGGATGGCACAGTTTCATTTTGAATCTTAAGAATCTTTTTTTCATCAATTTTTACATAATTTTGTTTTCAATTTTAACAATTTTTAATTTCAATGTTGGTGCGGATTTTAACGAAGGAATTTTTTATTAATTTCTTCAAAAATATTAACTTTATGGCCTTGTATTTTATATATTACTTTCAATCGATTTATTATTAAAAAAGATGAGTTTCAAAATTTTGATCAGCCTGGAATGAACTTGAAGGGTCTGGTGCAGACCAGACAAGTTTCAAAACCAGTTTCAACCTAAAGGGTGAAGAAATCCGACCAGTATTAACCTGATAAAATTTGGATACCAGACAAGAGCTTTCCTTTTTGGTTTGAATCTCAAGAACGGAAGAGGTTCAACCCAGATCGAAATATTTTCAACAATATTTGGTACTATCGCCTATTTTTTTTACTCTGTGGGGATTTGAGCATCATTAACACCGAATTTTAAATCTTTTCTTTCTAATTCGGACCAGAAATTATTAGTTTACCAGAACTTAAACTGTAATTGACATGAAGGGTATGTAAACCAGATCTTGTAATTAAACTGGGAACGATACTGAAATGGTTTGTTTACCAGATCCATGTATTTAGACTGGATTAAATCTGAAAGGGTTTGTATACCAGATCTTAAATTAAGACTGGAATGAACTGGAAAGGGTTTGTATACCAGATATTTAAAATGAGGATCTGGTTCGATTAGAGGATCTGGTCCAAATGAAGGGTCTGGATGGGATGGAGACTCTGGGTTGATTGGATGATTAGGTTTAATTGGAGGATCTGGAGTGGATGGAGGCTCTGGATTGGTTGCAGGAACTAGATTGGTTGGAGGATCTCGTACGATTGGAGGATCAAGAATGGTAGGAGGATTTGGTTCAATTGGAGGGTCTGGATGGGTTGGAGGATCTGGTTTGGTAGATGAATCAGGCTTGGCTGGAAGGTCTATATTGATTGGAGAATCGGAATCAGTCCGAGGTTCTGGACTGGTTGGAGGATCTGGAGTTGTAGGAGGATCTGAATTGGTCAGAGGTTCTGGATTGGTATATGGATCTGGTTCAATTGGAGGATCTGAATTAGTTAGAGAATTTGGTTCGATTGGAGGAACTGGATTGGTTTGAGGATCTGGATTGGTTGGAGAATCTGGTTCGATTGGGGGATCTGGTTTGGTTGAAGGATCTGATTTGGTTATAGGACCTGAATCAGTTGCAGAATCAGGTTCTGTTAAAGGATCAGGCTTGTTTGAAGGGTCTGGTTTGGTTGGAAATTTTGGTGTAAATTCCTGAAAGTCGTAGAAATCCCAGAAAGGGACCGGAATATATGAGCTGTGGATGTAGTTGAGGATGTCCACTGCAGTATATCTGGTTTCATGAGCTTGGAGTAGTCATACAGGGAAAGGTCTAAATTGGATTTCCTGTTTAGGATGAAAAGCTTGTCGAAAGTTCATAGTATCATATGTCGTTCTCCTTAATAGCGTGTTGGAAAGCCACATTGAGGAGAAGGTCATTGATATTACCTGGTGGTTGGAGGTGGGATTTGAGGATGTTCATGGTGGTCTGTTGGGTTTCATGGAGGTTGGAGCTTTAAGAAGGGAAAAATCCGACTCCGTTTTCATGTTTTTGATGTACATATGGTTGAGAACTGAAAGTGTCCTGATGTTATTCTCCTGGATGGCACATTGAATGCAGAGGTATAGAACAGGATGGTGTGGTTGATTGGTGGTTGATAGAGGTCAGGTTTGCATGATACAGGCATGCATGTAGCATAATCATGTAAACATGATATTCTGTAGACTTGCAGTATGTTTTACATAATAAATGATTTTATGTTGTAAACTTAGACACAATGACATTATTCATTGAAACTGTGTTTCAATTGAATATAACATGATTAGCTTAAGTCATGTAACATATTTAAATTACACTATAAAATATGTGCGATAGCTTAACTATGTTATATCTATTTTCTCTAAATGTTTAACTGTGCGATAAATACATAATACAATGGTCTTAATCGTAATTTAGATAACATCGTAGGAATTGTAACTACGTCAATTTCTGTTAACTTTTTGACTGTTTGCTGTGTGAGAGTAAACCTGAAGTCCTGTTTTTATAATCAATTTGGGATCGATATATAGCTTGTTGTATAGGTAGGCTTGTGTCGTTGTGTGGCATTTATAGCACTGAACCCGTGCATTGATAAAACCAGGTCGGATCGTCCCCATTATTTGGGAATTGACATATAGCTAGGCTTGAGTCCTTGTTAGACATTTAGAGCTGATCGTCCCCATCATGTGGGATTGTTATAAAGATAGCTTACAGTTAAGCTTGTGGATCCCTGTGTAGCATTTGAAGCATTGGATAAATAGCTGGGTTTGATATCTACGCTTGTGTGGCATTTAGAGCCTGGGATTCAGTCCTGGTTGAACACTGTATTAGTAGCTGCATTTTGATAGCTACTCTTCTGTCCCTGTGTGGCATTTAGAGCCTGGGTTTCAGTCCTGGTTATTAGTAGCTGCATTTTGATAGCTACTCTTCTGTCCCTGTGTGGCATTTAGAGCCTGGGTTTCAGTCCTGGTTGAACACTGTATTAGTAGCTGCATTTTGATAGCTACACTTCTGTCCTTGTGTGGCATTTAGAGCCTGGGATTCAGTCCTGGATGAACACTGTATTAGTAGCTGCATTTTGATAGCTACACTTCTGTCCCTGTGTGGCATTTAGAGCCTGGGATTCAGTCCTGGTTGAACACTGTATTAGTAGCTGCATTTTGATAGCTACACTTCTGTCCTTGTGCGGCATTTAGAGCCTGGGATTCAGTCCTGTTTGAGTTTGATCGCGGACGGATTGTACCTGGATAGATACGTTCGAGAACTTTTTATGGAGTAGGTGTTTACTGCATGCATTCACCATGACAGACATGAAAACAAACAAACAGCTAGACAAGCTAAATATTACATTTAGCCAGTTAAGAACTTTTTCGTTGATCCTATAATTCTTAAAAATGTTTTTACACTCCTTAAAATGAAGTGTAATGAAAGCTGAGAAAGCTTTAATTGTCTAGTGTGTAGTTGTATTCTGTATAATATTATGAAGATGGAGAATATATAAATTCTACAATAATACTTGAATATACTCAGTTCTAGTGAATACCCTGATCCAGGACTAGTTATTCAACAGCTGACAGATAGTATACAGTATACATATACACCTCGTCTAGCTGCCTTCCTACGCAACACTAAATGTGAATATTATATGTAAAATACGCATTTTTAAGCACACTGGTATCTTAATAAAAAGTTAAAAGTTAAAAGCAAAAAGCAAAAAGAAAAATTATGCAACTGTTTTTGAAACAGTTTTTTTTCGACCTTTTGCATTTTGAAAGCTAAAAAGTGGCTAACTAAATGATTTTATACAACTTGCATTTTTTTCAATTTGTTTAATTGTAAAAAAGTGTGTTGTATACAGTATAAGCAACTGTTTTACTTAAAGGGACTGCAAGCGTAATTTCAAGTGACCCTCCATTGACAGGCACCAATGCCCGATTAACAACGGTACCCTTGAATCAATTTGATCAATAACATGGAAGATATTGTCGATTTTCTAGACAATTTTAGTGTTAAATTTTGCTAATTCCTATATATGTTTTCCAACAGTAGAAATGCGCACTTTTGAAGAGAAATCACAATTTAATATTATCAGTTTTTAAATTATAAACATTAATAACTAATTCATACTTGATCAGACAAAGCTTAAGAATACCTTTGTAAATCAGGGCATCGTCAACTTTACATGAAGGTCAACTTAAAATTTCGCTTAATTCCCTTAAAAAATGACAATTGTATTCGAATCAGTAGTAGATCAGAGATAGTATTGTGCCATGTAAAATGATAGTTTATCCGATAAATAGGAATTATTAGCAAAAAGACAGAAATCTTATGTTTCGATATTCACTGTCACAACATAAGTTTTAAGTATTTAAATATGTTTAAATTGTTAGACAAAGATGAGATTCTTCACCTACGCAGGTTTTGGAAACACTAAATTTTTGTTTGTGTCACATACAGTACAGTACAATTTGCGTACATTCAGGGGTTACTTTGCACTAGTTTATACTAGTAGTATAGCATAAAATCATTACAATATAGACAATTTAAAAGTGGTCTTTGATTCATGAAGTTAGTCTTAAACTTTCTTCCACATGTATGATTAAAAAAATTCTCCAATTCATGGGATTTCCAAATTTGGTCTGCCTTTTTTGTGCTGTCAATGTTACCTGAAATATTGAGAATCTAGTTCAGATTTCAATTTGAATAAAACCAAAACTGTCGAAATAAGGACAAAACTCCAGTATATAGCACCAAAAAGACAGATCACATTTTGGAATTGCCAGAACCAGGGGTATTTTGTGACTATTAACTCTATTTACCTCCAAATTTTGGTTTACGAATAATGGCCGCTAATTATATAAAAGATAATCCTATTCTGTAGGACACCCTTTATATTCTTATTGAATAGTTAGTATCAATATTTTTTGGTTTATTCATTATTTAGCGTCTTTTTAAACTTCTACAATCTACAATGCTTGATTTCAGAAAAAATGATTTATCAAGAATTGTTATCTAGAACACCTCCCCCTGTAAACTGCTGATCATACAGAAAGTTTTAGAGAACATGAGAGACCTGATTTTTGTGATTCTGTTTTACACTATTTGCTACGAAATTCTGTAAAACTTAAAGATTGTTCAGAAATCTCAGAAGTCTAGACACTGATTAAAGAAAAGGTAAGTTAATATTTATCCTAAACTTAATCTTTATTCAAGCCAAGGTTTATTCCTGGGCTGCATCTTAAAGGGACAGACTCCGGATATACAGATCTTTAAACAGTTTTATATGTCTCAAATGAATCCTGAAGAATTTGTCTACAACACTTCATACTCAGTTTAACTACCTTACATAGCCGGTCTGTCCCTTTAACATGCAGTGGGACCCTTAAAACTGTGGATTAGGAAGACGACATTTTAGCAATGAAATTTGCATTTTAAATTGTTATGAAGCAAATTGTTTTACTTGTAGTCTATAAATGGGTCTGTGTAAACTGTATAACTGCTGTGTTGGAGTCTAACAGTCGTCTTCCTTTTCCACATTTTTAGGGATCTCACTGTAAAAAGTAGTATTATCTGTTTTTATGTCTGTTTGTATCTCCAATCATGAACCCCTTGGCTTCAAATTTTGATTGGGTATCTCGGTAGAACCACGGGAATGTTCTTAACTAAACAAAATCATGAAAATGGAAACTGTTTCATTAAATTGACTTTTTCCTCAATATATAATATGTTTCATTAAAACTAGTTTAAAAATAGCTAATTTCAGATTAGATCAAAAACCACTCCTTTTTTAGGGCATTATATCATTTTGCAATAACTATCATTACACATTACATTTTTTATCCTTAATTTCTAAATTTCTACAATTTGTTATTTTTAAATATTGTCCCTATCGACCCTTGCGATGATTTAGATAAGTAATAAACCGCTAAATAGTTTAAAACAAAGAAAAAACAACTGAGAGATGATATTATCGCAAAGTTACATTATTTTTTATTATTAATTTACTCAGGAGATTTCAACAATTTGTAGGTACAGGGTGTTCCACGAAACACGAAATATATCAAAACGACTTGAAACCCCTTGAAAGTCGTCTTTGATCTTTATTTTATTTGTGACGTTTAGCCTACTTTATCATGTATGATTTTTCAAACAATAACAACAAAATTCTCCTGGTCCAGAAATTTCCAAAATGTGGTCTGCCTTTTTTGTGCTGTCAGTATTTCCGGAGAAATTAAGAATTTTGATTTTAATTTTATTTAATTAAACCACAAAAATAAATTCTTTAGATATCCGGTAATATTGAAAGCAAAACTACACTTTTTTTGCGATTATTAATTTTAGAATTTACAGAGATGGTGCTGTTTGCACCTTTTCTCAAGACCTCAAAATTTATACCTGCCTGCATATCTATATATATATTATCTTTGGTAATACATTATAGTTATAATATACTGCGTTGAACTAGAACCAGGCCAATGAAGAGAACCTGAGATTGTAATCTAATAATTGTTGTCCAGGGATGAAGATGAAACGATTGCTCGTCCATGTTCAAATTTCAGACCTTTTTATTTCGAGAAGATTTAATTGAAAACTTGTGTAAACAGGGTTGGATGTATTTCACACAACTTATCAATTTTTATCTATTAAATAATCCTTTAACCAGACCATGGTAAAATTATTTTTTATTTCTATTAAACTAACAATCTTGTAAAATTCTGTAAAATCTGTTGCTGAGATGAAATCTTGTTCAGTTTACCATCTGTCTTCCATCATAATATACAAAACTATAGATTACAGTGAATCTAACAGCTGGATTGCGGGATTGTGCTTTAAATAGAAATCTATTTTAATCTGAACGCGATTTTTAAAAATCTTTATAAAAACTGCAAGATAGATCGCTATTTTGTCGAGATTGTCTTATTATACAGTGCAGATACCAGAAAACTCTGGAGTAGGAAGACGACTATTAGAATCAAGTTATTACTTTAAAAAGTCTGATGAGCATGAACTGTCGTTTTCTTATTCCAGTGTTTTCTGGTTATCACTGTATGTTAACGGGGTTAAATTTTTATTTTTAAAAAGGCATAAGTGATATTCACAACAGTTCCCCTTCTATAGTTTTCTGTATAGAATGAGCAAAATTTTATTCATTTTAGAAATCCTCGAAATAAATTTTCTACCGGTCTAAAACCTTTTGATACGAACTCTCCAATCCACTTGTGTTATCCTAGAGTTATTAAAACTGAAAAACATTTTGGAATTTGCGTTCCTCGTACCACGAAACGCTGATGCAGTTATTACCAATTATGGGCTTTTTTATGATATCTGAACCATGTGGGTAGACTGTCAATATTTCCACCATGTCAAAGTCTCATTTATTGATTTAGTTCAAACCAAGTACAATAGGTGGCAACAGAGAAATGGACCAATTACATAACGTCACAAGTGTCAAATATTACAATGGACCAATTATACACGACATTACAAGTGTCAAATATTACAAGGAAAACGAAATGTTCTCACATTGGTTGACATGTTTTTCAAGATTAAATAAAATAAGGTAAAAGCAGAAACTAAAGAACACATAAAATAGCACTTATATTATTGTAATATAAGCAATTTATTCTAAAATTATCGCCATCATTGATAATTTTGTCGGACACAAAAACTGAATTGACACTTGTGCATGACATCAGAATAAAGCTGTACTGAGAGTGTACAAATTCTACGTTACTATCTATATTGTGCTAGAATCTATTTGATTCTAACTATATATAAAGTAGTAATCTGTTTGTCTGTTTGTCTGTTTGTTTGTATGCCCGATCACAAATTAGAAACATCTTGACTATTTTGTCTCAAAAGAATTGAGTCTTTGCCACACACTCTAAGTTTGAAATATCGAAGTTTCACACGATCAGGTATTAGAACATTTGAGTTTGTAACAAAGGCTCTATTCCTTTGATTAGAGAACTCGGTAGAACCACGGGAGTGTTCTTATTTAGATTTTAATTTAAAGTTTATTTTCTAGGCAAAGCTAGGTTTGCAAGGTAGTATTATCTAAAAGAAAGCAGCTTGTAACTATATTTATTCTATTTAAACTGTTTAATATACTATTGTGTATTGTATAGAAGAATGAAGGTGACCAGTTCTAGTTTACTTGTCGTCTCCAACCGTCTTCCATTCACACTAACTCGTGGCTCGGACGGATCTCTTCTCCGTGTCCCGGCTGCAGGTGGTCTAGTTACAGCAGTAGCTCCAGTAGTTGTGCAAAGTAAAGGTTAGTTTGTGGTTTCAAAGGGACTGTAAGCGTAATTTCAAGTTACCCTCCATTCAAAGATGACAATGCCTGATTCACAACGGTACCCTTAAAAGCTTTGTCTGATCAAATATGAATTAGGTATCGATGTTTTAAATTCTAAAAAACTATTATTTTTAATTTTGATTTCTCGACAAAAGTGACTGCTGGAAAACATATATAGGAATTCTAAGAACTAAACACTTTAAAACCTTGAAAAACAAAAATATCTTCCACATTTTTGATCAGTTAAAGTTTTCAAGAGTACCTCTGTGAATCGGGCATTGCCAACTTTACATGGAGGGTTACAGTCCCTTTCAGTGAGCTTTTGAAACATGGTCAAAACTAATAATTTTGAAAACCAGCTTAAATACAGCGTCTGTACTCTGACTACCTGTAGGTTTATGGTTGGGTTGGCCTGGGTTGGATTTATCTCCTGAAGATAGTATTCCTGAATCTGAGATATCAGATACTAGTCCTGCAGCTCTACTCACCAGTAATCAGATTATTCCAATACATCTTACAAAGGTTAATTACAAGTCTTTCAGATAAAAAATTAAAAGTGTTCATAGCCGATCAAAATTCAAAAAAATACTTTTGAATAATTTCGATTTAAAAAATGTAGGAAAACTACACATATACAGTTGAGCTATAACACTTTGGAATACCTCTGACGACATTTTATGCTGCTGTAAAGCTAGTTGTTTTACTAGTATCTTAATCAACTTACTCAGTGTTTATTGAACTATTTAAAACCATCACTTGAGTTTAAAAGTCCTCCGCTTATTCCACAGTTTTATGAGTCTCACTGTACAAACATCTGTTATGAATTTTCAATTGTAACCTTAGACAGGAAACCGATATGTTGAATTTTTTTTCTTCTTTTTTGAACCAAAGGGATCAAAATGCTTAATTCCAATGAGGAAACCCGCAGCTATCTAATTGGGCCTATTTAAAAAAAAAAGTTTGATCGAACGGATAAATGTGGCTGTTAACAACATATCTTTTTTTATTTAACCGAATAATTTAGCTTTTCTCCTATCTTCCTACATGTGTGTAAATTAAAACTTAAGGAGCTAAAAGGTCACAACGTCGAACCAGTAATATTGCATAAGTTTTACATTCTCCTTTTGTCTGATCTTCCCAAACATTTTTTAAAGTTTATGTTTGCAGGATGAGTTCCAGTTGTACTACAATGGTTGCTGCAACGCAACCTTCTGGCCTCTATTCCACAGTATGCCTGACAGAGCTGTATTTGATGAATCCTATTGGGAAGCTTACAAGCTTGTTAATCTCAAGTTTGCGACCTCCACTCTTCAAGCTCTTAGAAATATTAAAAAGGTTAAAATGGAAAAATTCCTTTTTTTAAATTATCATAAATTGAAATTTAGAATCAGCAATAAATTGAAATAAAATTGTAAAAAAAAGATGTCATATAAATGATAAGATGATAAATAAATGATTGATATATCAGCTACAACCAATTAAAAGACGATCACAATGTCGTCTCGTAATTTCAAATTCTTTAAATTGAAAATTAACTTGAAAACGTCATCATAAGATTTTAAATATATGTAGTATATTTATATTATTTAGCTGTTCTAAGAATAAAGAGAATTAATATAAATGTTTAGGATCCAGATAATATTCCTGTAATTTGGATTCACGATTATCATCTTATGATTGCAGCTACAACCATACGTCAGGTATGATCTTTTTCACATTTTCAACAATTGCGGTTTGAAAATGTCGTCTTCTTTGAAAATTACTTTATATATTTTGGTAGGTTGCAGAGGAGGAAAACCTGCTCTGTAAAATTGGATTCTTTCTCCACATACCCTTCCCACCTTGGGATATGATCAAGATCTTTCCCTGGCACGATCATATACTCCAGGGAATCCTGGGGTGCGATCTGGTCGGGTTCCATATTGAGGATTATTGTATCAACTTTATTGAATGCTGCCAGAGAGGGTTGGGATGCAGAATAGACAGGATAGGGTTCCTGGTGGAGCATGGAGGGAGAACGGTTCGGGTTCGTCCTCTCCCGATCAGTATTCCGTATCTCAGGTTCGAGGAGTTGGCTAACAAAGCTCCAGACTCACAATGGACCAGTCTTCAGGTTGATTAAGCATTGTTTTAACACAACAGTTTTTTTTGGTGAATATTTGAATATTTTACAGTTATAACCACTTTTTACAAGGTTTAGGTTATACATTGTTTTTGAAGAAAGAAACATTGTCTTTTCATATAATCTCATTAGAAAAATGTATAAATTAATTTGTTTCCAGGTTATCCTTGGTGTGGACAGATTAGATTATACCAAGGGATTAGTAAACAGATTCAAATCCTTCGAACGTCTTCTCTCTGATCACCCTGAATACCTGGGGAAGGTTATGCTATTCCAGGTTGCAGTCCCGAGTAGGACGGATGTCCGGGAGTACCAGGAGCTGAAGGAGCAGATGGATCAATTAGTTGGAAATATCAACGGTAGGTTCTCAACAGCTCAATGGTCTCCAATCCGGTATATTTATGGTTGTCTACCACAGTCTGCACTGGCAGGGTTCTATAGGGATGCTGACGTGGCGCTGATTACTCCACTCCGGGACGGGATGAACTTGGTGGCCAAGGAATTTGTTGCCTGTAGAACAAAAGAACCTGGAGTTCTTGTTCTCTCTCCTTTCGCTGGAGCCGGAGAAATGATGAATGAGGTAAGCTTCAAAAGTTTAATTGTTATGATTAAAACTTATTTTGAGTTTTATTTTTGTCAAGGCACTTTTAGTAAACCCGTATGAGATTGGGAACGTAGCTAAAGTTCTCCACCGAGCTCTGTGTATGCCCGGAGATGAACGGGAACTGAGGATGAATTCTTTACGAAACCGGGAACGCAAACATGATGTTAATTTCTGGATGCACAGTTTTCTGAAAGCTATTGGTGCTCTTCTAGAGGAAGACGGTACTGTAATTCATTCATAACATTTTCTTTTCATGACTTTCAGATACTTAAATAATATTGCTAAGATTTTTTTGCTTCAGGAGAAGAAATCCTTCCAACCCAGATGCAGCCGGTAGGGATCCAGGATTTTGAGGAGTATCTTGGTAAGTATGTCGGAGACAATTCCATCCTTGCTCTTCTCCTGGACTATGACGGGACCTTGAGCCCTATAGCTTCTCACCCAGATCTAGCAACAATCCCTGCTGAGACTAAGAAGGTACTGCAGAGGTTAGCTACTATTCCAGATGTGTTTATTGGAGTAATTAGTGGTCGTGGAGTTAATAACGTGAAGGAGATGGTTGGGATCGAAGGGATTACGTATGCTGGAAACCATGGATTAGAGATTATTCATCCTGACGGTAGCAAGGTATACTAAACTAATCTTATTGTTTGTTTCTATTCATAGTTCACTCATCCAACTGTACTCAGTTTACTCATCCAAATATATTCAGTTAAGTCATCCGAATATATATAGTTTACTCATCCAAATGTATTCAGTTCCCTCATCCAAATATATTTTGTTCACTCATCCAAATGTACTCAGTTTACTCATCCAAATTTATTCAGTTTACTCATCCAAATATATTCAGTTTACTCAACCAAATATATTTAGTTTACTCATCCAAATGTATTCAGTTTACTCATCCAAATATATTCAGTTCACTCATCCAAATATATTCAGTTAACTTTTCTGAATATATTCAGTTAACTTTTCTGAATATATTCAGTTAACTTTTCTGAATATATTCAGTTAACTTTTCTGAATATATTTAGTTTACTCAACCAAATATGTTCAGCTTATTCATCCAAATGTATTTAATTTACTCATCCAAATGTATTCAGTTTACTCATCCAAATATATTTAGTTTACTCATCCTATGCCCTGTGAGCTGGAAGGGAAGGTTGGAGTACTATTACAGCAACTTCAAGAAGAATGTTGTCGGGACGGAGCTTGGGTTGAGAATAAAGGTGTTCTCCTCACATATCATTATAGAAACGTTGAGAGGAGTAAACAGGAACCACTTGTACAGCGGGCTCGGGAGTTAATCAGCGCAGCTGGGTTTAAGATTGGGTCAGCTCACTGTGCTCTAGAGAGTAAACCTCCAGTAGCTTGGGACAAGGGGAGAGCTTCCATTTATATTCTTAGAACAGCATTCGGAGTAGACTGGTCGGACAGGTTAGTTACTAATAGACTAGTTGGACAGGTTAGTTACTAGTAGACTAGTTGGACAGGTTAGTTACTAGTAGACTAGTCGGACAGGTTAGTTACTAGTAGACTAGTTGGACAGGTAAATTAAGCTAGTATGGCTAGTTGGACAAGTTAGTTACTAGTAGACTAGTTGGACAGGTAAATTAGGCTAGTAGGGTAGTTGGACAGGTTAGGTACTAGTAGATTAGTTGGACAGGTTAGGTACTAGTAGACTAGATAAACAGGTTAGCTACTAGTAGACTAATTGGTGGATAAGTTAGTTCTTAGTAGACTAGTTGGACAGGTTAGTTACTGGTGGGTAGGTTAGTTACATTTTTGATGAGTCTTAAACAAATAAAAAGCACAAAATATGTTCATACAGTGCTCATACAGTTAAACCCTAAATAAGCCATACATCGAAAGAATTCATCAAATGTCGTATTCTTCACTTTCTGATAATGGAATGTTGCAGATGTTTAGTTTTTAATTAAATGATTATATGGAGCTTTCTTAAACTGTTCCCGCATATTCATGGCTATTTATTTATTGCTATAGTATAATAGTATAAAACCCATTGAAAAATTTTCAGGGCGGCATTTGATAAGTTCTTTCTATGTATGGGTCGTTTAGGGTTAAACTGTTCTTTGACTTAAATATCTCTAAAATTAGATTCCTGTTACAATGTACAATGTACCTAGATCATATTCTTTATGTTTAGAATTCGAATAATCTACGCTGGAGATGATGTTACGGATGAAGACGCAATATCTGCGCTCAAGGGAATGTCTTTTACATTCCGTATCTCCAACTCCAACCTAACTCAGACCGGAGCTGACAAGCGGCTCCCTAGTACTGACTCCGTCCTAACCCTGCTCCGCTGGGTGGAGAAACATATGTCGGAGAGGAAACCAAGGAGCTCGGAGAGCAGAGAAAACAGAAGTCAGGTAGAGCCTGGAACTGGTTTGTTTGAGGTTTGTTTATAATACAGTGATAACCAGAAAACTCTGAAACAGGAAGACGACTTTTTAGCAAAACTTCATTTATTTGATGTTGTTACAAAGCAAATAGTTTTACTATACACTTTCTAAATCACGATTGCGCAGGGTCCCATGCTCTATGGACTATTTAAGACATAACGTGAGTCTAAAATTTGTAATACTAGGTGTGATCCATAAGTTTCGATAAAAAAATAGTGGTACTTGTTGCAGTGTCAGCGATGTAAATGTTAGAAGCGTTCTTCCGAAAGTAAATCGCTTGGTTCGTCACAGCAAGAAAATTTTCAAAATGATCTCAAACTTAATCCACTTGAAACTTGTTTTAAACCCTCTCAGAGCGATCAAAAGGAAAGACTTTTGAGGATTTTTCTGGCTTTGATTTACATTTGAGATTCATAATCAATGTCACCCCTTGGGTCCTATGCATAGAGAATAGAATATATATTTACTACAAAAAAGTGTAAAACTGCCATTTTGTTGTACTGTTTCCATACTGCAGGTGTACTTCACATATTTATGCTATATACCCTTTTGGGCCCTGGAATAACATTTTATAGAAAATCTAAAATTATGTTAAAAGAAAACCAAATTATGAAATAGGCTGGTTTCATAATTGACCAATGATCATTTCACATAGAGTCTATGCCTTCCACTTTACAAACGATGATTTTCCGTTATAACTATAAATCAAATGATGTTTTTTATTCACCTAATTCATTATAAAGTTTATTTAACAGTTAAAAAATTCGAAATTGAAATGAATAGTCTAGGGAACATACTGTATTAATGTACTCTACTGCATATAATTTGTAAACGTTTACATGATTTGTACACTTTGAACTCTCTTTCAGGCTGAAAGGGACTGAAAAGATTCATACCAAGAGATTCTTTAAATTCCCCTCTAATATATATTCTATTCTCTATGGTCCTATGTCAGAGACTTTTGGACTAACCCAGATCTTTGTCATTTTTAAATATTTCTTTACAACTTTGTTTACAGTGTAGAAGCATTATCAAGCTGTCTGGCAAACATACTTCCTGAACCCCTGCTAATATTGTTTAAACAGTTTTAATTATTTTCGGCCATTTTTGGGGTGTTGTTGGTCTTTTCCTGCCCGGACATGTTATAAGTCTTCAAATATTCATTTTTTCCTTTTTAATCACCATTAAACCACCATTAAAGTTCATAAATCATTTTTAAATGAGTTCTGGGTCATGTTTCAGGGTTCTGCTTGGTTTTTGCATCCTCTAAAAAATATATTTTTTGGTAACCGAGCCTCCAAAATGTCCCCTTTCTCTGGTTAATTTTCCAGATATTCCTATGCTGTGACAACGAAGGCTTATCCATCAGCGGAAACGTCATGGGGGTGTGTCTGTATTCTAAAAGAGTATGTGTTAGTTTAAAGTACCAAAGGTGTGCACTGTAGGTATATAGAGTACATACGAATCTCGGTATGTGTACAGTCTAGGAGAGTACATTTGTTTATTGTTAATTGTTTACTTAGAAATAAGTTTAATGTACATGTAGCATATTATTTATATATTTAAGTCAACACTATAAGCCAAATGTTCATGCAAAGAATATAACTTGATTAAAGTTTACAACAAATAAAGTCGTTATTCAAGTTTAATTATAATTGACAACATTGTTCAGCAATTTCCTTGACTGTAATCATGTTGTGTGTCTGTACCAGAAGAGTGTGTGTAAGGTTACCGTACTGGTCTGCATAGCGGTGCGACTGGCTTTCTCAAACCAGACCAGCGCCATTTCCTTTCCCTTTATTCCTATTCCCTTTTATCCACCTTCAGGAGAACAGTCCTTACATCACAACAACAATCTACTTGACGCCAACCTAGCCAAAAATGTATCCGATATAGATAATTTAGCGAAACTTATTGATCACACCTCATACTTGTCAGAGCTTTCTGGTTATCACTATACCTCGGGACTTTAAGTTATCATGTTAATAATACAGGGTGTTGAAGTAAAAATTGTACAGTGTACGGTGTACATCGACTTCATTCACATGGATATACAGTTTAGAACGTAATTATATTATTTCGGGGACCATTGTACTGATAACAAATATATTTCATGATAAATTCTCTGTTTCAGGCCCCGACCAGCTCTATCTGCCACATCCCTTCATAATCCAACTGATATATTCCTAAACATGGTTAGAATATATAAATATATTTACCATCATCCGAGAGATATTATTGATCCAGGATTAACTTTCTTGCCCTGCAGTGCAGTGGCGGGATATTATATTATTTTACTGTCCTTTAGAATAGTTGTGAAATACAACATCTTGCGGAGATTTTAATTCTAGAAATGAATTCGTGGATTTAATCATTCAAAGGACGACAAAAGATCTGATACCTCTTTTCATAATCTAATATATCATCCTTATATCTTGCAACCTTGGTGGCGTTATAGACGTCTGCTTGTTCAAACTATGAATTCTGTCAATTCTCATAGTTGATAAATATCAAAGGTTAACACCATTAGGTTGCACAAATTTGGGGATTAGAAAATTAGAGTTTGAGACAAGTGATCAATTCCTATGTAAACGATTTTGTTTTATTTGGACAATTTCTAGTTTGGAAGAACTTGGACAATTTGGCCTTTAACCACCCCCCTGTCCTATGTCTTGTGAGGGAACACTGGAAAACTGGAAAACATTCCCTAAAGAATAATTGTAAAAAACAAAAATGTTGAAAATGACTGGAATAATGTATAATATATATACAAAATATGTATATACGTACATTGTAAAATGTATTTATATATACAAGTTCATTTGTTTACCTAAACATGTGATATTATGTACATTTTGGACTTTATGTAATAATAGTATTATGTATAGCATGACAATAAACATTTTACGCGTTAGAAGATGAAATTTTATGTTTGGTTTTTCCTCCTTATTAGGACTTTTAAGTAAAGTGTATGAGACATAATTTTTAGTGACATTTCATTTTAAAAAAGGGGCATACCTGATTCACAATAGGACTCAGTAAACCTTTGTCGGAGGAAAAAAAATAAAAATATCTTCTCTTTTCTTTTTAAAAGTTTGTAATCTATAAGTGTGGGTTGTTCAGTTGTCTGACTGCTTCAAGCAGAGCGGACCTATCCTATGTGGTCCCAGAATTACAACTGAAGAAGCGCTGAGTTTAGTTACGCATCTTGTATCCTACAGGGGAAGCAAGGATTGTACATAGATTAAAACAAAACTTCATCTTTAGCTAGCGCTTGGTGCACTGAAAGAAGAAGTTTGACCCCTCGTACAAGCCATACACAATCAAACCAGTTTTTTTACTCGACCAAATGTGAGGACTGGACTGCTATGGAAGATTCCTCTCAAGAGAGCTTTCCGGACTCACAACTCCCCATTTTGCATAAGGGGTGCAATTATGTGTTTTCTTAATCCCCTTTAACTGGGAAACAGCATAAAATGAAGGAACACAGGGAGACATCTCCTATACCCTTATTCCTACAAACCTCCTTATCTCTCTCCTACCTGCTCCACAACTCAATGTCAAAATAACTATGGGAAAGGCCTTAAAGTGTAAAAACAAGAAACAAGAAGCTAGAAGAAAAAAGAAATAGAACAGAAACTGTGGAAGGAAATCTCTTTACAGTAGAGATGGGGGTTTAAAACAAAATAAACAAGAAAGAAGAAGAAAACTTTGAACAGGAAAGTTACTAGGGGATTTGAGCTTTGCACTATCTAATTTTGTTCACAGATAGAAAATACAAATACACAGGATGGCAGACATCCTATTCCCCCCCCCCCTTATATGTCCTACTCGAAATAAAAAACTGAAAAATGTGTAACCCCTCTTTCCTGCCTCCAAGAAAATATCGTGGAAAGTATGTAGAACAGCAACTTACGCAAGCTAAATGTGTTACAACTGATTCAAGCAAAATAGGAAACTAAACAAGGATCATCCAAAAAATGCATTTATTTTTATTTTCAAAATTAGCCGAAGTATAATTGAAGGATGGCCGAGGAATGGACGATCAAGAAGAAAGAATGAAAAACAAGAAATATAGAAGTCTCAAAATATTTCAATCTGATATCATATAGAAATTTAAAAATATTGTAAAATTTAATTAGAATAAAAAATTATTAAAGTTGAAAGTAAATGTGGTTTTTTTATTAAGGAATTTTGCAGATTTTATGCAGCAACGTAATTTAATCATTTTTAGAAGGAAAAACGAAATATCTTTGTTGTCAGATGAAGATTTAAAGTGTGCCACTGTGAATCGGGCATTCTACTATTTTTTAAATGGAGGGTCACTTAAAGGAATTGAGTCTTGGCCACCAACTCTGATTTTCTAACCACTATATCTTTAGATTTTAATGCCGTAGACCTTAGATATTTCAAACTATGAATTCTGTTAGATCAAATAATATGAGTTTGAAATGTTAAAGATTTAAGACATTGGGTTCCAAAGATATAGTTATTTTAAAAGCAGAGTTGGTGGCCAAGACTCAATTCCTTTACGTCTACATATATTTTATTGTAATTTTAAAACTACAAAATTAGAATAACTACAAAAAAACTTTAATATTAAGACCAACCAATTCAATACATCTGAATGATAAAAAACTTCTAATTAATGATAAAATTTTACGACTTTATTTATTCATATTTAATTTCTTGTCTATATTCGTATGTTTGATGCACATTAGATATGCTTCTCTGGAATGTTTAATAATCTACTGGATCGGAGAGAATTCCTTTCTAACAATGAAAATCATGGTGTACAGTGGAACCCATAAAATGTTGGAACATCAAGACGACATTTAAGCAATCTAATTTGTATTTGATGTTTTTTAAAGGAAAAATTGTTTCACCATATGTAGTTTGAAAATCAACTTTTTAAGAGAAATGGAGAATTGATGTTCATGTTCATTGGACTATTTAAAAGTTAAAATTTGAGTTTAACAGTCGTCTTCTATTCCACAGTTTAATTATATAAAATTTAAAACCATGCAGAAAATATCAGCAGGAGGGGACTTAACTTTTTATATTTTTTCTGGAGCCTTGGTAACAATTAGACCACTGCTTACCTGCATTCTTTCTTTAAATTTCAGTTTCTCCGAAATTTTAACCAAAATATCTATAATGCATCATTAGAAATACAGATTATTTCTTTTAATAAGGATTGATCAAATATTTGTAAAATTTTGGTAGATTTTCTTGTCTGGTAATAATACGGAGGATGAGAAGAGAATGGGGAACTGGGCGGATATGGGCGAGGCTGCGGATATTCTAGTTTAGCATTTTATCGTAGTCAGTACCAAGTTTATCAGATTGATAATCAGAAATTGATATTTGTAACTTTTTTGATATTGTGCACAGACATAGTCTGTGATTTCTGATACTAGACTTTTTCTGTTTCAACTTTTAATTTTGGCGTTATCTGTGAGCATCTTCTCTTTGTACAATATAAAACAATAAAAAAAGTTTCCGGATTTAACAATATTTTTTCGCGCATTTCCTAAAGTTTACAATTTTACAATTACAAATTTTACTGCTTCTCGCCTGCACCCTTTAAACTTATATCTCATTTATCGTCGGTTTTTCATTTCTAATATATTTTTTATTTGTTGCCGGCAGTACCCCATTGAATATGTAGATCTGACCGTTTCTCGCAAAAGATCAATTTCCAGTTTTAAAAATAAAGATGTCTCAACTAATTGTTCTTTTTGTAAAATTGTACAGTTGTTAATTGTTTCTTGATCCTGTAAAACTTAAGAATTAAGAAGAATATGAAATATATCGAAATAAATTTAAAAAACTGATCATTTTACCATAATTTAATCTTTCGGTGCGTACTGCAGTGAATTGCTGTACTGACACGGAGTTTTAGCGAATCTAACCTGATAATATTTCTCTATCCTAAACCTAACCTGATAATATTTCTCTATCCTAAACCTAACCTGATAATATTTCTCTATCCAAAACCTAACCTAGTAATATTTCTCTATCCTAAACCTAACCTGATAATATTTATCTATCGTAAACCTAACCTGATAATATTTCTCTATCCTTAACCTAATCTGATGATATCTCTCGATATCCTAAACCATAACTTGATAATATTTCCTAACCTGATAATTTCTGTATCCTGATCCTAAACCTGATAATATTTCTTTATCCTGATAATTTCTGTATCATGAACCTGATATAGTATCTGCTTCCTGAACCTAACCTGGTAATATGTCTTTATCCTAAACCTAACCTGATAATGTTTCCCTATCCTTAACCTAATCTTATGATAATTCTTTGCCCTAAACTTAGCTTGATAATATTTCTCTAACCTGATCCTAACCTGATAATTTCTGTATCCTGATCCTAAACCTGGATAATATTTCTCTATCCTGATAATTTCTGTGTCATGAACCTAAACCTGATAGTATCTGTTTCCTGAACCTAACCTGAAATTTCTTATTCTGAGCCTACACCTGATAATATCTGTTTCCTGAACCTAACCTGAGATTTCTATGTTCTAAACCTAACCATATAATTTTTGTGTTATGACCTATTAATTTCTGATACTCTCTTGATACTTTTGTATTTTGAACATAAATCTGATAAGTTCTGCATTGTGAATCAAAATCAAAAAAATTCTATATCCTGAACCAAATTTTTGTTACACAGATAGGATGCATTTCGTTAGGATGCCAGTAGCGTAGAAAAGTCCGTCATAATTCTTATTAGTCCTTAATATTCTTAATATTAATCTGTTTCTTTTGTTCTCTGTTTTCTGTAACCTTCTAATGTAAAGCCCCATAGTTAACCTAATCCGAAGTAACTATAAAAGAGAGGAGAAATCAAGTTCTTTATAGTCCCTGAAAGTAAATCCTTTAATTAAAGGGACCGTTCACTTATTCGGGTAATTAGTAATTCATGGTAAACTAATTAGCCTATAAGCTATGATCATTGCAGTATTAGTCTTACTTTCTAAACTTACCGGAGAAAAACCCGACTGAGCGTTTAAAATTTAAACGTTTTTTCAATAACAGCAGTCCAATAAATTCTAAAATTATCATATTTCAATGATATCATGTGTCAGTCATTATATAATAAAATATAAATTTGAATTATTAGCAAGAAATTTGATTTTAGAATTAACTAATTTCGTTTTAAAAAATGATGTAACACATTCATACAAAGATGACTTTCTCTCTCAAACAACCCGGTTCCTAGATTCCAACTCTTCAATAAATCACGGGGATTCCTCAGGGAAAACGGGAAAACGTATCACATGTTTGAAATAAGTTTTATTTTAAAAATAGACAATTTTAAAATAATCTTTAAAAAAACTAAAGATATCTACAATTAACTATTAGATTTTAGAATTTAACTCAATATTTGAAAATGTTTAAAAATTCATGAGTATGACAAAAAGCATCAAATTTTATAAATGCAAAGGTATTCTGGAATTCTGAATGATAATTAAAATTTTCTCAGGCCATAGTTGTCTTTGAAAAGTAAAACTAATACCAATGAATAGCTAATAGGTTATTTAGTTTACCCTCAAATTACACAAAATAGTGATAATTTAATAATTATGATGCGCTGAGCTTTTTTCTTGATTGACATCATTTGCTGATCGTCAGCAGTAGAGGGGCAGGGGGGGGGGGCGAGATCAGGTACCCTAGACGAACCACTGAAGATGGAATTGTCAGGGTTTCCCCCAATCAACAACTACTCAGATCACAATCATTTATTTTCAGATTCCTTGCTTCTCAGGAAAATTGGGTTTTCATTAACATTTATTCCATTATATTCAAAACTTTTAAAGAACTGTAAATAAATCAAATGAATTTTTATCAACATATCTCTTCCTTGATTTTAAAATATAAAATAAAAATGGAAACATTACGCTGGATATTGAAAGGAAAGCTAGAAGCTGGAGGTATAGTGTTGAACCGGTCACACACTCCAGTTGACCGACACAGCTCACCGGCTAGCCAGGTACATCCTGCTCAACAACAACGTATTCAATGTCGCAGAAACATAAAAACATTCTGATCGTGAGTCCGATCATCATTCTAATTTTTTTTCGGCAACTAGAATCTTAATCCTAATCGAATAAGGAAATGTTCAAAATATACGATTGATTTTTCATTTTGAGATATCCTCGAATGTATTCTTAAAATATGTTAGATTCTGTACTTTGTCAAGAAAGATTAAAGATTGTAAAAAATTAACTTACATCCTTTCGTCGTCTTTTTCGTGAGAGTTTTTACTTTGTATTACATTTTCGAATAAAGGAATTGAGCCTTTGACACAAACTCAAATTTCTAATCCCCGTATAACTGTAACCTAATGGTGTAAACCTCTGATATTTTAAACTTAGATTAGTTGATTCAACAGAATTCTTAGCTTGAAATTTCTTAGGTCTACGACATTGGGTTGCAAAGATATACGGATTATAAATGTTGAGTTTATTGCAAAGACTTAATTCCATTGTCTGATTTCAATATATAAACACACTTCTTGCTGCTTTCTCACAAGTCTAATACTTTTGTGTTTTCAGATTTGTCCATTTTAGAAAAAGCCCTTTTTGAAATCGTATTGAATCTGAAAATGCTTTGCTGAGTAGAATATACTTGAATTCTTTAGTTTCAATGCAAATTCTTCTTATGCAAGAATGATTGAGAAACCCACAACATTTTGTTTGCATAAAATCCACTTGAGCCTATAGGTTAGAGATTGTATGGGCACTAAGTTTATTTACATTTTTGAGGGAGAAATAGCAAATGTACATGAGAATTCTTGCAAAAATTATAACATATAAATTATAATCCATGGCAATACAACATTTTTTACGTGATAATCGCTCAGAACTTTGCTAAATACTTATTTAAAGTTTAGGCAAAACTTTAAATAAGTATTTAGCAAAGTTCAGGGAAAACTTCGTTAAAACTTGACTTTACTTGGACCCAGACTTTATGAAAAGCGAGAAGTAGTTGAAGAGACAAAGTTGAACCACTTTTTGCGATTCATTAAATCTAGTCTCTGGTTTAATATAGAAACACTCCTGTTTATAAAGCTAGAACTTCTTCATATTAATACACCCTAGACATATACACTACAGAGATCAGCTCCTAGCCTGAGAACCCAGCTCGTCTGTAGTTTTCTCTATAAAAGTAAACTTACTCAATTTAGAATTTTTAAACCGAACTAAGAACATCCCCGTGGTTCTACCGAGTTCCCCAATCACATTTTGAAGCAAATAGGTGAAGTTATGATCAGAATCCAAACAAACAGACAGAAAAACAACAAAATAGATTACTACTTTATATATATAGATATACCAAGAATGTCAAATCACTGTTCCTTTTATAATACTCCGTGGTTATACACATAGCCGCTCCTTTTATCTTGTACTCCTTTATCCTTGGTTCTCTAGATTTCCGACTAAAACTGCTTGTAGAACTGGTTTGAAAGCAAGAATTATTAATGTGGGCTGAGTTCTCTAGTTTTCAAGTTCAAGTCAGTTCATACACGAATTCATAGTTAGCTATACTGTAGTTCTAGTTAAATACTATAGGAACCAACCCGGTGGACTCAAACACCGGAGTAAATCCTGGTGAAATGTTTTTATAAAATAGATTTGAAAAAGTAAGAATTGAATATATCTATCTATTTTCTAGATAGTATATTATATAATCTATCTACATAGTTTGTTTGTCTGTATCCAATAAACGTCAAAACGGCTGTACCGATCGGGCCCAAATCTTTTGTGGCCCCTAAATAATCCCAGGGAATGTTTATGAATGCTCAAAATTACAAAAAAATTTGATTTTGGTAAAATTCTGAAAAACCACGAAAAAAAATATCTATTTTTTTTGTTATTTTTTATACTGTACAAAGAAAAAATACTCAGGGACTAGGCCACAATTAATATTTGAAATAGGAGATATGCGCGATGTGGTCTAAAAGCCTAGTTTTCTATGTCTAGGAGCTGCTTGGCAACACCGGTATATTTATTGTTTATAATAACGGAATTATTTAATAAGCTCTGAGGCCGAATTTAAAGAATTAAAGCCGCGGTTTGAATTTAAGTCGCGGTTTAAATATGGTTGGTTCCACTTAAAGGAATTGAGTCTTTGTCACAAACTCGGAATTTATAATCCCTATTTCTTTGGAACCCAATGTCATAAATCTTTGATATTTCAAACTTATATTATTTGATCTAACAGAATTCATAGAATTTGAAATATCTGAGGTCTACGACATTGGAATCCAAAGATATAGGGCTATAGAAAAGCAGAATTTGTGGCAAAGACTCAATTCCTTTGTATTAAATTTTTCAATATTTAAGCCGGCTGTAAATTAAAACCGGTGTTTGGGAGATTTGAGACGTGGCTTAAATTCATTAAGCCACTGTATACTTTTATATATATAGTAGAAATCTCTGTTTGTTTGTATGTCCGATCACAACTCATGAACCCCTTGACCGATGTGACTCAAATTTTGATTGGGGAACTCGGTATAACCACGGGAATGTTCTGAGCTTGGTTTAACAATTCTAAATCAATTTGGGTTGACTTTAATAGAAACAGTTTGTAATGCAGACATAGCAGGGTTCTCAAGCTAGATATCTTCTATCTTTATATATAAAGTTTTAATCTCTGTTTGTCTTTCTTTTTGTATGTCCGATCACAACTCATGAACCCCTTAACCGATTTGTATCTGCAAATTTTGATGGGGGAACTTGGAATAACCACGGGAATGTTTTTAGCTTGGTTTCAAAAAAGTTTAGTAGGTTGAATTTTCGTTTGGAGAAATTTAGGATTACAGAGAAGTTTAGGATTACAGAGAAGTTTAGGATTACAGAGAAGTTTAGGATTACAGAGAAGTTTGGGATTACAGAGAAGTTTAGGATTACAGAGAAGTTTAGGATTACAGAGAAGTTTAGGATTACAGAGAAGTTTAGGATTACAGGGAAGTTTATGATTACAGAGAAGTTTATGATCACTGAGAAGATTAGGATTAAAGAAAGAAGTTTATGATTGCAGAGAAGATTAGGATTACAGAGAGAAGTTTATGATTGCAGAGAAGTTTAGGATTACAGAGAGAAGTTTATGATTACAGAGAAGCTTATGATTTTTGATAAGCTTAGGATTACAGAGAAGTTTAGGATTATAGAGAAGTTTAGGATTACAGAGAAGTTTATGTTTACAGAAAATTTTAGGATTACAGGGAAGATTAGGATTACAGAGAGAAGTTTATGATTACAGAGAAGTTTATGATTACTGAGAAGATTAGGATTACAGGGAAGTTTATGATTACAGAGAAGTTTATGATTGCTGAGAAGATTAGGATTACAGAGAGAAGTTTATGATTACAGAGAGAAGTTTATGATTACAGAGAAATTTAGGATTTTTGACAAGCTTAGGATTACAGACAAGTTCATATTTATGGTTTATACAAAGGAATTGAGTCTTTGTAACAAAATCAAATATTTAACTCCCAATATCTTTAGAACCCGATGTTGTAAACCTTTGATATTTCAAACTCTGATTATTTGAATTAACAGAATTCATAGTTTGAAATATCTAAGGTCTACAACATTTGGTTCCAAAGATATAGTGATTAGAAAATCAGAGTTTGTGACAAAGACTCAATTCCTTTAGGGGTAAGAAGATGTTAGGGGTTGACAATTGTTGATTTGTTTAGTATTGAGGAGAGTTCAGAATTAAGGATTCTAGGATGAAAAGAGCATAAGGAGAGAAGAGAAGAAAAAAAGATTACGGAGAAGTTTAGAATTGAAGAAAATTTGGAAGTTTAAAAATCTATGAATGAAATTCTGCTTTAATTTGTTTCAAAATATGTTATTTCTCCCTGTCTAGGATGGGTCTGGTCCCTTGTATAGCAGTATCTATTGGATACATCCTCCTCATCCTCTTCCTAGCTGAGGCTGCCAGGAGGCTGGTCGCACCCTTGAACCCTGGCCTCGTTAAGATCGGCCTCCATGAGGCTATTGCATCAGCTGAACTGTGTGGAGCTTGTTTTGAGCTCATTATCAGTAAGTTTTCTTACATGAAACAAAATGTATAATTATTAAAATAATCAGAGCACATTAAGTTTTTCAGTTTTTTTCAGTTTATCTTCTTTTAAATTAATACTAATTTTTGGGCAAGTGTTTTACAACAAAAATTCATATAATTCCTAATGTGGTGGTTTCAATTCTTTTGTTAAAGGGAGTGACCGGCTATGTAAGGTAGTTGAACTGAGTATGCAGTGCAGTGCTCGAATTCATTTGAGACATATAAAACATTTTAAAGATCTATAAATCCTGAGTTTGAGCGCAAATTCGACGTTCAAAACTCCTACTTTCAGAATTAGTTTTTTTTAAATTATTAAATAACGACGGCATAAAATGTAAAAAAAGTTCTACAATAAACTATACAGACGTCATGTATAGGAATTTTATCATCGAAAATAAGTAATCTTGTTCAATTATTAGTTTCTATTTTCTCATTATTCACAAAGATTTTCGCAGATTTTCTAAAATTTTTATTGAAAAAACGACATTTGAAGAATTTGAAGAAATCTGCGAATAAATTCAAAGAAGATAAGAAATTCAATATAATAATGAAAACGAAATAATCGATCTTAGCATTGATTTATTGACAAATTTCTTTTGAGAAATATGTTCCTAACCATCTAATTAGATTACTGTATAATTTTTACTTTATGTTTCGATTTCGTTATTCAATGATTTAAAAAAAAACTAATTCTGAAAACGTATCCACCCCCAAAGTAGGAGTTTTGAACGTCGAATTTGCGTTCAAACTTAGGATTTATATTATATATTATATTTTATATGTCTCAAATGAATCCGAAAAGTTTTCCACAACACTGCATACTCAGTTCAACTACCTTATATAGCCGGTCACTCCCTTTAAAGATACATTTTAAATGCCTTGTAAAAGATTCTTATCCAAATCATTTTCCTCGTTTAGAAATTATTAAATGATTTTTTTAAAGAGAAAGTCTAAAGTTTTATGAGAAACTTCATTCGCTTCCACAGATTTATGATACACGTCATATTAAAGTAAATTGCACGTTAGATTTAAATCTTACACGTTTTTACTAAAACCTACTCTTTTTGAAGAGCTTTAAAGAAGACCAAAAATGTTATGAATTTATCTAATCTAAATAATTTGAGAGGTTATAGTAACAATCATTCATATTTACTTAATTATATCATTTTTTCTAGACCCAGCGTGAACTAAACGTATGCGACTTAACAAGAGTTTTTAAAGTTAACAATTTTGTAAATTGAAAAAAAACTAAGTTTTTTAAAGCATTTAAACCATGTAATTCAAGAATTTTCAGTATAATACTATAACCTGTCAAAATTGTAAAATTTGTTCTGAAGAAGTACTGAAAATTTGGTTTCAATGGTCACTTATTTTACTTTTTTTCTGTAACGTCTATTAATTATCATTTTATCAAAGTTGCTGACAACTATGTTTATTAAAGTTGCTGACAACTATGTTTGTTAAAGTTGCTGACAACTATGTTTTTTAAGGTTGCTGACAACTATGTTTGTTAAAGTTTCTGACAATTATGTTTGTTAAAGTTGCTGACATTTATGTTTGCTAAAGTTGCTGACAACCATGTTTGTTAAAGTTGCTGACAACTATGTTTGTTAAAGTTGCTGGCATTTGTGTTTGCTAAAGTTGCTGACAACAATGTTTATTAAAGTTGCTGACAACTATTCTAGTTAAAGTTGCTGACAACTATTTTAGTTAAAGTTGCTGAAATTTATGTTTGTTAAAGTTGCTGACAACTATGTTTGGTAAAGTTGCTGACAACTATGTTTGGTAAAGTTGCTGACAACTATATTTATTAAAGTTGCTGACAACTATGGTCTGATTGCGTATGCTGTTGTCCTGTTCTTGTTAACCATCTGGTGGTCAGACCACTGGGGAGATGCAACCGCTTGTCCTTACAACCACTTCGAGGAGTGGTACAAGGGGGCTCTTACTAGGTAGGCCTAGTATTATTATTATTATTATTATTATTATCATTATTATAGTTATAATTACTCCTATTATTGATAGTTACTATATTATTATTATTGTTTTTACTATTATTACAGTTATAATTATTAACATTAATATTTTTGCAAATGATGATGATTTGATCATAATTTTTCATTTAGGCAAGAAACCATTGTCAGAACTGTCGCTGAGATAATTGGTGGAGTTGGAGTTTTTAGGTAAAATATAAACGATCAATGAAGACGACATTAGTTCAATTTATCTTTTTTTATAGATTAATACAGATCCTCTGGTCATTGGAAATCGCTGAGACCCATGTTGGGCGGTCCCACTCCGCCATTTATAACGTCTGTACCGCCGATCTAACGGTCCCTGTTCTCCACGGCGCTATTATTGAAGGAGTAGCAACTATGATCTGCCGATTGGGGTCCCGTCTCATCGCTCAAAGGGAACCCAAATACGCTACCGCGATCGACAGCTTTGTAGCGACGGCGATGGTGTGCGCCGCTTTCACGACGAGCGGTGGATACTTGAACCCTGTTCTTGCAACATCGCTCAAGTTTGGGTGCAAAGGACATACACCTATGGAACATTTTGTTGTTTACTGGATCGGAGCTTCACTTGGATCTATTGGTTCTCTTCTGGTTTGGCCTCACGTGGAGGAAGCCCTGGCTGTTAAAGAAAAAGCTGAATAAATATTTTTCTTGATATTAAAATTCCCTCATCAGCCATCACTATTTACCAAAATATTTTGAACATTTAAATATTCACATAAATTTTTAAATCTTCTTAAAGCAAAGCTATTATTCTCGCCAATCTCAACTTGTTGGCTTTCTAGAAATCAAGCTTTCAATTATAACTTACTCCGTCTTTATGAAAAAAATATTAGGCATAAACTGTACAAATGTTTATAAATTGACTTAAATTATTAGCTAATTAATTTTAAAAACTATTGAAATTCATTATTTCATTAATGTTACGTGCTTCCCAAAGAAGTTCCTCTCCCCCAGCCCCTGCTCATATTAGTTTAGGAAGATTTGACCAGAAAACATTGTTTTTACAATTTATCATTTTTACCCCCTTCCCATTTCATTAGACCAGTGTGTTTTTTCTTCCTTAAATCATATTAAATATATATTTATTAAAAAAAATTATTTTATTTTTGGTGTTAATCAGATAATAGAAAAGTAGAGAAAGGTTTGGTGTAGAGGAAAGAAAGATTAAACGTTAAGCAGAGAAAGGTTTGTGTAAAACAAAGAAAGGTTAGATTTTAAGTAGAGAAAGGTTAGATGTAAAGCAAAGAAAGGTTAGATGTAAATCAGAGAAAGGTTAGATGTAAAGCAGAGAAGGGTTGGATGTAAAGTAGAGACAGGTTAGGTGTAAAGCAGAGAAAGGTCAGATGTAAAGCAGAGAAAGGTTAGATTTTAATTAAATAAATATTAAGTGTAAAGTAGAGAAAGGTTGAATATAAAGCAGAGAAAGGTTAGGTGTAAAGGAAAGAAAGGTTAGATGTTAAAAAGAGAAAGGTTAGGTGTAAAGCATAGATGTAAAGTAGAGAAAGGATAGGTGTAAAGTAGAGAAAGGTTAGGTGTAAAGCAGAGAAGGGCTTGATGTAAAGCAGAGAAAGGTTATATGTAATGCAGAGAATTGTTAGGTGTAAAGCGAGAAAGGTTATTGTAAAGCATAGATGTAAAGTAGAGAAAGGATAGGTATAAAGTAGAGAAAGGTTAGGTGTAATGCAGAGAAGGGTTTAATGTAAAGCAAAGAAAGGTTATGTGTAAAGCAGAGAAAGGTTAGGTGTAAAGTAGAGAAAGATTAGGTGTAAAGCAGAGAAAGGTTAGGTTTAAAGTAGAGAAAGGTTAGGTGTAAAGCAGAGAAAGGTTAGATGTAAAGTAGAGAACGATTAGATGTAAAGCATAAAAGGTTTGGTTTAAAGCAGATAAGTTAAGAAATGTTAGATGTAAAACAGATAAAGGTTAGGTGTAAAGCAGAGAAAGGTTAGATGTAAAGTAGAGAACGATTAGATGTAAAGCATAAAAGGTTTGGTTTAAAGCAGATAAGTTAAGAAATGTTAGATGTAAAACAGATAAAGGTTAGGTGTAAAGCAGAGAAAGGTTAGATGTAAAGTAGAGAACGATTAGATGTAAAGCATAAAAGGTTTGGTTTAAAGCAGATAAGTTAAGAAATGTTAGATGTAAAACAGAGAAAGGTTAGGTGTAAAGCAGAGAAAGGGGATCAGAATCAAATTCTGGTTCGATCACTAGTAATTTTACTTCCTTTACCGCCTGTAAGGAGGAAATGATTGAAAACGCCCAGCTAATGTTAGGAACGGGGAAGTCCAATAAAACACAATCAGCTGCTCTTGAGGGAATTGATTGGAAATGTCGTCTTTTATATTAAAAAAATTGGAATTTAAAATGTCAAACTTGTGTCCTCATATTTAAAGAATTAGTTATAACTAGAATTGAATAGTTTACGGTTTGATTGCCGTATAATGCAACGTTGTGAACTTACATAGACTCTCCGCTCTTAACATTAAGCGTTTTCATTTCCTGGATCCTTATAGACGCTATGAATACAAGCAAAATTAAAAAAATAAGTAGTGATCGAATCAAATTTTTATCCGGATACAGCCTATCCTCCTTTAATTTTACGAGAACACACCCTTTAATTGCAACGATCGTTTTAATTATGCATAATAAAATAATTTTTCAAATTTTTCTAATGGAAGATTTTCTACAATTTTGACTGAGGCAACACATTTTATTTTGACCGGCCGTAAAACTTCCCTGGGGTCTGTGGTTGATTAATTCAACCGTTTGGACGTTTATTGGACACAACAACAACTACAAACTGACAAACAGGCTTCTCAAAGAAATTTAATCTTTGTCACAGGCTCAGATTTTCTAATACCTATATCGTTGTAACCTGATGGTGCAAACCTTTGAAATTTCAAACTTAGATTATTTGATCCAACAGAATTCTTATTTTAAAATATCTAAGATCTACGTTATTGGATTGCCAAAATATAGGAATTAGAAAACCAGAGTTTGTTGCAAATACTCAATTATTTTGATTAGGATTTAGCTCATTCACCATTTCATTAATTGTATATTGGGGCAATTAACATGTTTATTTCGACCGCCATTATATGTCTGTGTTGTCAAGGGAGTTAAGACAAACTATAGGCTTGATCAGTTTAACAAAAGGGACAAACAGTCTTGTCTTTATAGATATCTAAAGGGACAAACAGTCTTGTCTTTATAGATATCTAAAGGGACAAACAGTCTTGTCTTTATATCAAATGTTAATATTCTTGAAGCCCCTGATGAGAAAATTGTAAGATGAGAGTTCAGTTTGTTTCTGAAACTGAGTAAAACCATATCCTTACCATCTTGTAAACCATTTACCAGTATATAACCTTCAAACTATAAAACTGTATACATGTGAAGAGTTGAAGCTGAATAATAGGAAAACATGTGAAAAGTGAAAATGTAAAATATGCTGTAGAAAATATCTAAAAATTCCTGTATTTGTGAAATAAAGTGATTAAAAAGAATGTGGAATAAAGTAAGTAATTAGTTTTTCACAATTTCCACAATTAAAAAATATACTCTACACAATGTTTTTTTGTAAAATGTTCTATGTAAATGTTCTGTGTCAAATTTTCTGTACGTAAAATGTACTCTGTAAAATATTTTTTTGTAAAGTTTTCTGTTTAAAATGTTTTATGTAAATAGTACTGTGCATAAAATATTCTGTATAAAATGTACAGTTTGAAATTAATTTTGCAAAAAGTACAGGTGTATAATGTATTGTATAAAATGTTCTGTGTAAAATGTACAGTGTAAAGAATTCTGTATAAATTGTACTGTATAAAATGTACTTAAATGTTCTGTGTAAAATGTACCTTGTAAAATACTATACTGAGTAAAATGTTCTGTATAAAATGTACAGTGTAAAATGTTCTGTGTAAAATGTACCGTGTAACTGTACCGTGTAAAATGTACTGTGTAAAATGTACTGTTTGAAATGTACTGTGTAAAATGTGCTGTTTGAAATAAGTTTAATGGTCTGTGTAAAATGTTCAGTATAAAATATGTATACTGTGTAAAATTTTACATTTTTCATAAAAAATGTGCACAGTATACTGTAAAATGTTTTATGTTACTGTTCTGTGTAAAATATTTTCTGAAAAATGTTCTATGTAAACTGTACTCTGTAAAATATTCTGTTTAAAATGTTTTATGTAAAAAGTACTCTGTAAAATATTCTTAGTAAAATTTACAGTTTAAAATTAATTTTGCATAATGTACATGAATAAAATGTTCTGTATGTATTGTATGTCTTGTATAAAATGTTCGGTATCAAATGTATTGTGTAAATATTCTGTGTAAAATAAATATACTGCTTAAAAGTATTGTGTAAAATGTACAGTGTAAAATGTACCGTGTAAAATGTACAGTGTAAAATGTACTGCATTCAATGTACTGTATACAAATGTATTGTGTACAATTTTAAATGTTCTGTGTAAAATGTACCATGTAAACTAAATATACTGAGTAAAATGTAAAGGTAACGGTGTAAAATACACTGCATAAAATGTACCCTGTTAAATTTAATGTGTAAAACTTAGTGTTTGAAATAAGTTTTTCAAAAATGTACATGTGTGTGAAATGTTCTGTACAAAATGTATTGCGTAAAATGTATTGTGCTGTATAAAAAGTTCTGTGAAAACTGTTTTGCTTAAAATGTTCTAGTTGTAAATATTTCATTGTCTAAAATGTTCTGTGTAAAATGTTCTGAGTGAAATGTTCTGTGTAAAATGTTTTGTGTAAAATGTTCTGTGTAAAATGTTCTGTGTAAAATGTACTGTATAAAATATATTGTATAAAATGTCCTGCAGTAAAATACATTTGGTAAAATATCATTTGTAAAAGGTTCATGCGTAAAATTACTATGTAAATGTATTGTGTAAGTTTAAAATGTCCACATATATAAATGTATTTTGTAAAATATTCTGTGTAAAATGTCTACATATATAAATGTACTTTGTAAAATGTTCTGTGTAAAATGTCTACATATATAAATGTACTTTGTAAAATGTTCTGTGTAAAATGTCTACATATATAAATATACTTTGTAAAATGCTGTGTGTAAAATGTCTACATATATAAATGTACTTTGTAAAATGTTCAGTGTAAAATGTCTACATATATATATATACTTAGTAAAATGTTCTGTGCAAAATGTCTACATAAAAAAATATACTTAGTAAAATGTTCTGCGTAAAATGTCTACATATATAATTGTACTTTGTAAAATGTTCTGTGTAAAATATCTACATATATAAATGTACTTTGTAAAATGTTCTATTTGAAATGTCTACAAATGCAAATGTACTTTGTAAAATGTCTGTGTAAAATGTCTACAGATATAAATATACTTTGTAAAAGGTCTGTGTAAAATGTCTACAGATATAAACGTATTTTGTATAATGTTCTTTGTAAAATGTCTACGTATGTAAATGTACTTTGTAAAATGTCTGTGTAAAATGTCTACAAATGTAAATGTACTTTTTAAAATGTCTACAGATATAAACGTATTTTGTATAATGTTCTTTGTAAAATGTCTACGTATGTAAATGTACTTTGTAAAATGTTCTGTGCAAAATGTTACATATATATAAAATGTTTTGTATGATTTTTTGTGTGTAAATTTTGAATATTGCAGTGTTGAAAATGTTCTTTTTAATACTTTGAGTTAAATATTTTGTTTAAACCTACAATTCAAAGAAATTTGATGAAATATAGTAAGTTTGCATGTTTAGTGTACGTTATTTATTCTATCTTTAATTAATACATACAAACTAAGTTGTTGTTACACTAGACATAATTGCTTTTTAGATTTTTTCTAATAAATTTGTATTTCTATTTGTATATCCTAGCAACAATAAAAAGTTTTCTAGCAAAAAAGGTTAAATTTCTTGTTTTTCAATTTGTTAAAACATTTCAAAGATACATTTTTTAATATAATTCAAAACGTTAGTCTTAATGACTTTTTCTAAATCATTGACAAATATCAAAGCATTAACTACAATTGAGATTGATTTAGGTCATCATCCATTTCACACTTTTATCCGGGATGATACGATACACATCCAGCGATATATACTTGAGTTTATCTTATTATTCAACTGTGTCTCCAGTCTAGAATTAGACTTTTCATTAAAAGTTTATTTTCACAACTTTGAGAATGAGATCACAACTATCCTTAAAGAAGGGGGTGCAGGGCTGCCAAGAGCACCGCGAAATGGTCTCTAAGCCTCAGGATTCGCAAAGTGACCTCTGAGCCTCACAAAAATGGATCTAAACCCTGTTAAACACATCAGATAGTTGTATAAAACCGGCTCAGTCACAGGACAAGTCTGGTTGATATAGAAAAAAGAACACTTTTAAATGTTGTACAAAATATTGAAATATTCATGGCCCGGGGCGGAATGATCGAATTTTGATAGAGACAAATATTTGAAATTTTGATGATTCATAAACCTTCCCTGGGCTCCCTAGATGTCCCACAAAAAATTTGGGCCCGATCGGTTCAGCCGTTTTGACGTTTATTGGATACAAACAAACAAACAGACAAACAAACAGACAGACAAACAAGCCAAATTTATATATAGATTTACCAGATGATCAAATTGGAAAATACCTCTCATTTATGAACTGCTAGATCCAAGATCAAACAATTTTTTTTGGTAGCTCAAGAAATCAAAAATCTTTACAGTGTCAACCAGGGTCAAAAGTTTATTTTTAAATATTTATTTAACTTAAGATGCCGATTATGTTTTTCAAAATTTCGTTAATTTCTAAAATTTAACTGTTCTTAATCAAAAGATAATTCTTTTTATATCATTTATAAGTTTTCTGTCATATGTTTTTAGCAATACTATCACTGATTCACAAAACCTAAACATTTTGATGTGTTTTTTTTTTTAAATTCCAGAAAACATCGCCCAACTATTTTATTAGTTTTATAAATTATATCTTTAATATATATTCTCATATATATTCATTGTTTAAGGCTTATCAATAATATCCAGTTTTTCTTGGGAAAATATGTTACAGTCATAATCAGAAAGACCCGGAGTTGATTGACATTTATCAGGCGACTTTAATTATATATCTCTGCCAATTTTAAATGCTCAAAAAAAGGCAGAACACATTTTGGAAATTGCAGGACTAAGGATATTTAGTGAATATCATTTCATCAATCATATTTGTAAAACTGGATTGTAAAGTCGTCTGATTATTTGTAAAATAACTCCATGTCTTTCTGATTATAACTTTATAATCAATCGACTGAATGAATACTTAAAATTCATGCATTTCAAACCATTCTGGTTTTCACTGTAGAGAGCTATATGGTGGTATTCGGTTTATCAAACCACTAATGTCAATAAAAGACTAAAAATCCACATGTGGAGCAAGAATGGAGCCCTTTTTCAGGGCTCGGAGCCCGTTTTGAGATGCTTGGGGGTCACTCTGTTAATTCTGCCGCTTGCCCCTCATTAATACTGAACTTATAAGATTTATATGGACATCAATGTTGTAGTGTTGGTTAAGATATTTATAATTTCACGTTATTTTGATTGTTACAATCCCCATGATTCCCATTTTTTTTAAATTGAAGAAACTTTTGAAGCGAAATATTAGATTTCATATTATTAGCTAGCTTAGTTGTGTTTGCTATTCTATGACATCTAAGTTTGAAATTGAAAACGAGTCGCAAAAATTTAGGGATTAGAAAATTTGAGGTTTTGGCAACGACTCCATTACTTTCCACGTGTTCAGGCGAGGATGTAATGAAGACGACAGGATGAACAATGCTTTTTCTGTTTGTCTGGTTCAGCGGCATTGTGCTCATCTCCGCTCAATTTACAAGGGAAACAATTTACCATTCAATGAATGACCGAGGAGTTTATCTTCCCGATGATTACAACTCAGACCTACCTCCTGCACAGGTAAGCTATTTCATTTACACTTCTAATTCAAATTTCTCCGCTTTATTTCTGTGCTTTCCTTATGACTTAATCAAATTTTTTCATCATCTAACTGGTTAAGAAAAAAAGAATAGAAGTCTGCCAAAATGATTAAAGGTCAGAACCTAAAACGTTCAACAGGGATATTTAAATTTGATAATAAATTATGTCCAGGGCGGACCAGTGCCAGTAGATCTGAGGTTGCGAGTTCTCCAGATTGCAGAGATTAATGACAACTCTCAAACTATGACTGTAGAGATGTCAGTGGGGCTAACTTGGACCGAACCAAGACTTTTATTCAACAATATTTTTGACTGGGAGTCAAGAAAATTAATAAAGGTAGGAGCTAAAAGATGTGTTTGAAAGAAAAAAGATTCAATATTTATCTTAATTGCCAGATATGCCAATTATAAAACCAACCAACCCAAGATGTAAATGACAAAAGGATTTACCAGAAAATAAAGATAAAGAAAATAAGAATAATTTTTACTTTCTAAATTTTGGAGGGCGGAAAAAATTATTTTGATTCTCTCAGATTTTCCGAATATCTCATTAGCGTTCTGATTGTTCGGAATTTGGAAATAAGTTGGAAAAAATATAAGCTATGAAAAGAATTTTAATGCCTGCCCTATACTCCCAAATAAAAAAAAACAAGACACACCCCCCCCCTCTTTAAAAATCAAGCAATACAAGCGCTGAAGAAATTTTCCAAAAATATTTTATCTAAAACATTTGTGCATTTGTACAAAATAACAAAAAATTCGAATAGAAAGACGACATTACAGCCATACTTAATTGTATTTGATGTTGTTACTATGCAAATAGTTTTACTAGACCCTAATTAAATCACTAATTAATTGGAATGGGTCTGTTTACACGGCAAGATTTCAGTGTCCCTTGCTCATTGGACTATTTAAGTGTCCCATGCTCATTGGACTATTTAAGTGTCCCATGCTCATTGGACTATTTAAAGTCTAAAAGTCGTCTTCCTAATTCAGGGTTTTCTGGTTATTACTGTATTTATTTCATTATATTAAAAATGTCAGCTTTTATCTAATTAATAAAATGGTTTAACTATATTTAGACAAGCGATCAGCTGATCCAACATCTTTGGGCTCCAAACCTCCATTTCCTTTCTACAGAAAGAATGGAGAAGATCTCCACCTTGAAGAATACTGGAACTGTTACTATATTCCGTAACGGAACTGTTATCTACGACAGTTCTATTAGACTTACAGTCGGTAAGTATTTAAAACTCTAGACATCAAGCGACTGTAAGGAACCTGCACCATGTGAAGATGTCAATGCTCGATTCACAACTGCAGTAGATTTGCGCAAGTCAATTTTGTAAAGAAACCACATTTGAAAATAATCAGTTTTCAAAATTATAAACATTGATATTTTATTCAAACTTGATCAATTCTTGCTCAAACTTTAAGATTCTTACTTATCATATTAAATGTTCCTAAAACGTTCAAAACGTTTTATTAAATGGGGTTATTCCCGAAAGATGAAAGAGGGTATAAGATCGGTGAATCTCTTTTATAAAAAGTCTTGAAAGTCATCAAAGTATACAACCCCTTCAATATCAATACAGTAGTCCTTAGAAAAAACTGAAATAGAAGTCTATCTACAATCCTGCTAAAGAAATTGAATCCTTGCCACAAACTCAAATTTTCTAATCCCTTTATATTTTCAACTTGATGATGTAAACCTTTGATATTTTAAACTAAAATAATTTGACCCAACATAATCTAACTGCAACATTGGGTTGCAAAGATATAGTGATTAGAAAATAAGAGTTTGTGGCTAAGACTCAATTACTTATTTAAAGTCGTCATTACATCTCAGGTACCTGTGTGATGTCCTACCAGAATTATCCAATGGATTCTCAACTGTGTCGGGTTCTGTCCGTCTCTCATTCGAATTCTATTCACGAGGTATAGAAATTCTAGCAGATATCATCCAGGAAAACTTAAACTGAAGACTCTCATTGACATTGTAATTACAGACAGCCCCCATTCACAGAGCTGCATGTCAGATTCTCTCTGGTAGTTTTAAACCTTAATCTGAGAAACAATGGTGTAGACATTGTCTTTTTTCTAACTGCTAAATTTTGACAATTTTCTTCAGTTTTTTAGAGAAATCGGAAATTTTAAATTTTCAGATCTAAAAACGAGGTTATCTAATTAAATTGTGTTTGCTCAGACGAAGGTTTCTTTAAACGATAGTTGTTGAGAATTTATCTTTAGAAAATGGAGGATCACTTGGAATTCTACATTCGTCTGAAGAGTGTTCTAAGAGTGCAAGATTCAAGACAATCATGTTAAAATTAATGATTTATATTTTTTGATCTAAAACTTATTTATTTACTAATAATATATTATTTGTTGGTTGTACTCCGTGGTTCTATCTCCTACAACACTGAGTTTCAGCGTCCTCTGCAGTACAAGCTGGAGCTGAGACATCTACCTGATAATTATACATTTATGGTTATGGAGGATGCAATGTACTCGGTTCAAGGGTTTGAGGTAAATAGATTAAATGCTTCATCTAGAACTTTAGGTTGGCAGATAAATTTAAGCCACAAGCTGTTTAAATGAATTGTCCCTTTTTGGTTGTATAACTTTAAGTTTCAGGATTCGGCCAATCTCGCCAATCTAGACCAATCAGATTTTAGATAAACTCGGAATTTTTAAATTGCTGATATCGAGATTGGTGTCGATCGTTTGTTAATCTACATATTAATTTAAGATTCAAACGTTTGTTTAAAATACGTATAGATTGTAAAAATACATCAAATCAAGATTCCAAAAAAAATAATCATTGATTACACATTACATTTATATTACAACTATAGCATGAATTACGTATTACAATTTAATCTTTTATATTTATTATATCATTATATGAGAAACAGATTTCTGCTTTTGCATGCCAGTGTGTATAGATATATAATTTGGTGCTGCGTAACATGCATAATAGTTTTCTACTTTTTCATATGCATTCACTGGGAAAATAGAGCATTTATTGTTTTCACTACATCTGAAAACCGGGTTCTTGATATTTAGAGGGGCAGTAGAAGTGGGGCAGGGGTCTGGTTCGGTTTGATCAGGATCTGGTTCGGTTACAGGATTTGGTTCAGGTTCAGACTTGAAGACATTGTTACCGTCCAGTTGAGGAATAGGCGATGCAGCTAAAAATTGTGTTTTTCTCTTTTTCTCGGGGACAAAGAGTTCACTTTTTCATTTGAAGGAATCACAGAAATGGTCTTGAGTGTTCTAACAGACCTCTCCGCAGACTCAGACTCAGGGGTTACATTAGACCTCTCATGGGGGGTTACATTAGACCTCTCTTTGGACTGGGGGGTTACATTAGACCTCTCCTCGGACTTGGGGGTTACAGTAGACCTCTCCTTGGACTGGGGGGTTACAGTAGCACTCCTGTTTGTCGAGTCCATAAGCGCCTAATCCAATCAGGGTTCAGTCATGTGTTTGGTGTCTATTCTGAACCAATAGAAATAGTATGGCGGTAACATCTATTTTTCTATCTATACTTATCATTCAATTAGAGATGAATCCTTATATCGGCGCTATAACAGTAAATGGAAATATTTAATTCTACTGAAACTGAAGTGGCAGACCTCTCCTCGGACTGGGGGGGTTACAGCAGACTTCACCTCTGTCTGGAGGGTTAAAGCAGACCTCTCATCAGCCTGGGGGGTTAAAGCATGGTTTTTAGCAGACCTCTCATCTGGCTTGCCTCTCCGAAACCTCTTTCTGTTTCTCCTCCTTCTTCGTGGCTTCCAGGACTGGGAGCATGGTTTCTTGAGGGTTGAAAAGATAAAACACTCATTACCTCCTCCTCCTCCTACTAGTACAGTCCTAGGAGTTTATGTTTAAACCTCACTGTATGATGAGTTGAAGCTGCAGGTTAGGTGTAAAATTTCCAGCCATGGCAACAGCTGAAGGTGCCAGCTAGGTAACAGGTAGGATGAAGAGAGAGGGAAAACTGGTTCCTCTCCCCTCAGCTGAAGGTGCCAGCTAGGGAAAGCTAAGGCCTAAAATTCAACCAATCAGAGTGTCACATGCGAAAAATTCAAAAGCTCCCACTGTGGATATCGAGATCAAGCCATCGGGATTATGGGTTTCATAGTTACAGTAAAGTACAGTTTTTAATGGGAAACTCTATATTGAAATCCCATCTAAGAAATTTTAAAATATCTAGGTTCGGTTGGACCGAAGATTAGCTCCAATGCTGACAAGAATGTATATTCCAACCCAGCTTCTAGTCTTCACGTCCTGGCTGGCCTTCTTTGTCCCTCCTGAGGTTGTATCAGGACGAATGGTTCTCCTCGTCACTCTCTTCCTCATGATTATAAATATAGGTAAATAATTAAATACTGTCTGGAATACCGTGCCCGTCCAATTTTTAGAATTTTTACTTCGAAATATCCTGCACTAGATTGAAGTTGGACCAACCCAAGGGATTAATGCAAGGAAAGTTAATTGCGGTCACGTATACTCTGCGTACCTATTGAAACCAGTTCTCTCTGGGCGGAATTTGTAAACAAGAATAGATGCATCAGTGTTCGTTTAGTATCCGAGAAGGTTAAAAGCATTAAATTTTGATAATTCACATAATAGTTTTCTACTTTTTCATATGCATTCACTGGGAAAATAGAGCATTTATTGTTTTCACTACATCTGAAAACCGGGTTCTTGATATTTAGAGGNAAAAGACATAAAAAAAATGCGCACTCCTCTGAAATAACTTTCCTTGCATTAGTACCTTGGATACTTAGATACTTAGATTTTTGTGACAGCCTGGTTTCATATTGAATATAAGCAATCACAGTCATTGAATCAGATATTTTCTTTACATGCTCTTTAATACATTCACATATGAAGAAGTTCAAAAGAGCCTTGAGAAGATTTATTTAAACATTTATTAGCTCCATTAGTTGCTTAAATGTTTTAACAAAAGAAAAACAATAAATACTGAACATAATTCAGTTAACACCAACCAAATATTTAATTTTAAATGCATTTAATTACGACCCCCCACCCCTTACAATACTGTTTTACAGNGTTTCTAGTAACTCCATCTCTATAAATCATGTTTCAGCAATTGTATCTGCAATTAACATTTTAAATCTAGGAATCTCTGTTGAGAAAGATATTCCGATCTGTTCTAACATGACAGCTGCACATATCTGGCTCCTGGGCTGTCATATTCAGATCCTTCTCAACCTTCTCCAGTTCTCCTTCCTGCTCTTTACTATGGCGCAGGAGGAGAAGGTGAAGGAGGAAAGGGGGCGGGGTTTACCCCTCTCCCTACAGTCTTTACCTGGAAGTTCTACTGTAGATTCAGGTTTTTTAACAAATATCATTTTTTTTAAACTTGTTAATTATTTTTGCTCATTTAAAAAAAATAAACTTTTATCAAGACTTCCAACATTTCAAAACTGTGTTTTAATTTTACTTTGAAATATCTTTATTCTAACAGAATATAGAACGGAAAAAAAACAATATTTTTTTGGGGTTCGTTTTTGGCATATATTTTTCTTAGGGTCATATTATTTGGTATAAGTGTAAGAAACGCAGATTTGTAAAACTTCTCAGATTTTTGTGTAACTTTTTAAAAGTCAAGAAACCCTCGGAATCTTACCAAAACAATTGATTTAGCAGTTTTTAAGTTTAAGAACTGCAGGCTTTTAGATCAAATACTAAGTAATGCTTATCACTATTCTAAAAATCTCTTTTTCTGCTGATACTTCCATTCTCGTATAATTATACCATGATAACAAAATCATGTCCTATATCTATGAAATTTTCACTAAAAAAGAAATATTTTAGTTTCCCTTCGTCATCAGGCTGTTCAAGCTAAACGAAAAGAGTTAAAAGAAATTATCATTAAGGTATTATCATTGCTGTTTTTATCATAATTATCATCTCTATTATTATTTTTATCAATACCATCATTATGATTTTAACTGTGATATTTATTATTATTATTATTAATATTTTTATCATTATTATTATTATTATTATTAATATTTTTATCATTATTATCATGAATTCAGGTGGATAGAAGATCCTTGATAGTGTTCCCTATTGTCTGTCTTCTCTTTAATACTGGATATTGGGTTCATTTTTTGGTTTCAAAATAAACAAAAATATTTATTTTTGGAACATTCAGTTCAGAACAATTTATTTTAATTACTTATCGTCATTCTTGCTTTATAATTGTTTACATTCTATTAAACGTCCCTAGCCTGCTCCTATCACATCGCTCCTTTTGTAGACTGCTTAGAGGCTTAAATTCCATTTAGAAAAAATGACGTTTTATATAGTCACACTGATTTAAAGGGACTGTCAAGGAAAAATGAAAAGGGCTATAGGCTGAAACCTAAGAACAGATCATATTAAGCAAATACGCAACCAATCTCAAAACGACGATATCCCAAAGGAGCCCGAAAAACTGATTAACTGAATATGATCTCTTTAACACTTAGACATACTAAACCAAATATATATATATTTAAGTTTTGGTGTGATTTTGAAACAGTTTTATGTCAATTTCTCGAGACATGAACATCAGATCTCTTTTAGATCTCGATCAACTCCTGAAGTTCTTAGGTTTCAGCCTGTACCCCCTTTCATTTTTCTTTAACAGTTTGGTCTTTGTCATACCAATCAGTGTCTTTCGATCACAATTTGACATATTGAATCAAGATTTTTAGCCTTTTCTCGTGTATTGTTAGTGGATGCGTTGTAAATAAAAAAGTATGAAAAGAATAAAAAGACAAATATAAAAGTTTTAAGATTGTTGAATTATAAACCACATGCAACACGCGAATGAATTCAATTTTGAAGAAACCGAACGGATCTAGCTCTGGTAAGTCCAGGCCCCAGAGTGCTGTTTTTATACATTATAACAAAAATTCCTTAGCTCAAATCTAAGTATCAAACAGTCGCTGGGGTTTAAGAACCATGTTTTATAATATTTGTGATAGCATGTATAATTTATCCTCCTATTAAAATATTTTTGCTACCATGCTACTCATGAAAAAAATAGAATTTACAGTTGAAACTATTTTAGATGAGCTATGGTTCAATAGAAACAAAACTGTTTCTAACTATTTTTATTTATGAACTTTTTGTGGTTTTAAATTGATATATCAAATAAATACAGTGAAACCCTTAATAACGAATACATCGAAAGAATTCATCAAATGTCGTATTCTTCACTTTCTGATAATGGAATGTTGCAGATATTTAGTTTTTTAATTAAATGATTACATGAAACTCTTTAAAACTGTTCCCACATATTCATGGCTATTCATTTATTTTCGCAAATACGGAAATTTACCAAATAGAGTATAAAACTCATTGAAAAATTATCAAGACGACATTTGATAAGTTCTTCCGATGTATTCATTATTAAGGGTTTCACTGTACAAAATATGTTAAAGTAGAAGGGAATTGTGTAGTTACTTGAAAATTTATATATTTATTTGGACAATAAAAACACGATTTAGCGTGGAGCATTTTATGTTTCCGAATTCAAGTCACGATTGTGAAAATCGATTATTTGCTATTTTTTTCGATTTGCCGAGTTTTTCGTCCCAAAAAATTAGAAAACCAGAAATTTTTTGACCAATTTTCAAATGTCGTCGTTGTCAGAGCAAACTTTCAAAACAAAAGGTTTAAATTTCGGCCTGTGGGAACGAATGTGTGCCTTCTTTTAAAAGTAAAGAAGTATTTTAAAATGCCTAAACAATAACTTTCAAGCCTAGACTTAAAACTCAGAAATAAAAGTGCGAACATTTTTTTAAAATCTTTATATTTTTTTATTTTGTATTACGTATAGGTTTAGTCATGTTCTACTTAAAGGGAATGTTAAGGAGAAATTTGTTAAAAACGACTCATACCGAAGAACGTAGCGTTCATGCAAATTCAGAAAGTTTAAAAATTCGACAAGGATCGTAAAAAATCAATTTAATTCCAAACAAATCATTCAGATATTAAAGATATTACAACCTATAATCATCGACAATTTTTCGACGCATTCGTATATAGTTAATATTTCACAATATTTTTTACTTGTTTCATAAACAATGTACTTTAAACGACTATTTTTTTGTCGCTAGGTTTCGTTGGATCATCTCAATTCCACGTGGAACTTAAGAAGCATCGAGACAGAGACACCTATAGCGTCCAAATAAACGTCCTATAAAGTATAAAGTATGAAGTATATATGAAACAAGTAAAAAATATTCTGAAATATCAACTATATACGAATGTGTCGAAAATAATCGACGATTATAGGTTGTATAATATCTGAATGATTTGTTTGGAATTAAATATATTTTTTACGATCTGAGTCGAATGTTGAAACTTTCTGAATTTGTATAGACTACGTTCTTGGGTACCCCCTTTAATTTTTTGCGAGCACTTCCTTCAAAAAAACACATTAAAGACACTTAAGTCATAATTGTAGAACAAATGTAATAAACTGCGCAGTAATACCAGTTACACAAAGGTTGTAAAAACATATGAAAAAATCACTACTGAAAAATTTAAGTTAAATACTGAAGCTTTAACGTTTTAAAATTTAATTGTCCAGGGATACAAAAAAGTATAAATGAGTTAGTAAGGTAAAATCAAAGGTCTTGGCGTAGCGACACCTTGAAGTCGACCCCGTCTTAAAGTCTATTCGTCTAAATCTACGTGACTGGGAAAAATAAAGAGATAAAAAATGAGCAAGTGCTGCAGTGAATTCCACCAAACATGATAATTTGTAAAACTTTTATATGTCATCTTCAATAATTTTAAAATTCATCTTTTATTTTTTAAAAGAAGGGTCCCTACAGGTTGCATTTTGTTTTATAATTTTAATAAATACTCAGAAAATGAAAGCAATAGCAAGGCATATTAAATGTTGCTTCATAACTGAGCTGAGATTTTAAAAGTAAGGCTCGACCTTCTGAAACATCAAGACCTTAAAGTCAAGTATAAAGCTACATTTGATGGTTTCTGATTGGTTCTGAATCCACCAATGAGCGATTGCTGTCTGTAAAAAGGTAGATTTACCAAATGTAAATTTCGAAAATTCAAACTTCATATAGATAAATTATTTTTAAAATCTAGACAATTATGATTTTTAATATAAAAAGCTTTTAAGAAATTCACAATCTGCGGCTTTAAGTCCAAGTAGAGATTTAAAATAAGATTAACTAAAACTCGAGTATTCAGTCTTCACTTGGGGTAAACAGACAATAAAGCCAGGTTTTTACTCGGGTTTAAGCTTTTAAAAATAAATTATCATGTTCAGTTATAGACATATAGCACTGAGCACTGGCAAGTTAAATGTCCTAGTTTTCTATGTATTGTATACACCCGTATTTGTAAATGTGGTTTGTACAACATCTTTAAATATTGTACATATTGTACAATGTTGTACAACATTGTACAGCATTGTGGAACATTGTTCACTTTTTTCAGCATTATACATCATTGTACAACATTGAATCAGTATCATATTGTACGACTCTAAACAATAAAGTACAATATTGTACAACATTGTACTATATTGTACAACCCTAAATAATAAAGTACAATATTTTACAGTAGTGTACAATATTGTACCATATTCTACAACTCTAAACAATATAGTACAATTATGTACAATATTGAGTACAACATTGTCCATAATTGTACACCATTGTACAACTATAAATACGAGGTGTCTATTTCTGAAACGGATTCCCAGTTTTCCATAAATTCATGTTCTACCAGTCTACGCCAGAGCCAGTATCTCTTCTTGCGCAAGTTCTCTAGGTCAGGGGGAATATGGCCAAACCAAACATTTCCAGTCAATATCTCCTCCTCATCCCACTCTTCATATTTAGATATCCAGTCACTGATATCTCTGAATTAGGATAATTTTAGTATGATATCCAGTCCAGAATAATATCAATTGATTATTTACCTGCTGGCATTCCATTTACATGTGTGTTATATTTGCTTTATCTGCTAGTATTCCTTTTACCTGTGTGTTATATTTGCTTTATCTGCTAGTATTATTTTACCTGTGTGTTATATTAGCTTTATCTACTAGTATTCCTTTTACCTGTGTGTTATATTTGCTTTATCTGCTAGTATTCCATTTACCTGTGTGTTATATTTGCTTTATCTGCTAGTATTCCATTTACCTGTGTGTTATATTTGCTTTATTTGCTAGTATTCCTTTTACCTGTGCGTTATATTAGCTTTATCTGCTAGTATTCCTTTTACCTGTGTGTTATATTAGCTCTATCTGCTAGTATTTCTATTACCTGTGTGTTATAGTTGCTACTAGTATTCCTTTTACCTGTGAGTTATATTTGATTTATCTGCTAGTATTCCATTTACCTGTGTGTTATATTTGCTTTATCTGCTAGTATTCCTTTTACCTGTGTGTTATAGTTGATTTATCTACTATTATTCCTTTTACCTGTGAGTTATATTTGCTTTATCTGCTAGTATTCCATTTACCTGTGTGTTATATTTGCTTTATCTGCTAGTATTCCTATTACCTGTGTGTTATATTTGCTTTATCTGCTAGTATTCCTNCTAAACAAACTAAATATAAAACCTAAACAAACTAAATATAAAACCTAAACAAACTAAATATAAAACCTAGACATACTAAATATAAAACTTAGACATACTAAATATAAAACCTAAACAAACTAAATATAAAGCCTAACAAACTAAATATAAAACCTAAACAAACTAAATATAAAACCTAAATAAACTAAATATAAAACCTAAACAAACTAAATATAAAACCTAGACATACTGAATATAAAACTTAGACATACTAAATATAAAACCTAAACAAACTAAATATAAAACCTAACAAACAAAATATAAAACCTAAACAAACTAAATATAAAACCTAAACAATGAATATAAAACCTAAACAAACTAAATATAAAACCTAAACAAACTAAATATAAAACCTAAACAAACTAAATATAAAACCTAAACAAGCTAAATATACTAAATATAAAACCTAGACATACTAAATATAAAACTTAGACATACTAAATATAAAACTTAAACAAACTAAATATAAAACCTAAACAAACTAAATATAAAACCTAAACAAACTAAATATAAAACCTGAACAAACTAAACATAAAATCTAAACAAACTAAACATAAAATCTAAAAAACAAAATAGAAAAACTGTATGTATAGTCTGATGCAGAAACATTATATATTATTGATGATTAAGTAATAATTACGTTAAATCTTCTGTTTTGAAACATCTCTAAATATTTGTAAATTAAAATTGAACTGATATATCTCTGAATGTTAGCATGGAGATCGGAACTTTTTGTGAATAATGGATATTATTAATCTTGAGATCTGAATATCCGATGTGGACACTTTTCAATTTTATGATCAGTGCTTTATCTCTCGATTAAAGTTGTGCAGGGTATGAACATCACAATATATCGGAAAGGAATAAAATAAATCCGTAGATCTGAATAAGATTAAGATCAATGCTTAATCCGGATATTTACCACACAATAGTCTCATGTCAGGGTTCATTTGAGAGTTATAACAGCTAGGAATTTAGTGACGATTTTGATATCGTCTTTGTAAATGATTTTTGATTTAGTCATGGAGAGGATATAATCCGTAGATATTTCGTCAGCTATATAGTTAAGAATTTATTTGTTTTTGCTTATCTTGCATTCTGTTGTACTTGGTAAAATTCAGAATTACCTTATACAAACACAGTACAGATCTTCTTATGTTACAGAACATCATGCAACGTTTAGCTAACCGTTTAATTTAATCGCTTACATAAAATATACACTAGCCGACGTAACTTATTTTGATAGTTGAAAATTTGGTATTATACAACGTTAACTCTTAACAAAGACGATTCCAAACTCGTCTGTTAACTTCCTAGTTCAATGGAACACCCTTTATATATAAACTAACCTTGAGAAGACGGTTTCTAACTTGAGAATTAAAAATATAAACAACTCCCCAGCAGTTGGTTGGAAAGTACTCCTCAGGCCATTCATCAAATGGAATAACCTACATTTAATTCTTAGTATTTAATTGTTATTTCTAAAATTAAAAATAATTTAAGTTTAAATGTAGAAAAGTTAACGCCACACTTGTTCCTTAATAAAAGACATCTATTGCCCGCACTTGTTATTTGTATAAATCCGTAGATCTGAATAAGATTAAGATCAATGCTTAATCCGGATATTTACCACACAATAGTCTCATGTCAGGGTTCATTTGAGAGTTATAACAGCTAGGAATTTAGTGACGATTTTGATATCGTCTTTGTAAATGATTTTTGATTTAGTCATGGAGAGGATATAATCCGTAGATATTTCGTCAGCTATATAGTTAAGAATTTATTTGTTTTTGCTTATCTTGCATTCTGTTGTACTTGGTAAAATTCAGAATTACCTTATACAAACACAGTACAGATCTTCTTATGTTACAGAACATCATGCAACGTTTAGCTAACCGTTTAATTTAATCGCTTACATAAAATATACACTAGCCGACGTAACTTATTTTGATAGTTGAAAATTTGGTATTATACAACGTTAACTATTAACAAAGACGATTCCAAACTCGTCTGTTAACTTCCTAGTTCAATGGAACACCCTTTATATATAAACTAACCTTGAGAAGACGGTTTCTAACTTGAGAATTAAAAATATAAACAACTCCCCAGCAGTTGGTTGGAAAGTACTCCTCAGGCCATTCATCAAATGGAATAACCTACATTTAATTCTTAGTATTTAATTGTTATTTCTAAAATTAAAAATAATTTAAGTTTAAATGTAGAAAAGTTAACGCCACACTTGTTCCTTAATAAAAGACATCTATTGCCCGCACTTGTTATTTGTTTGGTTTGTTGTAGAGAACATGTTAATAATAAGACATCTATTGCCCGCACTTGTTATTTGGTTGGTTTGTTGTAGAGAACATGTTAATAATAACATTACCCACTTATCTTGTCTTCCGCCGACCTTCTGACGAATCACTTTCTCAGTTTTTGTCGAACATGAAATAGCATCCCTTAAACATATTTACTCCGTTATTATCCTGTCAAATTATTCAAAGTTCCAAACATCTGGAAAACAAGGTTAAAGGGACCAATTGGGCGTAATTTTAAGCGAGCTCTTCCTGAAGGGTGGCATGTTCGAGTTTTCCAACCTTCAGCAGGAGTTCACGAGATATTCTTGCTTTTCTTGCTAAAAGTTTATTATTTTTAATTGTGGTTTATCTAAAAAAATGTGTTTTCGGATTTTTACGGCAGAAACGATTCAGAAAAATGTCCGAAATACGACGATATCTTCCTCAAAATTACTCTAAAAATGTATAAACGGTATCTTTGCGAATCGGGTATACTATTTTGTAGAAGGAGGGTCACTTAGAATACAGCCCACAGTCCCTTTTAAACTAAATTTTACTAAAATTAATGGTTAAATTTAATATTTTACATTTCTTTTGGGAGTGAGTTAATGTAAGCCCCAAGCCTCCAAATGTTGTTTACCATATCGTCATCAGTTTTCACTATCCAGGGAACCTAAATAATATTCGGTTTTAAAGGGAGTGATACATTGACAATATTTTATAAAGGGAGGGGTTCATGTTTGTATATATATGGGACCTCCACAATATTTGATATTAAAACTAAAGGGAGTAGTCCAATTTACAATCTAAAGAATCTGAACAATATTTGTAACTAAAGGGGGTGGTCTATATTTTGTAATCTAAGGGAGATGGGCGATATTCCGTATTAGAGGGAGTGGTTCCTTATTGTAATTTAGGGTTATATATGGACATTATTTGTTGTTAAAATTTATATTTGTATATTTTGTATTTGTATATGAAAATAAATATATCAATAATTAACAACAATTATAAAAAAAAACATTATTTGCCTGTTCCTTAGGACTGAGTATTTTATTTTTAACAGTCAGGGGATTTGTTTGCATTACTATATAAGCTAGTGTTCGTGTCGAAATGCGCCAATTTTATGTTGGCATGTGCGGTCTTCGCACAACAAGGATTTCAGACCAGTTCAGACTCCCAGCTAAAACTTTACCTTAGAGCAGTGTTCTCTACTCCAATCCATCCAAGTGAGAGACTTGTACGCCAGCAGGAAATAATCCTCAAAGAAATCTCCTTGTAAAATATCCTTATACCTAAAATAAATAAAATCTTTGGAGAACTTAACTTCAAATAAAAAACTGACATTCTCTCCATTGTAGTTTTAACTGACAGAGCTTATACCGGGAGGGGTAGGGGGCAAGGAAGTCACTCCCTCCCCCTTCAAGAATTTTGAAGGGCATGGGGGTGGGCCTCCACCCCCTAGAACTTAGATATCTTTACTTTAAACTCAAGAACCATAGAGAAAGAAACCGAAAAGGCAAAGCTTACTTCAGATGTACACAACCGACCACCCTATATCTGGGGGGGATTTTATGGAATTAATAAATTTTAGATTTTCTTTCTTTATATAAAGAGAATTCGAGGATGAGGATTTGACAATTTTTTTCTGTTTTTTTTCTGAGATTCAGAAATACATCAGGAGGAAAAGGCCTTCTCCCTCCCCCGCCCCCCCTTTGTATATTTATGTACAATGTATAAAGCTTCCTAAGTTTACCATACAGAAAAAAAACATCAACATATCGTGGTGTACACAAATGACCACCCTTTAAATTAATTAATAGGGTGGTCGGTTGTGTCATATGAAGTAAGCCTTACCTCTTCGTTTCCTTTCTCTTTGTCAAGAACTAAGAAAGAAACAGGCCTTGAATTTATAATTTATAATTTTTACTTCATGCATAGCACAGCCGCCGTTTAGACAACTGCAGTTTTTAATGCACAGTGAAAAATTTAATAGTTTTTGACTTCAAAGATTTAAAGTTTAAGATGAGTTATTCATTTTCAAAATGTGTTTATTTTATTGAATTGAATTAAATTGAATAGAAATTTTTTTTAGAAAATGTTTTTTTTTATCGTTTAAGTGGAAGATTAAGTGGCAAGTGCAAGTTAATTGTTCTACGCGTGTGCATTTAAAGTGTTCTAAACATATGCCTGAGATTCAAAACAAATGTTCTGAATTTACACAGTTTTTGGAAAGGAATATTTTTTCTTCAAATTAAAGGAAAACTTAGTGCTTTCTGAAATAAATTATTTGGGAATGTTTATTTCAATTCTGTCTTATGAAATAATAGGGTTTAAATAAAGAAATTGAGTTTTTGCCACAAAATCAGATTTTCCGATCCCTATATCTTTTCAACTATGAATTCTGTTAGATCAAATAAACTAAATTTGAAATATTAAAGGTTTAAACTTTTCGGATGCAGAGATATATAAATTAGAAAATTTATAATTGTGGCAAATAGCTAGATTCGTTTTAGAGAAACTTAAAAATTATATTTTTAGACTTTTTTAAGATTAAGGTTTACGACTATCTGTGAGGGTTCAAACGATTTAAAATTCTGTAGACGTTTGCTTATATCAAACATGCAAATTTGTTATATCCTACGTGAAAATATAATGCAAAAACAAACCAAAAACTATCGTTTTAAATCGTTAGTTTTTGCCTGCTTTTTTCTTCTATATTCTCATATTGCTGTAAAACATTTTAAAAGTCTAAAAGCATAAGTTTCTGTAAAACAAATCTGGTTTTTGCCCATCCCAATTTGTACTCATCCTCAAGCTAGCAGGTGAGTCTTTTTTCGAATTTTAGTTTTAAGAAAACTGAAGATGTTCATGCTTGAGCTTTTCTTGATCTTTACAGGCATTTACATCCTTTACTTTCCCTTTATTAAGAATAAGTCTTGGCCATTCATAATTCAAAAATTTCAGTAGTACATCAATTTATAGTTAAACTTAAATTTCTACATCTGATACTTCCAGTTTTGATGCAAATAGCTTCTCAATAGCACAAGGGAAAGAAAACAGGAAAAATATCTATCTTAATAAACTATAATTTGTGATAGGTTAAAATCTAGTTTTTATTCTTCATTCATTAATGTTGACCCTTTTTAAGTTTTTCAGGTCAAAAAAGTTTTCGCCTGCGGCATGCCCACTACTTATCTATCTATGCTATTTTTTTCTGTTTGTGCCCCATCCTTCTTTAATTCCTAGCTACGCGCCTGGCACAAACTTAGTTTTTAATTTTCAAAAAAGATTGAGATACCGCTCTGCACTGTATACACCCACTGTTTATCCTGTAAAAAAGGTTCCGGCATTGATCACTTTCAAACGACGCGTACCGGATTGTCGGACACCGGTACGCGTCAACCCTGCTTCCTGTCTAGTTGTTCCATGGATAAATACAATTTCTTCTGTTAATGTTAATTATCAGACAGAATTGAAAGATCAAACGATAAAGAAAAAAACTCAATTCCGTTGGTTACGGACACAGATATTTGATTTGATTTGTTTTAATTGAACATTTAGAAACTCAGAAAAATATATAATTTTCTAGTTAGTTCGTTTATGTCCGAAAATGGAGGTACAAGAAGAAAAATCTGAAACGACAGAACAGTAAATTTTGTGAACTATCTAAATACGATCTGTAATTAGGCCCTTTTACTAAACAATACTTCTCACCTTTCAGCTTCTCTTTCCACTCTCCATTGAAGCTTGAGATTTGGAAACCGACCCAGTGCAAAGATCAAGGTTGCGTTCATCTGTTTTAAATATTTTCTGTTCCCCCAGGTCAACCGAACTAATTGTCTAAACAACAAAAAATTCAAGATCTTATGAAAGTAAAAAATTTTTGTTGTTTAGTAATAGCTATGTGAAACATTAAACTAGAAAAAAAAAAAAAATTTGGACAGAATGTTTAACATTTTTCTACTAAGGAAATATTTCAATAGATATTTCAAACTATGAATTCTAATAGATTAAACAATCTAAGTTTGAAATGTCAAAGGTTTACACCAACAGGTTGCAAAGATATGTGGATTTGAAAAAAAATTTGGAAAAAAATTAATTCTTTTTACCAAATTTTACCAAACACTGAAATGTTTATTTAGCCAATATATGAAACTAAAAGTAAGGAATTATTCGCCCTTTTCTTACATTTCAACTTTCTTTTCTTTTTGGAGTTTACCTTGACGTTATCTTTGGAGTTTACCTTGACGTTATCTTTGGAGTGTACTTTGACGTTATCTTTGCAGTTTAAATGGACTATTATAAACGTACTATCAATGAACCAATGTCCGATTCAGAATTATGAATTAGATATCAATGTTTATAATTTTGTAAACTAATTATTTTCAATTGTGGTTTCTCCACAAAGGCATTCCCATCTTTGCATAAAGGGTCAATTGAAATTACGCTTACAGTCCCTTTTCCTTTCCTGAACTAACCTGTAAGCAAAGTTAGCCATTGCTGAATAAACCACAATTAAAGTGTTCGCGTTACAATCAGCCTAAACCAATATAGTTATAAATAATCTCAACTCAGAACTTTTCTACTTCTAATCCCTGTGAGTTAAAGGTTGCAAACTCTCACACAAAAAAAAACAATAAGAATTTTGCCAATTACTTCTTAAAAATTAAAGCTTAAAACAAGTGTTTTAAAGGTTGAATATGTATAGTATATGGCTTCAAAAAGGCAGGAGTGAGTTAAAGCAGTAAAATCAGAGCCCAAGGAGTTGCGACACTTCAAAGTGGAGTGATCTTCTCCAAATTTAATTCTGATTTAGCCTATACATTTATTCGTTGCGAACACTCCCTTTAATGTTTAGAGATATTTCTAAATTGTTAAAATACAATAATTTGTGATCTTACCTGAGGTGAAATAATAATATTTTTATATCCCTGTAGCTCAAAAACACTATTATCATCTTCTTGTACCCCATTTTCTGGCATTGACGGACTAACTAGAATATTTTACATTTTTCTTAATGTTCAATCAATACACATCAAATATAATATCTGTCCATAATCTAAGTAATTGAGTCTTTGCCACAAACTCCGATTTTCTAATCCCTATATCTTTACAACAAAATGTCGTAGACCTTAGATATTTCACATTTTGTTGGATAAGGTTTTAATATCAAGACTTACACTATCAGGTGACAAAGATATAGGAATTTAAAAATTTTAGATTGGGGCAAAGATTTAAATGTTACTTGATTTAAATGTTATGTTTTTCATTAAAATTTACTCCCAGAAGTTTCCCGTAAAAAGAAAAATTAGAATTTTAAACTCAAATCGATGTTAAGTTTAAGTTTAAATGAAAATTCTATAAAGGAATCATGGATTTTAATTTCTGTCTCTAAAAGATGGAATTAAAAATATTACCTGCATCCCATTCATAGTATTCACATTCATCACACAAGCAATCTTCAGGAGAGTTGGAGCACCAACCACGTGGGGAACAGCAGGTAGATATTCTAGATAAACCGGTTTTAAATCATTCAATATTAGAGATATTCTAGATAAACCGGTTTTAAATCATTCAATATTGGAGATATTCTAGATAAACCGGTTTTAAATCATTCAATATTGGAGATATTCTAGATAAACCGGTTTTAAATCATTCAATATTGGAGATATTCTAGATAAATCGGTTTGAAATCATTCAATATTGGAGATATTCCAGATAAACCGGTTTGAAATCATTCAATATTGGGAGATATTCCAGATAAACCGGTTTGAAATCATTCAATATTGGGAGATATTCTAGATAAACCGGTTTGAAATCATTCAATATTGGAGATATTCTAAAGAAACCGGTTTTAAATCATTCAACATTGGAGATATTCTAGAGAGACCGGTTTTAAACCATTCAATATTGGAGATATTCTAGATAAACCGGGTTGAAATCATTCAATATTGGAGATATTCTATAGAAAGCGGTTTTAAATTGATATATGTATATTCTAAGATATCCGGATTTAAATCATTCAAAAATGGAGATATTCTAGAAACATCGGTTTTTAAATCATTCAATATTAAAGTTATTTTAGAGAAGCCGGTTTTAAATCATTCAATATCATAGATATTCTAGATAACCCGATTTTAAATCTTTCAATAATAGAGAAAACCCGGTTTTAAATCATTCAATAATAGAGATATTCTAGAAAACCCGGTTTTAAATCATTCAATAATAGAGGTATTCTAGAAAACCCAGTTTAAATCGTTCAATAGTATAAGAGATATTCTAGAGAAACCTGTTTAAAATCATTTAGAAATTTAGATATTCTAGATAAACCGGTTTCAAATCATTCAACACTAGTGATATTCTAGTGAAACCCTGGTTTGGATCAAATATTGATCAATAAATCTGGTTTGACATTAATACTGGTAGATATTCTTAGTAATCCGGTGTAACATCAATACTGGTAGATATTTTTAGTAACCTGGTGTAACATCAATACTGGTAGATATTCTTAGTAATAGGTTTTGCTCAGTAAAAGTGAAAAAGTATTTAATACCGTTTGTCGCAGGCAGGAACAGCTCCAGTGGGAGTTAAGAATCCAGCTCCGCATCTTCCTCGTATAAAAGGATTTTCTCCGGTGGAGACGGTTGTCTAAATATATACAAGGTTTGAAAAAAATCTTTACGTTTTACAATAAATATCATCAACATTTTTATTCCTTGAATCCGAGGTAAGTAGTTGTATCGGAATTTAAGCTTATTATAGATCTTTTATTGTTTAATATTCAGAACTTGCATCCCAACAATAAAAGATGAGAATACAAAATTGGTTTGTAAATTCGGAGCAATGAGACGGTAAAATCTCTTTTACTTCAAAAAACTTAATTTCAAAGTAAAGATAGTTTTCAAAATGGCCGACAATCTTAAATTTTCGAATGACAAGGACAGAATGTTACAGTATCCTAAAATAAAATAAAACCAAGAAACCTGAAAATACCGAGGGATTGTCTAAATTCCACTCTAATATATATTCTATTCTCTTTGGTTAGCAGAGAAATAAAAAAAATGAATCTCACTTTTTTAAGGGTTTTTCAAAAATGTTAACTATAAACTCGTAGCTTAAGTTATTAAAGTTTTACACTCTTTCAAATTTTTCCGTGACCCCCCCAGGTCCTTACCTCGGCTTTTTATGAATTAAGCATAAAGTGATATAGGTATACCTGAGATGTGTTCCTCTCAACACGAGTCCAATATATCAGCATTAAAAGAACAAAAAAAGCCAGAATAGGTTTCACTATTTTCCTGTTCTTCCGATTTAAAAACAGAGATCCTGTAATGTAAGTATACGTAATCAGAGATTAAAGATAATATAAAGTGATAGTAAGTGTGATGATAATTTCATTTCATTTAGGCATAAAAATGTAATGCACATATTTTTTTACTGTCGACTATTCGTCGTCCTTTTCTTTATTATTATGGCGGAAACTCTTAAAACATTTAAAAACTCTCTTAATCTTGAACTGTTAATGGGTCTCATATCATCAAGATTGTTTTATGGGAGAGAAAACTTTGCGATGACGAAAAAAAAAAGAATGTTAACAATTTCGTTCTTTGGAGAAAGATATCGTTTTTCTACCATTAAAAGATTAAAACTTCCTCCCTTACCTTCCTCAAGTCACTGTCTGAGAATTATCAATTTTTAGATAGATTCCAAATGATATCTTCATCATATTTGCTCAGATAAAGGTTAATGAACATGTCCCACTTTAAACAACGAGTCCCTTGAAATTACGTCGATAGTCCCTTTAAGAGATATTACAATATTTAAATATAATAATATAAATATAATACCGCTGCTTTTCTTCATGTTTTCTTCAGGATAATAATTCAAAACTGAATTCTTTATCATAAACTTAGTCTACAGATTCTACTGAATCTACAGATTCTACTGAATCTACAGATTCTACTGAATCTACAGATTCTCCAGATTCTACAGATTCTACTGAATCTACAGATTCTCCAGATTCTACAGATTCTCCAGATTCTCCAGATTCTACATATTCTCCAGATTCTTCTGAATCTAGAGATTCAACAGACGGTATTAAACAGATGAGAATATTTTTCAACTAATCTGAAGAAAATGAAGATTACCTATAGAAAACACAGGTGTACAGTATTTAGGCCAGATCGTATCCAGATGCTAAGCTGTTTAAAAATATGTTTAATCTTAAATATATATTTTTTTAAATTGTTTTCTTATTATTTTACTTTACACTACTCCAATATACTAATGGTTTTCTACTTTCGTTTAATTATATTTGAAATGAAACTTAGTGCGCCTGAACAGAATCAAGACTTTCAAAATGCCTCAGAAAAATAGGTTTATGAAGTTTATAGTTTGAAAAGATGAGTAAAATCATTGTGAAAAATGAAAAAGATTCTGGAAATACTGAATCAAAATTTTATTCTTAAGATATAAAAAAAGACATCTTCATTGTCATTTAGATTGTTCCGATAAAACCATGTTTAAAAGTTGATCATTATGTTTAGTATTAAGGTTATTGCTTAGATGAAGAATTTGTGAAAGGAATTGAGTCTTCGTAACTCTCGTAACAAACTCTGATTTTCTAATACATATATTTTTCCACCTGATGGTGTAAACCTTTGATATTTCTAACTTAGATTTTTTCATCTAACAGAATTCATAGTTTGAAATGTCTAAGGTCTAAGATTAGAAATTCATAATTCTAAATTCCATTGTTTATAAAATAAAACAATTAGGACTTTCTCTGTAGAAAATACTGGACTGACTGGACCGACGAATTTTAGATAATCCTTAAGTTCCATTCTTTTCACCCAAAATTTAGCCTAGATACTGATGGTATGAAACTCTAGGTTTGAAGCTATTTTCTTGAGAAAGTACAAGATACATGTTTTAAACTAATATTCAAAGGGCTGTCTCCAGGTCTGGGTTCAATATTATCATTTAGCTATTCAGGGAGGACCAGAAAACTCTGGATTAGGAAGACGCTATTATAGCAATACTTAACGGGACCGTTCACTTATTTGGGTTTTAGCTATTCATTGGTATTAGTCTTACTTTTCAAAGATATCTATGACCGGAGAAAAAACCGATTTATCGTTTAGAATTCCAGCGGAACTGTAAGATACCTTTGCATAGACACTGATTTAAACATTTTTTCAGTATACAACAGACCGATAAAATCTGAAATTATCATATTTCAATGACATCATGTGTCAGCTCAAACATGATTTAACAAATTAACACGTTTATACAAAGACGACTTTCTCTTTCAGAAAAATCATTTCTTAGATTCCAACTCTTCAATAAATCACGGGGATTCCTGGGGAAGTAGAGAGAACGTATCAAACCGTCAAATGTTTCAATAATATAATAATATTTTATAATTACATTTGCTGCAATTGAAAAGTAATTTTAAATCAAAAACTCTTCATTTACCATGATTACGACGACATTTGAACCAGCGTCTTAGGTGGCAACAAAGAAATGATTTCAAGTAACCCTCCACGCAAAGATGGCAATGCCCGATTCACAACAATATCCTTAAAAGATTTGTCTGGTGAAGTTTGAAATAGATATCAATGTTTTTAATTTTGAAAAATAATTATTTTCATTTGTGGTTTCTCTACAAAAATAATTTGCGCATTTAAACTGCAGGAAGAAACATACGAATTAACAGAATTAACTATAAACCGACAATATCTTCCACATTATTGATCAGATAAAGGTTTCAAGGTTTCTGCGCGTTGTGAATCGGGCATTGCCATCCTTACATGAAAAGTTACAAACAAAATGTTGGTTTCCATAGAGCATGAAAAATGTGAAAATAATTTAAAGTCCTAACCACTGAAAAAAAATGCACGATTCTTGTCTTTTGTATAATTCATGATCTTCGACTTATAATTCATGATCCTTGTGCATTGTATATTTCATGAACCATGTCTTTTTTATAATTCATGATCTTTGTCAATTGAATATTTCATGATCCCTTTCTATTGTACAATTCATGATCATCGTCTATTGTATAAATCATGATCCTTGTTTATTGCATAATTCATGATCCTTGTCTATGTATAAGTCATGATTCTCGTCTGTTGTATTAGTCATGATCCTTGTCTTTTGTATAATTCACGATCCTTGTCTATTGTATGATCTTTGTCTCGATTGTATAATTCTGATTCATTTCTATTGTACAATTCATGATCATCGTTTATTGTATAAGTCATGATCCTTGTCTATTGGATAATTCATGATCATTTTTATTGTATAATTCAAGATCCTTTTTGTTTAATTCATGATCTTTGTCGATTGAATATTTCATGATCCTTTTATATTGTACAATTCATGATCCTCGTCTCTTGTGTAAATTGTGATTCTTGTCTATAATATAATTTATGGTCCTTGTCTAAAATATAATTCATGATTCTTGTCTATAGTTTAATTCATGATTCTTGTCTTTAATATAATTCATGATTCTTGTCTATAGTTTAATTCATGATTCTTATCTATTGTATAATTCATGATCCTTGTCTATAGTTTAATTTATGATTATTGTCTGTAATATAATTCATGATCCTTGTCTGTAGTTTAATTCATGATTCTTGTCTATAGTATAATTCATGATCCTTGTCTGTAGTTTAATTCATGATTCTGGTCTAAAGTATAATTCATGATTCTTGTCTATAGTTTAATTCATGATTCTTATCTATAATATAATTCATGATCCTAGTATAATTCATGATTCTTGTCTATAGATTAATTCATGATTCTTGTCTATAATATAATTCATGATTCTTGTCTATAATATAATTCATGATCCTTGCCTATAGTTAAATTCATGATTCTTGTATATAGTTTAATTCATGATTCTTGCCTATAATATAATTCATTATTCTTGTCTATTGTATAATTCATGATTCTTGTCAATAGTATAATTCATGATTCTTGTCTATAATATAATTCATGATTCTAGTCTATAGTTTAATTAATGATTCTTGTCTATAATATAATTCATGATCCTTGTCTATAGTTTAATTCATGATTCTTGTCTATAGTTTAATTCATGATTCTTGTCTATAGCATAATTCATAATTCTTGTCTATAGTTTAATTCATGTTTCTTGTCTATAATATAATTCATGATTCTTGTCTATAATATAATTCATGATTCTTGTCTATAGTTAAATTCATGATGCTTATCTATTGTATAATTCATGATTCTTGTCTGTAATATAATTCATGATTCTTGTCTATAGTTTAATTCATGATTCTTATCTATTGTATAATTCATGATTCTTGTCTTTAATATAATTTATGATTCTTGTCTATAGTTTAATTCATGATTCTTGTCTATAATATAATTCATGATTCTTGTCTATAGTTTAATTCATGATTCTTGTCTATATTCATGATTCTTGTCTTCTATAATATAATTCATGATTCTTGTCTATTGTATAATTCATGATGCTTATCTATTGTATAATTTATGATCGTTGTCTATAGTTTAATTCATGATTCTTGTCTATAATATAATTAATGATTCTTGTCTATAGTTTAATTCATGATGCTTGTCTATTGTACAATTCATGATTCTTGTCTATAGTTTAATTCATGATGCTTGTCTATTGTATAATTCTTGATCCATTTATATTGTATAATTTTTGACGTAGTTCTTTACGCCTAAGATGATTTCCATTGGTTAAAGATTACACGAAACTTTAAGAAACCACTTCCACCCTTTGTTTCAATCCAGTGATGCTGAACCCTTCTCCACCTAAGCCTGGGAGTACGGATACGCTTCAACCCTCCGCTAGAACGGATATAAAACTAATAATCCGGAGTTAATTAACGCCTCTGTTAGCATCTTTACTATTGAAATTAAGTCATACAAACATTTTTGGTCGATTTACATATCCATTAAAATACGATTGAAGAATTATCGAAAAATTTAAATCATTAAGTTTTAATATAACTATTTGTTTGTTATATTTTCCACCGAACGGGGTAAATATAAAGTTCTTAAGTTATGTTTGTGAATCTTATATTGGTAAAAAAACACCGGCCTCCATCCCAGTATCAAATGTTTATCAATCTGATTTCAGCATCGAGTAGGATCTGTTAAGCAACTTTTTTACATGATACTAGCTGAAGAACCCGGCGTTGCAAGTGGGAAAAAATTGATTTTGAAGAAAAAATGTTTAAATTTTTTAGCCTTTGTTACTCCCCGGGCACCCCTGGGTTCTCTCAAATAGAGTCTAGTACAATAGATGGCAACGTAGGATTTGTACACTCTTAGTGCAGATGTATTCTGTCGTCACAAGTGTCTATTCAGTTTTTGTGTCCGACAAAATTATCAATAATAGTGATAACTTTAGAATAAAGTGCTTACCTTACAGTAAATTAAGTGCAATTTTTATGTGTTCTTTAGTTTCTGTTTTTACACTTTTTCGTTTTCCTTGTTATATTTGACACTTGTGACGTTGTGTATAATTGGTTCATTTCTCTGTTGCCACCTATTGTACTTGATAATTTATTTGGGTTCCCTCAAAAATGTCAGGTTCAGTCGTTTGACCAGCTATAAGTAACATATATACATATATACAAACAAATATATATAAATTAGCGAAGAGCTTTATTATTATATATTTCTATATATATTTCTTATAAAAGGAAAATAAAATATGCCGGAACTGAACAAACAGAATAACTAAAAAGGAGAAACATATGCTCACAATAATTTCACACGAAGGGGATCATTCAGTTGGCGTACCGTCCTGTTTTGCCAGAGCTATTCCATTAAATTCTCTTAAAAATCCAGTTTATGTCGGACTATCCCTTTATTCTTCTATTCAGCTAAAATCCTTTAAAATATTTGATTCACCTATTTAGTTGGGTGTTACATAGATATCTTTTTTATATATATTTTAAACAAAAACTTAATTAGGATCTTTTCCTACCTTTTGCTGTTAGTGTTTGATTGTTGTAAAATGTAAAAATAAAACGGTATATAGAATTAACAAAGGATTACAGTGTAAAGACGACTTTTCCGATGTTTCTTTTGTTGTTCACGAAACAAGAAGCTTTATTTACATTGTTATA